CATCACTCCCATACTTTGACGTTGGCCTGCGATAGTCCTGGGGGGTGGGGTAGCCTAGTGGTTAAAGCATTCTCTCATCACGCCAAAGACCCGAGTTCAATTCCCCACATGAGTACAATGTGTGAAGCCCATTTCTGGTGTCCCCTGTCATGATATTGCTGGAATATTGCTAAAAGCGGCGTTAAAACTAAACCCACTCACTCACTGTGATAGTCCTAGCACTAAGATTGTATTGTGGAATGGGGCCCTGGTACTTATATTAATGGTGCTGTTATGATTATAACTACTCCTCTGGCATTCTGAAGAAACATTGAATACTGGAAGTTTGACAGCTACACTTTAATGCTGAACTATCAAGCCACTAAGTGACTTGTATGACGTAGAGTGTGCACTTGATGTACTGATTAATGAGATTGCATAGTGCAACATGATGAACACTCAACACAGACAGCTTTTGGTTAAAAAGGTAGATTACATAGCCAAAATGTTTAAATAGCCTATCTTACAAAGTGTAACATGCTTCAAATATAGATCAGCAGATAAGGGGAAAATTAAAAAGATTTAATATGTGAAAAATATGCAGCAAAAGCAGTAAGCTGTAGAAACATACTGTATTTTAGGTTAATATTTTCTGAAATATGTATCACTAAAGCTGCAACTAAAATAACATGATAAAAATTTTTCCCTGTAAAATAATAATTTTAGATGTGATCTCTTCTGATCATTGCACCCAACTTCTGTGGATTATGTATTTTTAGATACCGTTTTTTTATGTGAAACAATAGTACTTTAAGAGAAACTGTGCCATTTCACCAAAATACTCAAAGTTTTCTTCATTTCTAGAAATATTCAAGATACTTAACTGAACAGGAAATACAATTTAAAGGTTAAATCTTTATGCCAAGTGATATTTGATCTCAAATTGCACAATTGTTCCACGAAAAAGCTTTGCTAAAGTCCATTGTATGTTTTGGACTGTGCCATTTCACCAAAATACTCCAAGTTTTCTTCATTTCTAGAAATATTCAAGATACTTTATGCCAAGTGATATTTGATCTCAAATTGCACATTCTTACCACAAGAAAACTTTGTTTAAAGCAGCGTCCATTGTTTGATTTGGACTTTGCCATAAGTATGTGTTTGTTAATCAGCTTCAATAACTGATGATACGAAGTGTTCGTATACCAGCATATCCTGCCCACCGAGTACAGTTATCTGGAACACTGTGAAGCCCATTCTTCGTGACACTCAATCCGGTTGTAGCAAGTACATGTATCTCTACAATGGTGGACCTTTTGTGTCAGTAAGCTTTTTCTGTGTCCAGGAATTATGCTATACAAAAGACAGGCAACAAATCACACATACTTGATAGTGTAGCAGGGCCAGAGGTTTGAAGGGAATGAGTGCCTGAAAGGATGCCAGATTGAGTAGCCAAAGCTTTCTTCTGGAACAGAATGGTAGGTATTTCTTTGACTGGTCATATTCAAGGGGCACCTGTCAGTAATATCACCTGTCCATTGTAATATTAACCACAGTCATCATAATCCTCCTATATGAAAATGAGAACCAAAAAGCGTAAAAATCTTATATTTACTTTCATGATTGTCAACATGTTTACAAAGTTCTTCTTGTGTCTAATTCCCCTTGAAAACTGTCATTCCCCCGGAAACAAATTCAATCAGATATTTGGGAAGCTATTTAGCCATGTGTATGCATGACTAGATGCATTGTGATGCTGAAATCACCACGCAGGGGGTGGCCTTTGAGTTGTGATGAGGTACCCTTGTGTGCCAATGTCCTCGCCAAGACTTGGACAAGCAACCGGGAGGGCCTGGACACTCACCTGTCAAGGTCACGCTTATGTGAAAGCAGGTCCTTCATTTGCATCTTGATAGGAAATTACCTTCATGTAAAACTCCTAAACCTCAGCTGATAGACATCAAGGCTGAAGGACAAGTGTGCATTGAGAGCCTCCAGTACACAGCAGATGTCCATCCTCTAGAGTCAACCTTCATGTTCTTGATGCTCATGTAATTAGTAGTTAATATACTGTGCTGGAAAATCAGAGGTATATAACAGAATTATAATAGCTCTAAATATGATTTATAACCGAATGTGTAGCATGAGGTTTTAAATAAAAAAAATTACAGCTATTATAATTTCAACATACTGTGTTGGAAAAGCAGAGGTATATAACAGAATTATAATAGCTCTAAATATGATTTATAACCGAACGCATAGCATGAGGTTTTAAATAAAAATAATTACAGCTATTATAATTTCAACATACTGTGTTGGAAAAGCAGAGGTATATAACAGAATTATAATAGGTCTAAATATGATTTATAACCGAACGCGTAGCATGAGGTTTTAAATTTAAAAAATTACAGCTATTATAATTTCAACATATTGTGTTGGAAAATCAGAGGTATATAACAGAATTATAATAGGTCTAAATATGATTTATAACCAAACGCATAGCATGAGGTTTTAAATAAATGTTTTTAGAGCTATTATGATTTTTTATATACCTCTGATTTTCCAACACAGTATGTTTATCTCCATTCTACCATAACCACTTTATTAAGATTTTACAAAAATACATACTGTGATGGAAAGTCAGAGGTATGTAACATGATTATGGACCACTGAATGACTTTAATTAACCAATCAAAATCCAGTATTTATTGAAGTCATTTAGTTTTTAATACACAAAGATGTGATTGTCTGTTTTACCTGACATTATTTGTGTGTATTAAGATTCAGGAGAAACACATTATTACACATCACACATTATTTGTGTGCATTAAGATTCAGGAAGTTTACAGCTTGGTTGTACTGAGAGGTATAGAGAAACACATTATTATATTTCACACATTATTCGTGTGTATTACAATTTGGAAGTTTTACAGCAGGGATGTACTCAGAGGTATAGAGAAACACATTATTATATTTCACACATTATTCATGTGTATTACAATTTGGAAGTTTTACAGCAGGGATGTACTCAGAGGTATAGAGAAACACATTATTATGTCTCACGCATTATTTTTGTGTATTACAATTCAGGAGTTTTACAGCAGGGGATGTACTCAGAGGTATTGAGAACATGTTATTATACCTCACAAGGAGTTTCCTAGACAGTTTAACCCCTTGCCATACATGGGCCCACTGACAACTTCTCACATGCAGTCTCTGGTTCTGAATAAACACCATGCAGTCATAGCACTAAGGGGACTAAATATGATGAATTAATGATGCTAGACACGTCCCTTGTTTGCCCTATGCGCGTCTCAAACATTTATTAGTTTGTGTAGGTGTATGGCCTATCATGACAACCTATCAAGTTATAGTTACAGTGAGAGCTGGACTTCAGCACTGTGATCTCTGCCATTTTGAAAAATGTTTTTAAGGACTCGTCTCAGTCATAGTGAAACTCAGCAGAAAGATAGGGGATATTTGTGGCGTGTTTTGAAAGAGCATTTATTCATCACAATACCGACAAGTTTGTGAAAGTTTTTTTGCAAGACAAAATGGCGCAGTCTTGAGTGTTGAGCGACAGGTGCGCTGTCTGTGTGTGTTGCATTTTCAAATTTGGCTTTGAAATCCGCTGCAATGTTGTGACAGAAGTCACTACAATTATACGAAAAACATCGGAGAAGGTTACATTAACACAGTGGAATTCTTGTGATTCCCCCTTCATCGTTGTGATCTTGTTGCGTTGAGATAGATGTTTGTTAACCCTTCCGGCTGATATTGGCTGAATCTCCAGATTGAAGAGAGACAGGTTTGGAAAGCCAGCAAGATGGAGGTGTTTCCTTCATTTGGTGCCTCAAGAAATTGGAAAAACTTGTGAAATCAGCAATCGGATTAAGTTTGAAGTAATTTGGTCTCTTTCATGAACAGTGGTTGCCTTGGCAACGTTAGTTCTATAGGCCCTAGATTTAAAGTAAATGACTTGATTGGGGATGATTTTCACGTGTGATTATAGGGCAGAGTGGGGGTATGACATATTGTATGGACAGTAGGATGCAGTGATCAGATGTTAAAGCTGACAGTACACACACCGATTACCTCATCTTGGTGTTACACTCTCAATTTCCGGCCAGCGACATGGAGCTGTGCGTAAATGTAGAAATGTCATAAATTCAATTTACAAAAGTGGAATCTCATTGTGAGGGATAATTTCCGTGGTTGATGAATTAGGTGAAGTTAAAACCTAGGCTGCCGATGAGTGGACACTTACATCCTGGTACGATTTGGAGGATTGCGATTGGACGTTCTGGAGTTTGGTGCTGATGTGTGTTGATAGACAAGAACTGTGAATATTTACTTGTGTTTTCACAAAGGACAACAACTAGTTTATGAAATAACCTTGCAAATAGAAGACAAGTTTCAATCTGATGAGCCTCAGACTTTGTTGTTGAACAGTGTTTTGCTGAATTAACACTTTTACAACTTTTGTAGTACTTTGAAAAACTCTGGAGGTTGCATTTTGTTCCAAGTGATATTTTGTTTTGTGCAGTTCTTGCTAACCCGTGCCCTCTGGCAGAATCACAACTGGAAGGAAGAACCATTTGTTCGTCAACGCCAAACAACTTAATTAGAGATGGCACCAGATGTGTCAGTTAGAAATCAATATGTTTAATCTGCTCCAATTCCACACAAATCTTGGATGAAAGCGTGAATGAAAATTTGTCAAATATTGGATTCTTAAGCCATTTGTCTTCATAAACTGCTTGGACAGAGCCAGGAGATACAGAAGCAATACAAAAGGGATCCTCTGGGTAATTAAACAATGCTAGGGAATACGGAAGAGATACACATCAGATATTCCCAGTGAACACTATCCAGCGGAGCAGGGCTGTATTAAGCAGAGGCTGATCAGCCTGAGCGATTGAGTGGGTGGTTGAGACTGTGTGCTGTGTACAGGGTGTGGGGTACTGCAGACATGGAAGTGCTGGTGGTATGTCTCCTCACCCTATTCTCTCTCTCCTCAGCCACAGAATGTGCTGACGACCAGTTTAAGTGCAAATCCGGAGAGTGCATACTTATCTACCAATACTGTGATGGTCAGATCGACTGTCCGGATGGCAGTGACGAGGAATGTGGCATTTCAGGAGGTATGTATTGTAAATTAATGTCATTCACTTTTCAGGATGTTTTTGTGTGTAAGTTTGTCGGTATTGATAACCGTGTACCATTCATACAGTTGACTTCTAACCTGACTAACATATCTGCTTTCGCTCTTGTAATCCTGAGCCCACACACATATGGTTTACTGTCTAAGTAGGATTAGGAGTCATCAATATATGTATTGTTTTGAAATGATATTTTGAATTAAGAAACATTATTCAACACTTTGCTATACTATAAGCTTCATATCTCCTTATTGACAGGTTTCCTCATATAATATGTGCATCACAGACACTGTAGCAAGTACACATGATACTGAATTAAGAAAGATTAATTAAGCTTCATATCACCTTATTGAAGATTATGTGTATCACAGACACAGTAACACATGATACTGAATTGCTATGCTATAAGCTTCATATCTCCTTATTGACAGGTTCTCTCATGTAATATGTGTATCACAGACACTGTAACAAGTACACATGATACTGAATTAAGAAAGATTATTCAACACTTTGCTATGCTATAAGCTTCATATCTCCTTATTGACAGGTTCTCCCATGTAATATGTGTATCACAGGCACTGTAACAAGTACACATGATACTGAATTAAGAAACATTATTCAACACTTTGCTATGCTATAAGCTTCATATCTCCTTATTGACAGGGTTCTTCATGTAATACGTGTATCACAGGCACTGTAACAAGTACACATGATACTTAAAAAATGTAGATCAACATGCTAAGATGTCTGTACGTTCAGTCACGAAGTATAGTCAAGTTGAGTCTTGGTTGATGGTATGCTTTTTGCGATATGATTAAATTCTGAGGATTTGTATGGCAATGCAGCAAGAAAACATGACATCCATCATTAATATTTATATTGTCATGCAAGACTGCCTACAGCATGTCATGTCACTGCTAGATGATATTCCCTCTCACACCACACCTGATATCCACACCGGATTAAATATACCTCTGTTTGAGTTTCAAACCATAGTCAAACAGTTTAATCTTAAAGCTAACATCTATTACCAGAAAGAGTGAAAAGGATACCACTATTAACATTGAAAGGATTCTACTTTCCACAGAACCTGCTCTATGGCTAAATACTGGTTGTCCCAAAGATTTCATCATATGTACTTCAATTAATAAAAAAAAATCCAAAATAAACTTATGTTTTGTTATCTTCAGTGCAGCAAATATAAAAACTTCTTATGATACGTACTGAGACTTTCATAAGTAACAGTTTGCATTTACAGCTGAGGACATTGTGACATTAATATACTAGGCTTTAACAAGTTATTATCTTACAGTACCAGTTTAGCCAAAATTTACTTAGTTTCATAAAAGAACATAGTTTTTCTGTTATAACATAAAATCTTTTTACTCTGAATCTTGCATGTACATCTGTCTATATATTTGCATCATTTGTTTTTTTTCCAGAATGTCCTTTCAAGATAAGATAAGATATTTTATTGCATAGCATTCCATAAAGAAACAGTGGCAATATTCTATAAGCTACAAATATAACCACAGCAGGTACAAGTCAACTTTCCAGAATCATTTTTCTACTGAAACTTGAATAAATCAATGAAAACTGAGAAATTATCAGATTCTATTCTAACCAGTTTATCGTGGGTGAGAAAATGTTCGGATAGTCTAATCATGCTGAAGAATGTCAGTATTTCATTTGTGTGGGAGAAATGAGGGTGAGTCAGGACACAGTCTGTTTTTCCTGTAAGATGAGATGGGAGCAAGTCAGGTTCCAGATGATTCAGTATAAATAATATTTGTCTTTCATTTCCAAACAGCCAGACATAAATTATTATTCTCTGAGCATAAACTTTTTCAATTTTATTTAAATATTGACCCTTGCATGTTAAACATTCGGTTTAGATCATTCACCATGTATAATGTCCTTGAGATTTGTCCTTGAGATAGAAAGATTGTGCGGTATAAAAAACTGATAGGTTACGAGTGTGAGTGATATTCAAATACCTGCCGACATTGGTTGACTGACATACATTTCCTTAGTATGTGAGTCAGGGTAGAGATGCATGTCATATCCAACAAAGTAATTGTAAACAAAATCCTTCATTATAGTTCTTGAATAATTCGCTTAACCTCAACCCTTTCTTTAGCATATGAGTCAGTGAAAACAACGTGGTACTTAATTCAGGCTGTGAAATTATAAGTTGAATTGTTGTTACACATCAGGTGCTTCATCATTGTACCGGTACGTGTGATTAAAGCTGTAGGCTTGCAGGGCACATGTCATTATTTTCCTACTGATGTTCTCAATGCTCATGTCACGCTGTTAGTCTCTATTCACTAGCACTAGCAAATTGTTTATTTCATTCTTATTATGAACCTTGTCAACAAATTTTCAATGCATGAATAGGGGCGGTAGGGTAGGATGTGGTTAAAGTATTCGCTCGTCACGCCGAAGACCTGGGTTCGATTCCCGACATGGGTACAATGTGCGAAGCCCATTTCTGGTGTTCCCGCTCTGAAATTGCAGGAATATTGCTAAAAGCGGCGTAAAATCATACTCACACTCACAAATGAATACTGCAGTGTTTGCTAATTTCTTTGAATAACTTCTTTGATGGGCATTTTAGAAGTTGAGGTGATGAAGAAGTTGTATACAGAATCAAGTTCAAAACACTGACTCTAACTTTCCGTGGATACCACTCTGAGGCACCTCCCTATCTCAACGAACTTATTAACAAATACCAACCTGCAAGATCTTTGCGATCCGATAGCCAACTCCTACTGACAGTTCCCTCCGCCCGAACATCTTTTGGAAATAGAAGCTTCCAAATCGTAGCTCCACGGCTCTGGAATGCTCTCCCTTTTGAATTACGATCTTCTCAGAACATAGAAACATTCAAATCACACCTGAAAACCTACCTCTTCACCTCATGTTACGCCTGAACTGCAAACTCTCCGTGTATATAGACTCACTGTTGTACATATTCCCCAGGACAATTCATTGCCCAAAAGCACTTTTGAGCAGTTTAACAGAACTGGAAATAAGCGCTATATAAATATATATTTATTATTATTATTATTATATCCATAAAAATTGTCTTCATTCTTCTTTGAATAAGTTTGCAGTGCTATCATGAAGAGCAACCACAGAACATTCTCTCTTCACTTATTGATAACCAGCAATATATGGTTTGACTTTATTGACAACAGCAATAAGCATTATTTTGTTAGCATGTCCCAGGTTTGAGAATATATAAATAATTTAAATATGGATTGACGTATAAAAACATAGCACCTTGTAGTTGGCAAAAAAATGAAAAGTAAAATATTAACAATTAAACAAAAAGTAAGAAAACTCTTTAATGATATTTTCTCAAATACAAAAAGCATCTTTCTCTGACTGAGGTATATTGATACACATTTTATTTTAAACAGAAAGAGCATTTAAGTCTTTTTCACTGAAACAACCAAACAGCTTTAAAATAGTGTTGGAGTATATCCAGGACTCTGGAAGACCTTGAAAAACACATGGCCAAACTTCAAATACCTCGTCTAAATACCAGTAGTATGTATTGCACCTTGCCAAATAGCTGACTGGTATCTTATGTTGTATTTAACAACATTTTGTACTCTTTTTTTCATTCTTTTGTACCCAAATCTTCCTACTTCGTATGTTTTCAATTATGTCAGACACAACATACTTATCTTATTGTACACAATGTGGGCACATTTAGGCTGTAATTTTAATGAATGCAGCTTTCAAATTTGCCAACTAATTATGTTTTTGCAGCTTCAGCTTGTTTGAGTGTTGCTTATTGCTCACCATGCTTTAACTCTGCTTGTTGCAACTAGGCTGTTCACCTGAGGAGTTCCGCTGTATTGATGGGTCATGTATAAGCATCCTGCAGAGGTGTGACAGTCGTGGAGACTGCCCCGATGGTGATGACGAGTTTGGCTGTCGTAAGTATCTATTATTGTCATTGGTTATGTATTAACGCCATGCCCAACATTCCTGCAGAATTTTGTCATTTTTCTGAAGAATTATGTGATAAATCTATTATGTAAAGTAATCAAATGTGTGGAACTTTTGAAAAAGTGAATTAAAAGCATACTCTATTTTTCATTAATATTTAAAAGGGTAAATCGTGATAATTTCACATTTCCAATCCTTTCTTGGAGAAGAATGTTTTGATTCATTCAGTCTTAAACTTTCAAATCCTTCAAATAAATGACAAAACAATCAATCTAACTCATTTGATTCTTTATTTTCTAACTGTAATTAAAATCAATTTAAGTAACAATTTTGCTTGAAATTTCATTTGCTTTTTAGTTAATAACTTTCTTGCTACTGCACAAATCTTTCACTGAGTTTATGACAAAATATAGGTCTGTTTAACAACTAATATCTTTTACAGTAAAGTGATAATGTTTTTGTGTGGTATGGTTCACATGTTTAGTTTTACATGGATTGCTCATTGATTTCTTGTCTTATTTGGTTTTACATCTTTCCATTAAATCTTGAAACCTTTGGACACAGATAAAATATCTCCAATGAACGGAAAAACATGTGAAAAGTGTTGTATTCTTCTAAATTACAATTTATGAAAAAGTTCATTGATTGTACAAATATATTTTTAACTCATTAAAATATGGAGAGATGTAAAGCAATAGCTCCCACTTGAACAGCTTTCATTCCATTTTGTAGAAATATTTGTCCTCATGTTGTCATAGCGTGATACTCTGGTATATGAATCTATATGAGGTAGTTGTCTATGGTGGAGGGTGTGAATGTCAAGAAGAATGCATGTTTCCTCGTGGTGCTATTGGTTCTCTGAAAAGGGCTTCCCTTCTTGAGGTGGTGATAGGGCTTTAACATCATCATCAAATCTTCATGCATTCAGCATGGGCGTTTCCGCCTCAGATGTGCACATGGAAGTTATGGAAGGCTATGTTCTGTGGTATTAGGGACCTTCTTCATCAGTTGCATGGACATTGTGGACTACTACAGAGGTTATGGCAGATGCTTGATTCCAGTGTAACCAGGCTATAAATATGCTCTTCCTCTGCTTCTAGAAGGATGCATATTGACAGATGTCAGAAAAATAATATCTGGATAATTTCTTTGAGTAGCATTTAAGAAGTTGGGAAGTATGATATTGACTAACTTTGTGGATAACAATGTTGCACTCACAAAATATAAGCTGTTGTTATCCATAAAGTTTGTCAGTATTTGGACAATTGTTTGATAGTGAATATGACTGTGTGTCATTGTACATTGTACTTTGAAGTCACCATTACAATTTTATTGCTGAACTCCTGGGATATATTTGTTTTACTTGCAATTTTTCAATATGCATCAAGATTTCTCGAAAGGTTGTATTGTAATGTCGACTTAAGAGGAGTGGTAGTTATTCTTCTGGAAAGGGATTCTTACTAATGACATTCAAGCATGACTAGAAATAGAAAACATTCACAGGGATTAATACTATTTTACTTAACATTCATGGACTTTATCTCCTAGGACACCTCATCTATCTTTTCTGGAAAGCATGCTGATGTGATCATGTGTATTAATCATATAACATGGGCATTAGCACTTGCCCAAATTAGCCAAAGCTGTACGTTTTGGTGTGGACTACTGTTCACTTAACCTAGTGATAACACTGTCTGCTTGTCCCTTACCAAAGCCTCCGTCCCCTGCCCACGGGGACAGTTTAGATGCGAAGGGGGGAGGTGTATAGATGATCGTCTTCGTTGTGATGGCAGAGCTGACTGTCCCGACAGAACAGACGAAATCGACTGTCGTAAGTTCACCAGCGCTGTGGAGGCAGAACAGTCTGCGAAATATTCTCTCACAAGTTTTCTGCATTTGCTTAAAAAGGCCGTAGAAATGAACAGTTATTGGCAGTCAATCACTTACAAATATATTATATAATTTATGGGTAATTTAGTTATTAAAAAGCTGTAAGGAAATGCCTGTCTCAAAAACAAAGACCAACAATTGTAAAAAAAGAACATACTTTGTCTCTGTCATTTCTTCGGCCAGACATGTATTCCCCCTTTGCAAATGAAAACCAACAAGCTTCGCATTCTTGGATTTCCTTTTGGATTCTCTTGGGTGCTTGCTTTTTACTCTCCCACTTATGTATAGATTCTTTTCCAAGAGATTTATTTTATGGTGAAGTTTGCTTGCCAGACCTTTCCCTTTAATGTTTCACCAAGGCTTAAAAAGAATGCTTTCAGCAAAACAGATTTGTGAGTACTTTTTTATGTTGTGCTGAAAAAGCTTTAAATGCATCATAAACCCTCCTTTCTTCAAATACATTATATGTTTTGCTTGCAATAAACATTTTGAATTCTAGTTTTCTATATTTCATTGCTTAAGATATAAATAATAATTGTATTATTATGTTGTGATATTTTATATTTCATATCATATCTGAATATTAAAAGGCTTGTAATTTTTACTGCATCAAGGAAGCACCCAAGAATATTTCCATTAAAACTATTTAACAATTTAATGTAACAATTATTGTCGAGAGATTAGGTCCTACCCTATTCTATCTGCTCAGTATATGTGTTCAAATATCTACCAGAAAATGTGGGAATCATTATGATTTTGTCCTTAGAAATGGTTGCCATGGTTTTGTTTGTGGTTCTAGTCCAATGGCCTGTAGCCAGAGACTAGTGTGTTGTCTGTGGTTTCAACCATTCAGTCTTGTTCAGTTAAGACTGGTAAAGTCTTCTGTTGAATTGGTCAGTCTCAAGACCTTGTGTTGCAGTCTTGTTGGACGGGTGTTGTACTCAAGTTCTTGGTAGTTGCCAAGAACCAGTTTTGTGGTCAAGTGCTGAGACCAAAGGTTTGTGTCCCTCTCCAGCAGTGTGTTGCCTTGGAGACAGTGTTCCTTCATCCTCAGTGATAGGATAGTGTCATGTCAGCATGTTATACCTTGATATCAGGGATCCTGTATTACAACTTGTCTGTCTCTGAGTCATATCTTCTTATGCCCATGACAACAGAGTCCGAGTGGAATGTTGTCATGAGATTTAATTCATTGTTTTACAGAATATTTGGTAGCAAAACAATAATGAGGTTGTAGCAAATGTTATATGTGGGATTACATTTTCTCAGTAGTACAGATTCTAGTATTTTTGTTGGGTTGAGTTCCATCCTTGGGGAAGGAAGCTGCGTTGGCTGAGTGGGTTAGACAGCTGACTTTGTGGTGATTACGTGCCCGACTCAGAGAGTGGGTTTCGAATCCCGGATGGGACACAACCCAACAAAAGTACTAGAATCTGTACTTTACTGAGAATGTGTAATCCCAAATATTACACGAGTTACATTAGACCACTTTCTAAATGGCATTGTGTATCAATAATCAGGCTGCATGTTCCTTGTTCAAATTCACAAACTGACACCTAAAAAGAATACTAATACATTGATTTGAAGATCACTCAGTGTGATAGTAATTGTTACCAAGACATTGGCATGAATTTATCTAATATTCATTATCTATTTGTCTATTTGTTTTTGTGTGTCCATTAAGTGTTTTGTGTTAACTTCAACTTTAGAATTCCCTGTCATCATTTTGCAGTAGTGTTGAATCTCAGATAACTGTTGTTTTTGTAGTTACACAGTAGACCATGTGATTGTGATAAGTTGCCTCTGCAGCAGTTTTTGAAATTCCGAACTTGCCCAGACTTAAATGACAAAACAATATTTAAAACAAGCATTTAGAAATCTGTTTGCAAAAATGCCAGGTATTTCAGATTCTGTGGATCAAAATTGTTGTTTACTTTCAGATTTATTGTCCATTCTTGTTACTTGTGTCAGTGTGCTGCTTCTTGAATCTCCCAGTCCCAGTTCTTATTACAGTCTTCATCATCTTTCCTTTGTCAGTCGCTGTGTTTCTTTTGTTCATGGAACAACCCTCACATGTTTCTTTATGTATATTTGTGACAGAAATGGCCACTTCATGTCTCAGTTTTTTAGTCCAGCTTTTAAAAACTGTACTGAAACAGGCATGAACGGAAACTTGTATTATAAATATGTATATAACAATGTTGCAATATGATACTGACGTTGCATTGTCTGGTCCTGACAAGTATCAGTATTTAACACATACCTGAACTTTTGTTATTTCTGTGTTAGGCAATACCACTATATCATGCTGTACTATATCTGCAGTATTCAAATTTTAGACGAGTCAATTTATTTGGACACAAACTGGTCTGTTATGTATAAGATAAATTAATTTGGCAATTGAAGTGGCAATTTCTTTTCAAAGGTGTGTCCATGTGGACAGGTAGGGCCTCTATGTGTCTGTGTTTGTTTGTCTCGTGTCCCACCTCATGTTAGTAAGTCATATCAAACTTATGTGGAAAGTTTTATTTTATAAATATATGCTTTCTTTTCAGCAAAATGTAACCTCAAAATATGAGATTTTATATAAGAAACATCTGCGATGTCATTGAAAAGTTGAACTTGTAGCCATGCGGTTAAGATGTTTGTCTGTCCTGCTGCAGACCCATGTTTGAATCCACATGTGTTTCTAATTAGTGACTGTCTTTGTTTATGTGTCCTGCAGCAAGATATTGCAGCTACAATATTGTTAAAACAGGCCTCTCCTTCTTCTTTTATGACATTGCAAAATATATAGTATTTATCTAAAGAAATGTGAAGTGTCTTTCATTGCTAGAAGAGAAAGAGATATTCTTTTGTGGCAGTTAGAAATTTTATCTGATATTTTTAATTCCTTCAATGCTCAATATGTAAAGTTTGCCTAATCAATATCAAAATAATCATAAATTCATAACCTATCCAATGGTTAAAATCACTTAATGCCCACGAAGTAATTACTTTTATCATTTGTCATGAATCTTGAAATAGACATTGGAGTGTGAACTGTGAAGTGGATATTTATTCAATGTCTTCAATTAATTCATAATTCATCTGGAGGGTTTGAATGTATTTTCAGAATATGTTGAACATGATTAAAGCATTAGATGTCTCCTTACAGCCACCAGGAACTGCACCTCAGCCGAGTTCCGCTGTAATGATGGGACATGCATTGATAGATCCCAGGTTTGCAATGGTTACCCTGACTGTGATGACAGTTCAGATGAAGACGCCAATAGATGTGGTATGTTTAGCACAGCCAATGAGATTACATCATTAGTAGGGAGATAATTATATGTCATAATGTAACAAATGATGCATATCAAAATGCTGAAATGTTTGGTTGTTAATCATGGTAATGTTTATAAGCCAAAATAATGTAAACTTCTTTCATGATTAATCTTGTACCATTCCTCTGGCAGTTCTGATGAAGATGCCAATAGATGCAGTATGTCTGGCAGATCCAATGAGAGTACCCAATTAGTAGGGAGATATTTGTCATAATGTAACAAATGATGCATATTCTTAATTATAGTGAAGTTTAGGTGCAATAATGATGTAAAATATGATTCCGACCCTCGTTCATGATTAATCGTGTACCAATTCCTCTGACAGTTCCCATCCTGCCCGAGCTGTGTCCGGAGGGCCAATTCCGCTGTGGTGATGGTCAATGCATTGACAGCAGGTATGAGTGCAATGGAGCTCAGGACTGCCGCGATGGATCTGATGAATTGAACTGTAGTGAGTTATCTCCCTTGCATTGGTATTCTCTTATTTCATTATTATTTTAAAGGTATCTATTTCAGTCTTTGATTCAGATCATATTTATCTCATTGAAATTCCTTTGTGTAAACTTGCTATCTCAGACATATAAGCATGTAATTTTGAAATTCCACAAGAACATCCTGATGAGCTGTTCAACACCCAGCTGGTCAAAAAGGTGTTGGTTGGCATGACAACACCTGTTTCAGGTGTCCTTATGTTGCTGTTGCAGGTGTAAAACAATATACCCTATGTTAGTGTCAGGTACAACAATGGTCCTCTTACAGGTAAAAAGCAATATTTCAGGTGTCCTTATGTTGCTGTTGCAGGTGTAGAGGGATATCGCCATTTTCCTATTACAGGTGTAAAACAATTTATCATCCAAAACTGTGTTCCACAGGAAATATTGCTTGTGTGAGATCAATGATATCTCCTAGGAGATATCGTTTTGACAGTAGATTTTGTACAATGCCCTGACTTCAACAATTACATGACTCACAATGCTATGACTTCAAAAACCTTATGATGTCACAATGCTATGACATCGCTGCACTGCAAGCCTATGGCATATTCAGAGATGTACATCTTGGTGTAAAGTGATGTCACAATGTTGCAAGTGTAAAGCAACACTGTCAATGCCAATGTTCCTGTTGCAGGTGCCCGCTGTTCCCCAGGAGAGTTCCAGTGTGCGGACTCCTCCTGTATTGATGAGCGGTTCCGCTGTGATGGTGTGCCAGACTGCTCAGACAGTTCTGATGAGGCTGCTTGTCGTAAGTATCCTGTCGCGCAGTCAAGGCGCTGCTTTCGTGACACGTCGCAGCAAGCCAGTCACCAACCATTCATGGGTCAGCTACCCCTCGTCTCATAGCACAGGTCAATGTCAGTACATCGCGGGTTCGTATACATTATGTTTCTACATCATGTCTGAAACACAAGATCCATTTGTTCTGTAATCGTGATGTACACTGATTTATGATCAGGTAATGAACAGAGCATGTGTATAGCTCACAGAGGTCAAATGAGCCCTGATTCATGCATGAGCTTTGTGAGAAACTGCTGTTGCCATATGTTGGAGTAACATGTAGAGTAAAACTGTGGACTATAACAAGAAAGATAACTGATGCAATCATGGTGGCCATTGGCAGTGTAGGAAAGATGTAGAAAATCTAGCCTGTCCACAGGACTGGCAGGTCAATATTTTTACCAGTCCTGCCAAAATCTAGCCTGTCCTCCAAATATAAATAAAACACCTTCGGCAGTAAATATTCAAAAAGGTTATAATCATTATATATATGTCATTGGTTTGCTAAAATTGACCCGACATGAGGACGGACTAGATATTTTTTTAACCCGTCCTCCACAAAATTCACCCGTCTCGGACGTTGGGACGGGCTATCTTTCCTACACTGCCATTGGTTCCCCTCTGGTTGAACCAATCTGTGGCTGACTGCAGCCGAAAACAGCAGTATTCAGGATGATGGAGAAAAGTAGTGTATACAAACCTGTGAAGTACTTGACAGCATACAAGATTAGATTTTTTTTAGATGCAGTATTTTGCCTGATTATACTCATGTGTAAAGGATGTGATTTTGAGTTAAATAACTGAAAACATATTTTTATAATTAATGATTGTGTCATGTGTACCAAGACTATTGAATCTCAAACACATGCTAAACAGACCCATGAATCCCATATCCGAAAGCGCATCCTCTTTCTAGTGTGTACCAAGACTATTGAATCTCAAACACATGCTAAACAGACCCACAAATCCCATATCCGAAAGCGCATCCGCTTTCTAGTGTGTACCAAGACTATTGAATCTCAAACACATGCTAAACAGACCCACAAATCCCATATCCGAAAGCGCATCCGCTTTCTAGTGTGTACCAAGACTATTGAATCTTAAACACAGGCTAAACAGACCCACAAATCCCATATCCGAAAGCGCATCCGCTTTCTAGTGTGTACCAAGACTATTGAATCTCAAACACATGCTAAACAGACCCACAAATCCCATATCCGAAAGCCCATCCTCTTTCTAGTGTGTACCAAGACTATTGAATCTCAAACACATGCTAAATAGTGGTGTAACGATTCATCGATAGTATCGATGTTTGCATCGTCAACTACGTGATACGAGTGCATCGATACAAAACACATTTAGGCCATATATCAGGATATTTATATTGCAAGGGTCCATGATACATCGATGTATCGCCACAAGAGACAATATATCCCGATACTACTTAAATACTACTTAAAGTTGTAAGGAGTATTGCATTAGGAGTAGGAAGGGAGTCTCTTTGAAATACTTTTTAAATTTTAAAAACAATCTGAACCTTATAGGAATCTGTTTGTGTCTGCCATCTTTGTTAGATGAACAAAGGAGTTGGTGTATCAGTGAAAGAATGTGAAAATTTTTCAATCTCAGTGAACTGTAAAAGACTTGTCTTTAAGTAATTGAAACATGTTTTAGTTGTTTGACAAATAACACCATTTATTAACAACTATGAACGATGTCGTAGCTATTTTAAGAAAGAGAAGATATATTTAGAAAGCATACTTAAGAGTTTGTTTCAGTGATTCTGGTATAAATTACATTGAAATGTCAGTGAAAGCATTGGTGGAGAAACACAACTTTCCAAGGGAAGCCTAGATCAAAGGTTTATGTTTGAATTGTACTTTCTTAAGCATTAAATGCTGAAACTTTCATTACATGAACAGCCTTTTAAGTGTGTGTGAATGTTGCACATGTTCTGCTGTATAACAAATAAAGATTCAGTCATTATATCTATCATATATGTCCTGTGTTTAGAATTGTAAAGTATCGGGATACGTATCGTATAGCCATCACTGTATCGTGATGATAATCATCTCGCAGGTTCCTTGCCAATACTGTCATGATATATTGTATCACCTCATTAAACTGGTATCAGGATATATCGTCTCGCCACTTAGGCACCGATACACAGCTCTAATGCTAAACAGACCCACGAATCCCATATCGGAAAGCTCATCCTCTTTCTAGTGTGTACCAAGACTATTGAATTTCAAACACATGCTAAACAGACCCATGAATCCCATATCCGAAAGCTCATCCTCTTTCTAGTGTGTACCAAGACTATTGAATCTCAAACACATGCTAAACAGACCCACGAATCCCATATCCGAAAGCTCATTCTCTTTGTAGTGTGTACCAAGACTATTGAATCTCAAACACATGCTAAACAGACCCACGAATCCCATATCCGAAAGTTCATCCTCTTTCTAGTGTGTACCAAGACTATTGAATCTTAAACACATGCTAAACAGACCCACGAATCCCATATCCGAAAGTTCATCCTCTTTCTAGTGTGTACCAAGACTATTGAATCTCAAACACATGCTAAACAGACCCACGAATCCCATATCCGAAAGCTCATCCTCTTTCTAGTGTGTACCAAGACTATTGAATCTCAAACACATGCTAAACAGACCCACAAATCCCATATCCGAAAGCGCATCCTCTTTCTAGTGTGTACCAAGACTATTGAATCTCAAACACATGCTAAACAGACCCACAAATCCCATATCCGAAAGCGCATCCTCTCTCTAGTGTGTACTGACCCATGAAGCGTTGACGCTGAAACCAATCATGTCATTCACAAATGACTGTAAATGTTCTATTTATCAAATGACAAATCAAATTCATGATCATCTTGAAGACTTGTATGGTCAAAGGGGCAGGGGTGGCCCAGTGGTGTGAGGCGCTGCAGTTCTCTGTGTTGAGTTCTAGCCTTAAGCCATGGGTTCAGATCCCTGGTTTCACATGGTTATGCATTTCGGTTTGCTCACCAAAGTGGTAAAAGTCATGACCACTTCCTTCCAGATCAGGCTGAAATGCTGTGCTATACATGAAATACTGTGAACGTAGCCCCCAATCATGTGTATCTTTGTGTCAACATAAACCATTTATCCATCACTGCATCAAAAGCCAAATTTTCATATGCTTGCAAAAAGTCAAATTTATGAGAAATTGAATAAATTATTATCAAAACTGATGAATTGATATGAATAATCCTTGGACATTTTGTGTATTGCAGTTCATCCCTTATACCATGTGTAGGGGTGCAATACGTGTTTTGTATGTCATGTCATGGTAAAGTCAGCTGATTGTGGTATTTCATTTGTATGCCTCCTCTGTATTGTAAGTATACACACTTGGTTGTATTTGTACAACACTGTTCATGATTTGTGCAACACTTGTGTAAGTTTTGTGCCACATGTTTCTTGACAATTGTCCAGTCTGTCAGTGAGTATTGTTTGTCCATATTGTGCATTCAACAGGTGTAAAGGGTAACTATTTCTTTGTTGCATTACGTCAAGTAATTGTACTTTTGTTTTTGTTTGAACATGTAAGTTATATTTGTCATTCTGCTTCGATCCAAAACTGTCAAAATGCTCTGCCTATTGCTTACTGCAATGATTGCCTGCTTCATGCTGTCTCTGGTACAGGTTTTCAACATTGTACAAGTTTACCCATGACAACTGGATTGTAGATTTGAGAATTTCTTAAGCAGCATACAGAATAATCCTGTCTTATGGGGCTGACTGTGTTTAATTGAAGGGTTACATGTCTAATTAATGTTGGAATTATCCTTGAGTTTAAATGGGTTTGATTTGCAGTAAAATACCTTTATAACGAACTCCAAGGGACCACTGAAATTAGTTCATTATACCCGTAGTTCACTATTCACTTTTTTATATGATAATATAAGGTTTATTCAGGACTTTTAAAAACAGTTCGCTATAGCTGTCAGTTCGTTATATCCGTGTTCGTTATAAAAGTATTCTACTGTATTTGGGTAATACTTAAGTAATTGAGTCAGTAGGGTAAATTTGGTCATTTGAAACTCTTAACATATGGAATGAAGGGTCTATATATACACAGAAAACTGCTTGAGAAATTTCTCAAACCATGATCTAGTATGACTGGTTGCTTATACGTACAACTCCTTGTTTGTAAATATTCAGCGCCATCCTTCTATATTCACAGCGACTTCTCGATCAGGTAAAGTGTTCTACCTTCAGCCGACTCTCTTGTTCAAGCTGTTTGCATATAAATGTATCATGCTGTTAGCGTTCAACTCACGTTGTTCAAGTGGTTGCTTGAGCTCTGTTGTATCTGCATGTTTATTCGCTGTGCAATGTAGAGCACATTTTGAAAATGTAAATTTTGAAAAAATCAATCTATATGACAAGTTATTTTCTTTAATTCATTTTATGAAAATGAAATTTAAAATGTTACATGAATATTTATCAGTATAGATTTGGAAATGAATCAAAACTGTCTATAGAATCAGAAAATGAAGATTGTAGACTTTCTTTGTTTTGATAAGGAAGTATATGTATACAAGCAATCACTTTGTAATGTTTTTTTGCTAACATATAAGACATTCATTCTTGCAGTGTATTCATCATAATTAATATGCACTTTGTGCTGCCACACTGGTTTTGGTTGTAAATATCACTGGAAGAAGATAATCAAATGTAATCCTAATCTCTATGCGCGCCTGTGTACCTATTTCTCATTATGATATCGGATATATCACATTGTACTATAATTCATATCACATACTTAAGGAATATGTTATACTTAAAATATAACACTGCCACATATTTGATATGCAATAACACCCTATATCAGTATGTCAAGATGTGTTCACATTTTAAACATGTTAAACAGTGTTTTCATTGCTTATATTTCATGGTCTATACCTTTGCTTTTATTGCTTTTATTCTTGACACTTTTCTACTGTGTCAGTAAGAATTTGGTGTTCAGTTCTTCTTTTTCAAGTCTCTCTTTTCATTGAACTTTAGTTTAGCTTAAACTTCTATAATTTCAAAAGTGGTAGATAGATTAGTGATCTAGTTTACACTCTGTGATACTCTGTTGTAAAATGTTGTGACTGTTCAAGTATAGTGTCAGCTCTTGTGAAGAGCATGGGCTATTGTTTTTATTACTCGCCCGTGGAAGATACTGCAGTGTAATATTTTTACAGCAGTATACGTATGACGTCATAATCGTTTACAGTTATGACGTCACAATGCTAATACCTCTGTCACAATGGTATTAGACCTTTCTTGACTCGTGAAAAGCTGAGTCATCACACTACGTAGATAGTTTCTATCAGTTTTTGTTGGAGAGTAATAAACAGAATACTAAACTCGCTTCTGTGAAATACCATTTTTATTAAACTCGTGAAAGATTTAGCATCAAACTCGCTTTCGCTCATTTGATACCAAATCATTAACTCGTTTAATAAAAATGGTATTACACGGAAGGTCGTTTAGTATCCTCTATATATCCCACGATGCATTATACCACTCTGTGCAGCAGCATGCACCAGTCACAATGCAGGCACCACGTAACAGGATCCTGCTGGTTATCATGGTTATACAATCCCCGTGATTTTGAAGCAGAGATTTGTCTTGGGAATTCCCAGTTGGGAAGAAATAAGTTCCCAAATGGGAATTGAGAAGTTCCCTAATAATTTTTATATTTATATTTTGACTTATAGTAAGTGAAACTAAAGAATTGTTTAAACTTCTTGTTTAACATGCCTATCAAATTTTAAAAAAGAAGAATCTTTAGAAATCCATTTTTCCTACCAATGATACTGTTGAGTTTCCCAAGCAGGATCATGTCATATCTACCCACTTCGAAATGTTGTCATCAAAAGCATTTCTTTTTGCAAGAAATAAAGTAATTTCATAACAGGACAATGCCAGTGATATTTCTATAAAACAGATCATCCAGTGTCGGTAAATATTGAAACCTCCATTACATCAAGTTGCATCTGAAACGAACATACCATCCTGTGGATACAGGAGAAAGATCATCGAGTTTGGGTTTATTCTTTACCCTTAACAGCTTGAAAACAGTTCCAGCAAATTAATTAACATTATTTGAAGCTATGTAAGCATGTGTTCAGTTTTCATACTTACAATTGAAATTGTGTGAAAGTTTTGTTTCAGACCTCAGTCCTGATACTGACATGGATATGTTTTATTTGGACATACCATTGTTCCTTGTGAAACTTCATCTCATTGGGACATGTCACATTGTACATTATGTTACATAGTTTCACTGGGACATACCATTGTTCCTTGTGAAACTTCATCTGATTGGGATGTGTCATATTGTACATTATGCAACATAGTTTCACTGGGACATACCATTGTTCCTTGTGAAACTTCATCTCATTGGGATGTGTCATATTGTACATTATGTTACATAGTTTCACTGGGACATACCATTGCACCTTGTGAAACTTCATCTCATTGTAGGACATGTCACATTGTACATTATGTTACATAGTTTCACTGGGACATATCATTGTACTTTGTGAAACTTCTCCTTGTCACATTGGATGTTACATGTCATATTGTACATTATGTTACATAGTTTCACTGGGACATATCATTGTACTTTGTGAAACTTCTCATTAGGATGTGTCATATTGTACATTATGTTACATAGTTTCACTGGGACATATCATTGTACTTTGTGAAACTTCTCATTGGGATGTGTCATATTGTACATTATGCAACATAGTTTCACTGGGACATACCATTGCACCTTGTGAAACTTCATCTCATTGGGACATGTCACATTGTACATTATGTTACATAGTTTCACTGGGACATACCATTGTACTTTGTGAAACTTCTCATTAGGATGTGTCATATTGTACATTATGTTACATAGTTTCACTGGGACATAACATTGTACTTTGTGAAACTTCTCATTGGGATGTGTCATATTGTACATTATGCAACATAGTTTCATTGGGACATATCATTGTACTTTGTGAAACTTCTCATTGGGATGTGTCATATTGTACATTATGCAACATAGTTTCATTTGGACATATCATTGTACTTTGTGAAACTTCTCATTGGGATGTGTCATATTGTACATTATGCAACATAGTTTCACTGGGACATACCATTGCACCTTGTGAAACTTCATCTCATTGGGACATGTCACATTGTACATTATGTTACATAGTTTCACTGGGACATATCATTGTACTTTGTGAAACTTCTCATTAGGATGTGTCATATTGTACATTATGTGACATAGTTTCATTGAGAAGGGTCATATTGTACCGTACATTATTTGACATAGTTTCATTGGGACATATCATATTGTACATTATGTTACATAGTTTCACTGGGACATATCATATTGTACATTATGTGACATAGTTTCGTTGGGACAGGTCATATTGTACATTATGTTACATAGTTTAATTGGGACATATCATTGTACTTTGTGAAACTTCTCATTGGGATGTGTCATATTGTACATTATGTTACATAGTTTCACTGGGACATGTCATATTGTACATTATGTGACATAGTTTCATTGGGACAGGTCATATTGTACATTATGTTACATAGTTTCATTGGGACAGGTCATATTGTACATTATGTTACATAGTTTCATTGGGACAGGTCATATTGTACATTTTTTTACATAGTTTCATTGGGACATATCATTGTACTTTGTGAAACTTCTCATTGGGATGTGTCATATTGTACATTATGTTACATAGTTTCATTGGGACGTATCATAATGTACTTTGTGAATCCTCATTTCATTGGGAAATAACATATTGTACACAGTACTACACAGTCTTATTGGCACATTTCATATTGTACATTGCATGACATGGTCTCATTTTGATGTATCATATTGTACATTGTATTCTCACACTTTGTACTGAGCAGGGCAATAAGTTCACAGTTCAAGTATTTATTGTGTGTGCATTGTAAAAATGATTGGAGCTGAAGAAATAACTACCATACACGTTATATACTGCCGTAAACAAGACACCTTATTCCATTTAATTATATAGAGGTAGCTAAGTGCTTATAACATTCACTTAGCACAATGAACACCTAGATTCAGTTCCCCACATGGGTACAACATGAGTACTGTGCTATAACTGGAATATTGCTTAAAGTGTTCTAAAACCATATCGCTCACTCCAACACCAGGCCAATGACTGGAGTCTTCCTTTAGGTCCAACTCGCTCACATACCGATCTGAAATTTTCTTGCTCTTTTCTTATTTCCGGCAGTATATTTACAGATATTTTCTGAGTATTCCTGTCTGTTATTAATCAGAACTAAGCTTGGAGGATCAGATTTTGAATAAGTTAAGAGCCAACATATTGTTTAACAGTACTGTAGTAAATGTATCATGGCAGGTACTTAACTGTTAAAGTAGTTCCAGATTTCTACGTTATGTTCCCAGGTGAAAGTATATTCATGCATACATGACTTAATTTCAGCTATTGTTATCAGTGGGACTAAAAGTGTAAAGCCCAACGAACAGATCAAACTTACGTGTAACGCTTCCAGCACTCGGCGGGATCCCGTCACTGGTCTGGAATGGTATAAAAATGGCCGAAAACTGGAGGAAGATCGCAGGAATGTGATTTTGAGGAATTATGGGAGAGACAGATACTATGTTAGTGAACTATATGTGCGTAGAACGCGTGTTGAAGATGGTGGACGTTACACTTGTCGTACTGAGCGAAATCAGGAGAGTATTGACGTGAGGATTGAAGGTAGGTGTTTGACCTAGCAATATGGGCGCCACTTCACATCGGCCAAAAGATGAAATTGTGACAGAAACTTTGTCCTTATTTCAGGACAAAACTTGTACCTGAGCATCCAGGTTGTGAGTTGGGTCTCAGTGTAATATCCAATGAGAAATCTGGATGTTATGATGTCAGCAATATAGATTTTATCACTCACTTGAGATGTGTTTGCACAAATTTCTTTGTCACCCAGCAAACTCTATACTTATGTTATTTGTGAAAGAGAGGAGGTTAAGTATTCTAAGAAGGTAGTCAGAGGATAACAATTATAACATTTTCAGTGTTTTTCACTCCTTGACAGACCTATGTTTTTTATTGTTTCAAACATCTGCCTGTCACTTATGGCTATTTATTTTGCGTTTGTAAATTTGGTAAAATAATCCTACCTAGTAACCATTGATGTAAAAATCTACAGTAACATTTTGACCATGCAGGACTTCATCTGAAGCAAAAGCTATTGGTTTCCCCAAAACAAAGACCCACAAGAAGGTGGAGGTGTAAACCACACACATATTAGTGTGGTGATGGGCACAATAGTCATTTGGATTCTTTTTGGCATTCCTGCTCTAGGTATTTGGCTTGGGAACATCTGTGAAAGAAGTAGTAAATTTGTTCTGGCCAAAGTTTGGAACTTGAAAGTGAAAGTGAAAGCTAATTTTGGTTCTGAAATGAAACTGATGGTAATTATGTAATTAACACTAGCACATGAGACTGTACTATAGTATTTGGACTACAGTATTGTTCTAGTGTAATGACTCTAGTATTACTTAAGTATTATGTCTACTATACAGATTATTTTGTTTTTTTAGAAATTCTTTTTAGCGATATATGTAAAAGGATAAATTCTATGTTTAAACAGAATTTTGACATGTCTGGAAGTGTCACATCAAGACGACATGGGGAAAGTAATGTTGCAAACATTTGTTGAGATAATATGAAAATTTGTGCTAAAAGGTGCAGTGATGGTTTATCCTATGCCTAACATCTACGTTATGAAGCTGTTATTCCATGTCTATGTACCCAGAGAAGTGTTATTTATACACAGTTATTACACATCACGGCCTTTGCACCAAATGAATGACTTTCTTTGTCACTAGCTAAACGTGAATGCTCTGCATCGGAGTTCCGCTGTAGCAAAGGCCAGTGTCTGGACGCTGCTGCTCGCTGCAACGGTGTCCCAGAATGCATTGATGGCTCTGATGAAGAGAACTGCCGTAAGTTACATGTCATTGTTCCAGCAGACATAATACAGTTGACATGGCAGATATTTGGGCTGTGGATTTTTGTTGTTGATAAGCCATCCCCCAAAGTGCCATGGGGGTTCGGACACCTGAACCCCACCCCCCACACCCCATCCCCACCCCACACCCCTCCACCCCCTCTGAAAAAGACTAAAGAGCACATTGAAGTTAAAGAACCTGCACCACCATATCCATTGGTCTGCACCAGCTGGAAGTGTGTAGAACCTGCACCACCATATCCATTGGTCTGCACCAGCTGGAAGTGTGTAGAACCTGCACCACCATATCCATTGGTCTGCACCAGCTGGAAGTGTGTAGAACCTGCACCACCATATCCATTGGTCTGCACCAGCTGGAAGTGTGTAGAACCTGCACCACCATATCCATTGGTCTGCACCAGCTGGAAGTGTGTAGAACCTGCACCACCGTATCCATTGGCCTGCACCAGCTGGAAGTGTGTAGAACCTGCACCACCATATCCATTGGTCTGCACCAGCTGGAAGTGTGTAGAACCTGCACCACCATATCCATTGGTCTGCACCAGCTGGAAGTGTGTAGAACCTGCACCACCATATCCATTGGTCTGCACCAGCTGGAAGTGTGTAGAACCTGCACCACCATATCCATTGGTCTGCACCAGCTGGAAGTGTGTAGAACCTGCACCACCATATCCATTGGTCTGCACCAGCTGGAAGTGTGTAGAACCTTCACCACCATATCCATTGGTCTGCACCAGCTGGAAGTGTGTAGAACCTGCACCACCATTGGTCTGCACCAGCTGGAAGTGTGTAGAATCTGCACCACCATATCCATTGGTCTGCACCAGCTGGAAGTGTGTAGAACCTGCACCACCATATCCATTGGTCTGCACCAGCTGGAAGTGTGTAGAACCTGCACCACCATATCCATTGGTCTGTACCAGCTGGAAGTGTGTAGAACCTGCACCACCATTGGTCTGCACCAGCTGGAAGTGTGTAGAACCTGCACCACCATATCCATTGGTCTGCACCAGCTGGAAGTGTGTAGAACCTGCACCACCATATCCATTGGTCTGTACCAGCTGGAAGTGTGTAGAACCTGCACCACCATTGGTCTGCACCAGCTGGAAGTGTGTAGAACCTGCAGCACTTCACCTATTCATTCTCTTGAAGTATTCCCTTGACTCCCAATGCCCTTGCTTGCAGCGTGCCGTGAAGACCAGTTTGAATGCAGAAATGGCCAGTGCATCTCTGCCGAGGGACGTTGTAACAGAAACTATGACTGTGCTGATGGCAGTGACGAACAGAGTTGTCGTAAGTTTATTTATATAAGTTAATGTTTAGGGGCCAACTTAAAAATGACATCATTTGTTCCCCAAATGCTTGAACATAATAGTTTGTGTCCTTAAACGATGAAATGTCCGTACAGGATGTTCTCAAATATTTTGTTTTGTGGCCACAGAGAATATAATGGTTTCTCCCTTAAAGACGGACTAGTCTCATAGACTTGATGCAGGCCATTCAAGAGCTGCTATCTGGATGGCTTCCAATGGTGATGCTGCTTGTGCTATGATTTCTGTGATACAAGTGGTGGTGTGTGGTCCTGTGGATAGAGCCCAGGTCACAAATAAGCTGAAGTTAAGCAACATTGGTCACGGACAGTCCTTGGATGGGGGGACCGTGTCTGGTAGCTCGACTCCTGAGAGTTACTTGGACTTCTGTCCATCCCCACAATGAAGCACGTCACACACCCTATCACCTTAGGCAAATGTGTTTGTTCATAAACTGTCTCTGTTCATCTGGCAGTGAATGGGTACTTGGTGGGATACGTCATATGACTGTTAACCTTTTAGCACCTCACAAACAGCTTGGGTTATCCGGGGTTATCCTTGAGCACAGGTGCTTTATTAACAGCCATTATTATAATAGATAGTGTTCAAGGTGGCATTTGCTAACTCACTGATGTGAGCTCATTTCTAAGCTGTAGCCTGCGGTGCTGATGAGTTCGCCTGTGGAGATGGCCGATGCATCCCGTCTTCACGACGTTGTGACCGCCGAGCTGACTGTGCTGACGGCAGTGATGAACTCCAATGTGGTAGGTGTTGTCAAGCTTTCGTTGTTGTTTCACACTCATCATTTTTGTTCACTTTCAGGAGACTGTTTCAAGATTTGTACTTTTTAACGAAGAGTTCTTTTAATAAATAAGCATTTTCATAGAACAAGGTGCATGCTTTTAATTCTCCTATACAAACATGAAGGTGTGTGAAGGTCCTTATAGGAACCCTTCATCGTCATAATGTTGGAATATTGCGAAAGGTATCTCAAAAACATACTCACTCACTCCATCCCTCACTAACACCATGGTGCTAATGTACAGTTTATCACTGTTTTATTAGAATGCAGTGTAAACGAGTTCCGTTGCAATGATGGACGCTGCATTCCAAGCAGCAGACGATGCGACAGAGTTCCTGACTGCCGCGACCGCAGTGATGAGAGCAACTGTGGTAGGTTGCTGACTCAATGTTTTAATGAAGTGTGCCATCATTGTAGACATATACCATGACTGTCTCTCATTGCCATTAATCCATGTGGATTACAGACCATTGATCAGGACTTTAGCAATACTAACAAGTCATAACACATACTGTCTACAAATAACACATACTGCCTCATGTGATACAGTTCGTATCAACACATTGTTAGTGTTGTTATTGATATCTTGTTATTAATGAACATGACAGTGATAAATATATGGCTTTTATTATTGTCCTAGTTTTGTCACAGGTTATATATTACCCATGGAGACAGAAATGTAATTGAATGTATTTTCAGTAGTTCTATCTGAGCCATATGTTTGTGACTTCATGCTGAGTTCATTCCCATTGTTACACTGTGTTTGTTATGTGTGATCCTTTTCATATGAACACATTGTGTCAATATTTGAAGGTGATGTCCTTCATTGTTTATCATGTCACAAACGGTTTACAGTTCCTAATTCTAGATAACTGGTTATATTCTATTTGTCACAAAACTTGTCCTCGTCTTCTCCATGGAACTAACCAGTGTACTTCTTTCATGCTAGTGGTCACATGTTCAGCCAATCAGTTTACCTGTCTGGATGGTTCATGTATTGATGCTGCACGTAAATGTGATCGCACGCCTGACTGTGCTGATGGCTCCGATGAAATCTCTTGTGGTGGGTTAATTTCAATAACTTTTAGAGTTAGTATAGATTTCACTGTGACACTGGTCCCATTATTCACAAAATGGTTGCAGTTCTTTGACTATCTGGGCGTGGGTGGCCCCTTCATTTAAAGCTTCCCTATGGTCATGGGTTTGAATCCTGGTTTTCTCTGATTATATTTTAAATATATATTTTTTATATTTTTTTATGCAAAATAATACTTTGAGTAGACACTGAATGTTGGAGGAATGGTATACCCAGACAGTACTGATGATAGTACTGAACACTCTTGAAGTATAAGGTTGCATAGTGTGAAGATAACCCTACGGTGATGATTATTAGTTCTGCACTTACACACTAACATTTATCCTTTGTAGCGTGTAGGGCAAGTGAGTTTAGATGTCAGGATGGGCAGTGTATCGATGCACGGCGGCGATGTGATCAGAACCGTGATTGCAACGATGGAAGTGATGAAGACAATTGTCGTAGGTTCTTCTGTTATGATGCTTTATGTCTTCTACATTCCTGTAGTGTCCTGGCATAGTCATCTGGATGAGGCCCACCCAGTAGCTTTAGCAGACTAGCGTGTAGTGGTCACTCCACCAGAAACAATCAAAGATGTTGTACTCTGTTGTATGGCTGGAAACAAGGTTTCATACTAGTATGTTTCTCTTCCAACAATTTAATCAGAAGTGCAACAGTGTGTATTCGGTATCTATAAAAGTTCTACACAGTAGATACTTACTGCTACAACAGTTAAATCAGATGTAAGACGTTGTATGCAACAGACCTTTTATTGCAACAATTTAATCAGAAGTGCAACAGTGTGTTCGGTATCTATAAAAGTTCTACACAGTAGATACTTACTGTTACAACAGTTAAATCAGATGTACAACAAAATATTCAGCAGAGTTTCTATTGCAACAATTTAATCAGACATGCTTTTGTAAAAGGCTATTTCAATTACAAGGTTTTGTCTGAAGTGCTACAATGTTTTGAGCTGATTTATAGTGTTTCAGTTTACAAGTACTTAGAAAATAGGATACCAGTAGCCGAAGTTTTGTATTGATTAATTAATTTTAATATACATTTGTCAGTCTTTAAATATGTAGATGTAAATAATTACTGGAAGAAAATCAACTGAAATCAACTACATAATTTTCAGTTCGTAAGATTAAGTGGCATAAGATGAGATAGGATACTAATGAATTGATGTCCCCATCAGAATATGTTTGGTACGAGTGACCACCAACAGCAGTGGAAATCCTCTGTATGAAGTGTATGCAAGATGTATCTGGTAGTTAGAGTCCTTCCTCATCCCTCTCTACTCAGCTTTAGAATCACTCTTGTAGTTAGAGGTGTCACATGTTCCTCATAAGTAACATATCTCAATACATGAGCAAAGATACACTAAAATTGTGTATTGTTGTTGCCCATGTTGGTACACGAGTCTTGTGTATGTTTTGAATCCTGAATCATGGATCAAAATACACTTACACTAGATATCGTTGTATAGCCTGATACATGGGTTCAGATGTGCTCACATTGCGCATTGCATGAGTCAGTGTACCATTACTTTGTGTACCATTATGTATCTGATACATGAGTGCTGATTTGCTTGCCTGAGTAGGTGAATGTTTTGAATCCTGAATCATGGATCAAAATACACTTACACTAGATATCGTTGTATAGCCTGATACATGGGTTCAGATGTGCTCACATTGCGCATTGCATGAGTCAGTGTACCATTACTTTGTGTACCATTATGTATCTGATACTTGTAACCTGAAGGACAGAATCCTTTACTGATCTTAGTGGGAAAGATGGCGTTTTGAACATGCATGTCTGTTCCAAGGATGTCCATCATGTAGAAGTAGATCTTTTGTTCATCCAGTCCACATTTGTGAGAACATTACTCACGTGTACATCTGTCAATGTTGTGTATATATCAATGTCTAATTGTTTGTGTCTATATGTGTTTGAGTTTGTTGAATTCATTGGAACTTGTTTGTGTTTATCAAAAATGTTCGTTTGTTTTAAGTGTTTAACTTCAACAGTATTAAGTGTGTCTACAAACCATTGATTGAAGATCAGTTTTAGATCAATCTATTGTCGAATCTGACTCTGAATATGTTTAACCAAACAGTTTTAATTCAGATATGAAGATCAAGAATTACAAACTTTATTTTATAGTTATCTGATTTTGTTTTTAGCAATAGATTGTCATAAACCCAGCCCAAGTACTAAAACATATTGACAGCACTGTAATATTTAGTATATTAACACACTGTTTTCACCCCTTGAACCACAAGTGATTCACCTCTTCCTCCACTGATGTAGTTTTACAAGAATTGCATGCATAAGACTGTCTATCTGTCTGGTCAGGTCAGGTTGGTTGTCGCTCTAACCAATTCCAATGTGGCAGCGGTGAGTGCATCAATCGTAGGCGCATGTGCGATGGGCGCAGCAACTGTAGAGATCGGTCAGATGAAAATGATTGTCGTAAGTAATGCAACGTGATCAGAAAAGACATGGATCACGTCAACACGGCCTTATTCTAGTAGCTACCTTGAAGTGTTGGCGAGCATGTACAGCCTATGAATGTCTTCATACATGTATTATATATTACACCCCTCCTGCAGCCCTCCATTGAACATGTATGAATTCATTGATTCAAGTTGGGAAGTAATTCTACTCAGTTAATGCAAAGTTGGTGAAATTACTAGAATTGGTATAAGTAGATACAATGCAAGAGACACTAAATTTTCCTGTAAGAATCTCCCAATTCTTCTAATTTTGTTTTGTCATTGCAGTCATTCACAAGAAGTGTAAAATACTTTTTTGTCCTTTTGAGTCTGTGCTTTTGGGCCATACCGATCAAGACATTGTTTTGTCATGGGCACATAGATTTTTGTCTTTCATTTGCATTTTCATTTCTGACAAAAATATATATGGCTGAGATACCTTACTAAAGGACCAGTGGTTCCTTACATGATGACTAACTTTGCACTACCTGTAGGATTACTTTCAACAGTCTGTGTTCAGCATAGGAACATGGTTCTGTAGATGTTTTTGAATTTCAAGAATGTCATAGAACCAGGTGCCCTCAATGCTTCAGGATTCTTTAGCATATAGTGAGCCATTTCTTCAAGGCAGCATTCAGAATATGGCCATGTGCATCATTTTCATATTGCTCATTATCTTTAAGTCAAAACTTTTAAGTTATTAAAGCTTTTTGTCGATTATCTGGACAGAAAAATTATCCAAAAAAGGCTCACATTTGGGTATGTGTTTTCTTCTTTTAATCCTGTTTATGGAAAAGTTTCAAATGAAAAGCATTGTATGAATGTATACAAAAGACCCATTCTTTCTTGTGGAATTGTATTATCTTCATTGTCACATTCCCTTTGTGTTGGTTTTATTTGTGCATGCATTGATGGATCCCCATTTGTTAACATGTTATCCTCTAACAGAAACTCACTTTAATTTAATTTGATTTAATTTCTTTAACAACTTAATGAAAGCAAGGTACCAGTTCCAAACTGTTTGAGTTACTGAATTCTTTGTATTGAATGCCCTTGGCTCTAAAACTTATATTTGGTTGGGATAAACCCAAATGGAACTTAGTTTCTGTTATTTGTTTTTCTAATTATTTTAAGTCACAATTCAAACCAGAATTGTAAAATACAAAATAACCAAAAAGGCAAAAGTTGTGTTCTGTTGAATGCATACTTCTTTTGCTCATTTTTATATTATAAAAACCCATACTTTTGTTCAAGAAGCTAAATGTCAACTGCTCCATTTGTGAAGGCTTTGTAAAGAAGAAGGGCATTTGATACATTGGAAAGTAAACCAAAGCAAAACCGATGGGCAAGATGATTGTGTGCAGAAATGAAAAGCATGAGTTAATGTTTATTTCAGCAACTACCCCAGCACTAACATGCCTTGAGAATCAGTTTCGATGTGAAAATGGCCAGTGTATTGACGCCGGTTTAAGGTGCAATGGACGAGTTGATTGTACAGATAGGTCTGATGAAACTCGTTGTCGTAAGTAGCCTTGTTGCAAGAGAATGGTAGTTTCTCAGTGGCTTTGACTTCCAGAAATTGACATATTAGTTGCACATGTGGGAGAAGGTGGTGTAGGAATAGTTTTCAGGTGCTCCTGCCTGAATGAAACAGCCCTAGTAGTAGATGGTCATCCAGTTTATGAAGGCCATAGAATATTATCTAAGAAACAATACTTACTGCTTCGCAGAATGAAAGATGTGTCTTTTAAAGATTAGTTCAGAGCAAGAGTATAATCTATATTTTGTATGTTGTCCTAACTCAGAGAACAATGTTTATTTACATGTTCTGTGAGTTGTATTAAGTTAAAGTTTGTAGAAGGATTGAAGCATTAAGAACTGGTTCCAAATGACAACCCTCAAATGCAGCTGATCAGTGAAAACCACCAACATCAGATTTAACATGTCCTCAGTTCAATTTAGTAGTCTTAGGTCATGGAACTGGAGTGAATTTGAAAGGTAGACTCATGATCAGTAATAAGTGCCCAATTCAATGTCGCCTGAATGCCTATACCTGATTCAACAAATGTGTAGAAAGTGTAAAATCTGTATCTGATGTCATATACTGTGAGTTTGCTGGATTAATGCTAAAAGCAATTTAAAACCATACTCACTGCTAAACATCTGAACATGTTCACCTGTATGATATGATATGTCCTGAGTTAATATGGAGTTACCCCATCCAACCCCATCACTCACAGAAACATGACCTACTACCACATGTGACGTTGAACAATTCTTGGAAGGTATTTGCAATAATTTAGGGTTTTCACTTCCTCTCCATAGCTCTAGCTCCTCTGTCCAACATCTGTAGTATATTATCAATGTTTTACAATATCCTCTTCACACTGGCTGTTTCCTTCGTTTTTCTTTTCTTATGTGATTATTTACCTGTTGTTCACCATGTTGCCCACAATATTTGCCAGGTGTGCATGCCAGTGAAAATAATTAAGTCTTAAAACCCAACCCAAAGAGATATGTTTAAAAAAACGTTTGTCAAATGTGTTCACAAAACAATCAAAGATGTTGTACTCTGTTTTATGGCTGGAAACAAGGTTTCATACTAGTCTGTTTCTGTTACAACAATTTAATCAGAAGTGCAACAGTGTGTTGAGTTTTTAAAAGTTGTACATAGTAGATACTTACTGTTACAACAGTTAAATCAGATGTACAACCATGTATTCAACAGAGTTTTTATTGCAACAATTTAATCAGAAGTCCAACAGTGTGTTCGGTATCTATAAAAGTTCTACACAGTAGATACTTACTGTTACAACAGTTTAATCAGATGTACAACCTTGTATACAACAGACCTTTTATTGCAACAATTTAATCAGAAGTCCAATAGTGTGTTTGGTATATTTAAAAGTTCTATACAGTAGATACTTACTGTTACAACAGTTTAATCAGATGTACAACCATGTATGCAACAGACCTTTTATTGCAACAATTTAATCAGAAGTCCAATACAAAAGTGTGTTCGGTTTATATGTAAGAACATGTATACAACAGACCTTTATTGCAAAAAGTTCTACACTACACAGTAGATACTTACTGTTACAACAGTTAAATCAGATGTACAACCAAATATTCAACAGAGTTTCTATTGCAACAATTTAATCAGACATGCTTTTGAAAAGGAAACAGTTTTGCATGAAAGGCTATTTCATTTACAAAGTTTTGTCTGAAGTGCTACAATGTTTTGAGCTGATTTAAAGTGTTTAATTTTACAAGTACTTGGAAAATAGGATACCAGTAGCCCAAGTTTTGAAAAACAGGTCAAAATCTAATAATTATTACATATTGATTAATTAATTTTAATATACATTTGTCAGCCTTCAGATATTTAGCCGTAAATAATTACTGGAAGAAAATGAAATCAATCAACTGAAATCAACTTCATGTATTTTTCTCAGTTTGTAAGAGTTAGTAGCATAAGATAAGATATGATACTAATGAATCAATGTCCCCCTGAGAATAACCACCAACAGCAGTGGAAATCCTTTGTATGAAGTGTATGCAAGTTGTATCTGGTAGTTAGTCCTTCCTCATCCCTCTGTCTACTCAGCTTTAGAATCACTCTTGTAGTTAGAGGTGTCACAAAATGCTTACCTTGTCTGTCATCACATTTCTATATACCCAAGTTCCTCAACATATAAGCAAAGATACACTAAAACTGTGTATCTTTGTTGCCTATGTTGATACACATGTCATGATACACATACCTTGTGGATGTTTTGTATCTTGAATCATGGGTCAAAGTTACATATTTTGCATAGCCTGATACATGGGTTCAGATGTACTGCTACATAGTCTGATTCATGAGTCAGTGTACCATTACTTTGTGTACCATTATGTATCTGATACATTAGTGCTGATTTACTTGCCTGAGTAGGTGAATTTGCATTGTAAATTGTAGGACAGAATCATTTACAGATCTTGGTGGAAAAGTCGTCAGCTTGCACATGCATGTCTGTTCCTAAGGATGTGCATCATGTAGAAGTAGATCTTTCGTTCATCCAGTCCACATTTGTGAGAACGTTTACTCACGTGTACATCTGTTAATGTTGTGTATTGTCAATGTCAAATTGTTTGTGTCTATATTTGTTTGAGTTTGTTGAAATCATTGGAACTTGTTTGTGTTTATCAAAAATGTTCTGTTTGTTTTAAGTGTTTAACTTCAACAGTTTTAAGTGTGTCTACAAACCATTGATTGAAGATCATTTTTATATGAATCTATTGTCGAATCTGAATCTGAATATGTTTTACCAAACATTATTAATTCAGATGTGAAGATCAAGAATTACAAACTTTATTTTATAGTTATCTGATTTTGTTTTTAGCAATAGATTATCATAAACCCAGCCCAAGTACTAAAACATATTGACAGCACTGTAATATTTAGTATATTAACACACTGTTTTCACCCCTTGAACCACAAGTGATTCACCTCTTCCTCCACTGATGTAGTTTTACAAGAATTGCATGCATAAGACTGTCTATCTGTCTGGTCAGGTCAGGTTGGTTGTCGCTCTAACCAATTCCAATGTGGCAGCGGTGAGTGCATCAATCGTAGGCGCATGTGCGATGGGCGCCGCGACTGTAGAGATCGGTCAGATGAAAATGATTGTCGTAAGTAATGCAACGTGATCAGTAAAGACATGGATCACGTCAACACGGCCTTATTCTAGTAGCTACCTTGAAGTGTTGGCGAGCATGTACAGCCTATGAATGTCTTCATACATGTATTATATATTACACCCCTCCTGCAGCCCTTCATTGAACATGTATGAATTCATTGATTCAAGTTGGAAGTAATTCTACTCAGGTAATGCAAAGTTGGTGAAATTACTATTGGAATTGGTATAAGTAAATGCGATGAAAGAGACACTAAATTTTCCTGTAAGATTCTCCCAATTCTTCTAATTTTGTTTTGTCATTGCAGTCATTCACAAGAAGTGTAAAATACTTGTTTGTCCTTTTGAGCCTGTGCTTTTTGGCCATACCGATCAAGACATTGTTTTGTCATGGGCACATAGATTTTTGTCTTTCATTTGCATTTTCCTTTCTGACAAAAATATATATGGCTGAGATACCTTACTAAAGGACCAGTGGTTCCTTACATGATGACTAACTTTGCACTACCTGTAGGATTACTTTCAACAGTCTGTGTTCAGCATAGGAACATGGTTCTGTAGATGTTTTTGAATTTCAAGAATGTCATAGAACCAGGTGCCCTCAATGCTTCAGGTTTCCTTAGCATATAGTGAGCCATTTCTTCAAGGCAGCATTCAGAATATGGCCATGTGCATCATTTTCATATCGCTCATTATCTTTAAGTCAAAACCTTTAAGTTATTAAAGCTTTTTTCGATCATCTGGACAGAAAAATTATCCAAAAAAGGCTCACATTTGGGTATGTTTTCTTCTTTTAATCCTGTTTACGGAAAAGTTTCAAATGAAAGGCATTGTATGAATGTATACAATTTCTTTCTTGTAGAATTGTATTATCTTCATTGTCACATTCCCTTTGTGTTGGTTTTATTTGTGCATGCATTGATGGATCCCCATTTGTTAACATGTTATCCTCTAACAGAAACTCACTTTAATTTAATTTGATTTAATTTCTTTTACAAACTTCTGAAAGCAAGGTACCGGTTCCAACCTGTTTGAGTTACTGAATTCTTTGTATTGAATGCCCTTGGCTCTAAAACTTATATTTGGTTGGGATAAACCCAAATGGAACTTAGTTTCTGTTATTTGTTTTTCTAATTATTTTAAGTCACAATTCAAACCAGAATTGTAAAATACAAAATAACCAAAAAGGCAAAAGTTGTGTTCTGTTGAATGCATACTTCTTTTGCTCATTTTATATTATAAAAACCCATACTTTTGTTCAAGAAGCTAAATGTCAACTGCTCCATTTGTGAAGGCTATGTAAAGAAGAAGGGCATTTGATACATTGAAAGTAAACCAAAGCAAAACCGATGGGCAAGATGATTGTGTGCAGAAATGAAAAGCATGAGTTAATGTTTATTTCAGCAACTACCCCAGCACTAACATGCCTTGAGAATCAGTTTCGATGTGAAAATGGCCAGTGTATTGACGCCGGTTTAAGGTGCAATGGACGAGTTGATTGTACAGATAGGTCTGATGAAACTCGTTGTCGTAAGTAGCCTTGTTGCAAGAGAATGGTAGTTTCTCAGTGGCTTTGACTTCCAGAAATTGACATATTAGTTGCACATGTGGGAGAAGGGGTTATGTGAGTTGTATTAAGTTAAAGTTTGTAGAGAATTTGAAGCATTAAGAACTGGTTCCAAATGACAACCCTCAAATGCAGCTGATCAGTGAAAACCACCAACATCAGATTTAACATGTCCTCAGTTCAATTTAGTAGTCTTAGGTCATGGAACTGGCATGAATTTGTAAGGTTGACTCAGTCACTCTCTGTAATAAGTGCCCCATTTCAGTGTCCCTTGAATGCCTGTACCTGATTCAGCAAATGTGTAGAAAGTGTAAAATCTGTATCTGATGTCATCTACCATGAGTTAGCTGGATTAATGCTAAAAGCAGTTTAAAACCATACTCACTGCTAAACATCTAAACATGTTCTGTATGATATGATATGTCCTGAGTTAATATGGAGTTACCCCATCCAACCCCATCACTCACAGAAACATGACCTACTACCACATGTGACGTTGAACAATTCTTGGAAGGTATTTGCAATAATTTAGGGCTTTCACTTCCTCTCCATAGCTCTAGCTCCTCTGTCCAACATCTGTAGTATATTATCAATGTTTTACAATATCCTCTTCACACTGGCTGTTTCCTTCGTTTTTCTTTTCTTATGTGATTATTTACCTGTTGTTCACCATGTTGCCCACAATATTTGCCAGGTGTGCATGCCAGTGAAAATAATTAAGTCTTAAAACCCAAACCACACTGATATGTTTAAAAAAACGTTTGTCAAATGTGTTCACAAAACAATCAAAGATGTTGTACTCTGTTTTATGGCTGGAAACAAGGTTTCATACTACTCTGTTTCTGTTACAACAATTTAATCAGAAGTGCAACAGTGTGTTGAGTTTTTAAAAGTTGTACATAGTAGATACTTACTGTTACAACAGTTAAATCAGATGTACAACCATGTATTCAACAGAGTTTCTATTGCAACAATTTAATCAGAAGTGCAACAGTGTGTTCGGTATCTATAAAAGTTCTACACAGTAGATACTTACTGTTACAACAGTTAAATCAGATGTACAACCATGTATACAACAGACCTTTTATTGCAACAATTTAATCAGAAGTCCAATAGTGTGTTTGGTATATTTAAAAGTTCTATACAGTAGATACTTACTGTTACAACAGTTTAATCAGATGTACAACCATGTATGCAACAGACCTTTTATTGCAACAATTTAATCAGAAGTCCAATAGTGTGTTCGGTATATACAAAAGTTCTACACAGTAGATACTTACTGTTACAACAGTTAAATCAGATGTAAGAACATGTATACAACAGACCTTTATTGCAACAGTTTAATCAGAAGCCAACAGTGTGTTCGGTTTATTTAAAAGTTCTACACAGTAGATACTTACTGTTACAACAGTTAAATCAGATGTACAACCAAATATTCAACAGAGTTTCTATTGCAACAATTTAATCAGACATGCTTTTGAAAAGGAAACAGTTTTGCATGAAAGGCTATTTCATTTACAAAGTTTTGTCTGAAGTGCTACAATGTTTTGAGCTGATTTAAAGTGTTTTATTTTACAAGTACTTGGGAAATAGGATACCAGTAGCCCAAGTTTTGAAAAACAGGTCAAAATCTAATAATTATTACCTATTGATTAATTAATTTTAATATACATTTGTCAGCCTTCAGATATTTAGCCGTAAATAATTACTGGAAGAAAATGAAATCAACTGAAATCAACTTCATGTATTTTTCTCAGTTTGTAAGAGTTAGTAGCATAAGATAAGATATGATACTAATGAATCAATGTCCCCCTGAGAATAACCACCAACAGCAGTGGAAATCCTTTGTATGAAGTGTATGCAAGTTGTATCTGGTAGTTAGAGTCCTTCCTCATCCCTCTGTCTACTCAGCTTTAGAATCACTCTTGTAGTTAGAGGTGTCACAAAATGCTTACCTTGTCTGTCATCACATTTCTATATACCCAAGTTCCTCAACATATAAGTTAGGACAGAATCATTTCCTCAACGTATGAGCAAAGATACACTAAAACTGTGTATCTTTGTTGCCTATGTTGATACACAAGTCATGATACACCTACCTTGTGGATGTAAAAATACACTTCACTATATATCGTTTCGTATCCTGATACATGGGTTCAGATGTGCTGCCATTGTGCTGCTACATACTCTGATTCATGCGTCAGTGTACCATTACTTTGTGTACCATTATGTATCTGATACATTAGTGCTGATTTGCTTGCCTGAGTAGGTGAATTGTGTTGAAACCTGTAGGACAGAATCATTTACAGATCTTGGTGGAAAAGATGTCGCTTTGAACATGCATGTCTGTTTCCAAGGATGTCCATCATGTAGAAGTAGCATTAATTATTTCGTTCATCCAGTCCACATTTGTGAGAACGTTTACTCACGTGTACATCTGTTAATGTTGTGTCTTGTCAATGTCAAATTGTTTGTGTCTATATTTGTTTGAGTTTGTTGAAATCATTGGAACTTGTTTGTGTTTATCAAAAATGTTCTGTTTGTTTTAAGTGTTTAACTTCAACAGTTTTAAGTGTGTCTACAAACCTTTGATTGAAGATCATTTTTATATGAATCTATTGTCGAATCTGACTCTGAATATGTTTTACCAAACATTATTAATTCAGATGTGAAGATCAAGAATTACAAACTTTATTTTATAGTTATCTGATTTTGTTTTTAGCAATAGATTATCATAAACCCAGCCCAAGTACTAAAACATATTGACAGCACTGTAATATTTAGTATATTAACACACTGTTTTCACCCCTTGAACCACAAGTGATTCACCTCTTCCTCCACTGATGTAGTTTTACAAGAATTGCATGCATAAGACTGTCTATCTGTCTGGTCAGGTCAGGTTGGTTGTCGCTCTAACCAATTCCAATGTGGCAGCGGTGAGTGCATCAATCGTAGGCGCATGTGCGATGGGCGCCGCGACTGTAGAGATCGGTCAGATGAAAATGATTGTCGTAAGTAATGCAACGTGATCAGAAAAGACATGGATCACGTCAACACGGCCTTATTCTAGTAGCTACCTTGAAGTGTTGGCGAGCATGTACAGCCTATGAATGTCTTCATACATGTATTATATATTACACCCCTCCTGCAACCCTTCATTGAACATGTATGAATTCATTGATTCAAGTGGGGAAGTAATTCTACTCAGGTAATGCAAACTTGGTGAAATTACTAGAATTGGTACTGGTATAACTAAATGCAATGCAAGAGACACTTATTTTCTCAAAATTTTCCTGTAAGAATCTCATGAATCGTCCCATTTTGTTTTGCCATTGCAGTCATTCGCAAGAAGTGCAAAATACTTTTTTGTCCTTTTGAGCCTGTGCTTTTTGGCCATACCGATCAAGACATTGTTTTGTCATGGGCACATAGATTTTTGTCTTTCATTTGCATTTTCATTTCTGACAAAAATATATATGGCTGAGATACCTTACTAAAAGACCAGTGGTTCCTTACATGATGACTAACTTTGCACTACCTGTAGGATTACTTTCAACAGTCTGTGTTCAGGAGAGGAACATGGTTCTGTTGATGTTTTTGAATTTCAAGAATGTCATAGAACCAGGTGCCCTCAATGCTTCAGGATTCTTTAGCATATAGTGAGCCATTTCTTCAAGGCAGCATTCAGAATATGGCCATGTGCATCATTTTCATATCACTCATTATCTTTAAGTTGAACTTTTAATTTTTTATAGCTTTTTTCGATTATCTGGACAGAAAAATTATCCCAAAAGAGCGTACATTTCTTCTTTTAATCCTCCATACGGAAAGGTTCTAAATGAAAGGCATTGTATGAATGTATACAAAAGACCCATTCTTTTTTGTAGAATTGTATTATCTTCATTGTCACATTCCCTTTGTGTTGGTTTTATTTGTGCATGCATTGATGGATCCCCATTTGTTAACATGTTATCCTCTAACAGAAACTCACTTTAATTTAATTTGATTTAATTTCTTTAACAAACTTACTGAAAGCAAGGTACCAGTTCCAAACTGTTTGAGTTATTTGTATTGAATGCCCTTGGCTCTAAAACTCATATTTGGTTGGATAAACCCAAATGGAACTTAGTTTTTTGTTATTTGTATTTCTAACTATTTTAAGTCACAATTCAAACCAGAATTGTGAAACAAAATAACAAAAAAAGGCAAAAGTTGTGTTCTGTTGAATGCATACTTCTTTTGCTCATTTTTATATTATAAAAACCCATACTTTTGTTCAAGAAGCTAAATGTCAACTGCTCCATTTGTGAAGGCTATGTAAAGAAGAAGGGCATTTGATACATTGAAAGTAAACCAAAGCAAAACCGATGGGCAAGATGATTGTGTGCAGAAATGAAAAGCATGAGTTAATGTTTATTTCAGCAACTACCCCAGCACTAACATGCCTTGAGAATCAGTTTCGATGTGAAAATGGCCAGTGTATTGACGCCGGTTTAAGGTGCAATGGACGAGTTGATTGTACAGATAGGTCTGATGAAACTCGTTGTCGTAAGTAGCCTTGTTGCAAGAGAATGGTAGTTTCTCAGTGGCTTTGACTTCCAGAAATTGACATATTAGTTGCACATGTGGGAGAAGGTGGTGTAGGAATAGTTCTCAGGTGCTCCTGCCTGAATGAAACAGCCCTAGTAGTAGATGGTCATCGAATTTATGATGGCCATAGAATATTATCTAAGAACCAATACTTACTGCTTTGCAGAATGAAAGATGTGTCTTTTTAAAGATTAGTTCAGAACAATAGTATAATCTATATTCTATAGCTTGTCTTCACTGAGAGAACAATGTTTATTTACATGTTCTGTGAGTTGTATTAAGTTAAAGTTTGTAGAGAAATTGAAGCATTAAGAGCTGGTTCCAAATGACAACCCTTAAATGCAGCTGATCAGTGAAAACCACCAACATCAGATTTAACATGTCCTCAGTTTAATTTAGTAGTCTTTGGTCACGGAACTGGCATGAATTTGTAAGGTTGACTCAGTCACTCTCTGTAATAAGTGCCCCATTTCAGTGTCCCTTGAATGCCTGTACCTGATTCAGCAAATGTGTAGAAAGTGTAAAATCTGTATCTGATGTCATCTACCATGAGTTAGCTGGATTAATGCTAAAAGCAGTTTAGAACCATACTCACTGCTAAACATCTAAACATGTTCTGTATGATATGATATGTCCTGAGTTAATATGGAGTTACCCCATCCAACCCCATCACTCACAGAAACATGACCTACTACCACATGTGACGTTGAACAATTCTTGGAAGGTATTTGCAATAATTTAGGGCTTTCACTTCCTCTCCATAGCTCTAGCTCCTCTGTCCAACATCTGTAGTATATTATCAATGTTTTACAATATCCTCTTCACACTGGCTGTTTCCTTAGTTTTTCTTTTCTTATGTGAATATTTACCTGTTGTTTACCATGTTGCCCACAATATTTGCCAGGTGTGCATGCCAGTGAAAATAATTAAGTCTTAAAACCCAAACCACACTGATATGTTTAAAAACAGTTTGTCAAATGTGTTCACAAAACAATCAAAGTTGTTGTACTCTGTTTTATGGCTGGAAACAAGGTTTCATACTAGTCGGTTTCTCTTCTAACAATTTAATCAGAAGTGCAACAGTGTGTTCAGTATATACAAAAGTTCTACACAGTAGATACTTACTGCTAGAAAAGTTAAATCAGATGTACAACCATGTATTCAACAGACCTTTTATTGCAACAGTTTAATCAGAAGTCCAACAGTGTGTTCAGTATATACAAAAGTTCTACACAGTAGATACTTACTGCTACAACAGTTAAATCAGATGTACAACCATGTATTCAACAAACCTTTTACTGCAACAATTAAATCAGAAGTGCAACAGTGTGTTCGGTACATATAAAGTTCTACATAGTAGATACTTACTGCTACAACAGTTAAATCAAATGTAAGACCATGTATTCAACAGACCTTTTATTGCAACAATTTAATCAGAAGTCCAATAGTGTGTTCGGTACATATAAAGTTCTACACAGTAGATACTTACTGTTACAACAGTTAAATCAGATGTACAACCATGTATTCAACAGGGTTTCTATTGCAACAATTTAATCAGACATACTTTTGAAAAGGAAACAGTTTTGCTTGAAAGGCTATTTCATTTACAAAGTTTTGTCTGAAGTGCTACAATGTTTTGAGCTGATTTAAAGTGTTTAATTTTACAAGTACTTGGAAAATAGGATACCAGTAGCCCAAGTTTTGAAAAACAGGTCAAAATCTAATAATTATTACATGTTGATTAATTAATTTTAATAAACATTTGTCAGCCTTCAGATATTTAGCTGTAAATAATTACTGGAAGAAAATGAAATCAACTGAAATCAACTTCATGTTTTTTTCTCAGTTTGTAAGAGTTAGTAGCATAAGATAAGATATGATACTAATGAATCAATGTCCCCCTGAGAATAACCACCAACAGCAGTGGAAATCCTCTGTATGAAGTGTATGCAAGATGTATCTGGTAGTTAGAGTCCTTCCTTATCCCTCTGTCTACTCAGCTTTAGAATCACTCTTGTAGTTAGAGGTGTCACAAAATGCTTACCTTGTCTGTCATCACATTTCTATATACCCAAGTTCCTCAACGTATGAGCAAAGATACACTAAAACTGTGTATCATTGTTGCCTATGTTGATATACAAGTCATGATACACATACCTTTTGGATGTTTTGTATCTTGAATCATGGGTCAAAGTTACATATTTTTGCATAGCCTGATACATGGGTTCAGATGTGCTGCCATTGTGCTGCTACATACTCTGATTCATGCGTCAGTGTACCATTACTTTGTGTACCATTATGTATCTGATACATTAGTGCTGATTTGCTTGCCTGAGTAGGTGAATTGTGTTGAAACCTGTAGGACAGAATCATTTACAGATCTTGGTGGAAAAGATGTCACTTTAAACATGCATGTCTGTTTCCAAGGATGTCCATCATGTAGAAGTAGCATTAATTCTTTCATTCATCCAGTCCACATTTGTGAGAACGTTTACTCACGTGTACATCTGTCCATGCTGTGTATTGTCAATGTCAAATTGTTTGTGTCTATATTTGTGTGAGTTTGTTGAAATCATTGGAACTTGTTTGTGTTTATCAACAATATTTCAAGTGTGTCTACAAACCTTTGATTGAAGATCATTTTTACATGAATTTATTGTCGAATCTGAAACTGAACATTTATAACCAGCCGTTATTAATGGGTTAATAATATGAAGATCAAGAAATAACAATTATATTTTATAGTTATCCAATTTTGTGTATTACAAAAGATAATGATAATCACTCAAGTCTGATCCCAGCCCAAGTACTAAAACATATTGACAGCACTGTAATATTTAGTATATTAACACACAGTTTTCACCCCTTGAGCCACAAGTGATTCACCTCTTCCTCCACTGATGTAGTTTTACAAGAATTGCATGCATAAGACTGTCTATCTGTCTGGTCAGGTCAGGTTGGTTGTCGCTCTAACCAATTCCAATGTGGCAGCGGTGAGTGCATCAATCGTAGGCGCATATGCGATGGGCGCCGCGACTGTAGGGATCGGTCAGATGAATATGATTGTCGTAAGTAATGCAACGTGATCAGAAAAGACATGGATCACATCAACACGGCCTTATTCTAGTAGCTACCTTGAAGTGTTGGCGAGCATGTACAGCCTATGAATGTCTTCATACATGTATTATATATTACACCCCTCCTGCAGCCCTCCATTGAACATGTATGAATTCATTGATTCAAGTTGGAAGTAATTCTACTCAGTTAATGCAAAGTTGGTGAAATTATTAGATTTGGTACTGGTATAACTAAATGCAGTGCAAGAGACACTTATTTTCTTTAAATTTTCCTGTAAGAATCTCACGAATCGTCCCATTTTGTTTTGCCATTGCAGTCATTCGCAAGAAGTGCAAAATACTTGTTTGTCCTTTAGAGCCTGTGCTTTTTGGCCATACCGATCAAGACATTGTTTTGTCATGGGGACATAGATTTTTGTCTTTCATTTGCATTTTCCTTTCTGACAAAAATATATATGGCTGAGATACCTTACTAAAGGACCAGTGGTTCCTTACATGATGACTAACTTTGCACTACCTGTAGGATTACTTTCAACAGTCTGTGTTCAGCATAGGAACATGGTTCTGTAGATGTTTTTGAATTTCAAGAATGTCATAGAACCAGGTGCCCTCAATGCTTCAGGATTCTTTAGCATATAGTGAGCCATTTCTTCAAGGCAGCATTCAGAATATGGCCATGTGCATCATTTTCATATTGCTCATTATCTTTAAGTGAGAACTTTTAAGTTTATTAAAGCATTTTAGGGTCACATGGACACAAAATTTATTTCAAAAAGGCCAAAATTTGGGTATGTTTTTCTTCTTTCAATCCTGTTAAGGAAAAGTTTCAAATGAAGGCATTGTATGATTGTATACAAAAGACCCATTCTTTCTTGTGGAATTGTATTATCTTCATTGTCACATTCCCTTTGTGTTGGTTTTATTTGTGCATGCATTGATGGATCCCCATTTGTTAACATGTTATCCTCTAACAGAAACTCACTTTAATTTAATTTGATTTAATTTCTTTAACAAACTTACTGAAAGCAAGGTACCAGTTCCAAACTGTTTGAGTTACTGAATTCTTTGTATTGAATGCCCTTAGTTCTAAAGCTCATGTTTGGTTGGGATAAATCCAAATAAAATTTTGTTTGATTTGTTTTAAGTCACATTTCAAACCCAAAATTTTAAATATCAAAATAACAAAAAGGCAAAAGTTGTGTTCTGTTGAATGCATACTTTGAGACCGATACGTTTGTTCATGAAGCTTTCGGAGAAGTGTATTTTTCGAGGGTACTGAAAGGAGAAGGGCATTTAATGCATTGAAAATTTAGCAGAAGCGAAACAGATCAGCAAAGATGATTGTGTGCAGAAATGAAAAGCATGAGTTAATGTTAATTTCAGCAACTACCCCATCACCTACATGCCTTGCGAGTCAGTTTCGATGTGAAAATGGCCAGTGTATTGACGCCGGTTTAAGGTGCAATGGACGAGTTGATTGTACAGATAGGTCTGATGAAACTCGTTGTCGTAAGTAGCCTTGTTGCAAGAGAATGGTAGTTTCTCAGTGGCTTTGACTTCCAGAAATTGACATATTAGTTGCACATGTGGGAGAAGGGGTTATGTGAGTTGTATTAAGTTAAAGTTTGTAGAGAATTTGAAGCATTAAGAACTGGTTCCAAATGACAACCCTCAAATGCAGCTGATCAGTGAAAACTACCAACATCAGATTTAACATGTCCTCAGTTCAATTTAGTAGTCTTTGGTCACGGAACTGGCATGAATTTGTAAGGTTGATTCAGTCACTCTCTGTAATAAGTGTCCCATTTCAGTGTCCCTTGAATGCCTGTACCTGATTCAGCAAATGTGTAGAAAGTGTAAAATCTGTATCTGATGTCATCTACTGTGAGTTAGCTGGATTAATGCTAAAAGCAGTTTAAAACCATACTCACTGCTAAACATCTAAACATGTTCTGTATGATATGATATGTCCTGAGTTAATATGGAGTTACCCCATCCAACCCCATCACTCACAGAAACATGACCTACTACCACATGTGACGTTGAACAATTCTTGGAAGGTATTTGCAATAATTTAGGGTTTTCACTTCCTCTCCATAGCTCTAGCTCCTCTGTCCAACATCTGTAGTATATTACCAATTTTTACAACATCCTCTTCACACTGGCTGTTTCCTTAGTTTTTCTTTTCTTATGTGAATATTTACCTGTTGTTTACCATGTTGCCCGCAATATTTGCCAGATGTGCATGCCCACAAAAATGATTAAGTTTTAAGACCCAACCCAAAGAGATATGTTTAAGTTTTTGTGTCAGTTTGTTCACTAATGAAACAATTTACTAAAAATATGTGTACTAAACATGAATCCCAAACACTCCACAGCACTGAATGAGAACTTGGCTTAGAGTTCATTCTTCAACTAATCTCTGTTTGTATGAATATATTTCTAGTGTCAAATGTTGCACAAATGTCTCTTGTCTTGTTGCTTTTTTTCAGGATGCTTAATCAAATTAATTTAATCTTTTTGCACAGATAGTTTCAGCATTCTAATTTGTCATTTATATTCTATGATGTATTTTTTGAGTCTATGTTATTTTGAGGCTTATATTTGTTCGTGCTTTAAAATTATGTATGTATTATATATGTGTCCGAATTACATTATCTTGCAATTTGAAGTTTGAATGATTTTATCATTTACATTCTATGAGCAGACAAGAAGCTGAAAGTATCTACTGAGACAGTGTTCAAGGATCATGGCTAATTAACAAGTAATTAATTTCAGCATCTAGAAGGACCTGCAGAGACGGTCAGTTTCTGTGTGGCACTGGTCACTGCCTTGACAATAGAAGGGTTTGTGACGCAAGGCCAGATTGCCCTGATGGTTCAGATGAACAAAATTGTAGTAAGTAACGGTAGCATGGGCTCTCAACCCTCCAGATGGCGCTGCAACATTGAGTTATTCCCCTTTTGTCAAGGTCAGGACAGTTACAGTTTGTCCAAGTGTGTATCAATGTTTGTCCCATGTCCATGTACAGTGTTTGAATGGTCGCAGCACCGTAGTCTAGATAAATATAGCTTTTCCAATCCCCTCGACACTTCCACTTACTACGTTAATTCACACTTCACAAAATGTGCACAAATCATCTCAAGCAGATTAATTCTTTTAATGATAATCTCACTTGTAGTAACGGTAACGAAGCACAAATAATCTTGCTTAAATTTCTTGTAAGTAATGTCCTTGTCTTTTGTGTTCGTCAATCTTCTGTAAACATCTTTGTGGTCTGCCTTTCCTCTATTAACATTGTTGCCTCCCCTGGCTGAGGAATTCTTCTAAATTCTGTTGAAGAATTTCCCCCAGTCAGTTTCGCCTTGCTTACGACTGATCCTTTTACTACAAAGGTGAAGGTCAGAAGGTTGGAGGTCATCTGCTTTCTAGTTTGACTGTCCATGACCTTGACATTGGTTTCAGCGCCATCTTGCACTAAAACTCAGAATGAGGCCAGAGATGGTGGTAGCTTGGGAGTTAGTGAATTTTGGAATGTATTTAATCAAGGTTTCTGTATTTTCAGCCTGTCGAGAGGACCAGTTTGCCTGTGCAAATGGCCAGTGTATTCCTCAGTCAGGATTCTGTGATGGACGTCCAGACTGTCGTGACCGTAGTGACGAGGGAGACTGTCGTAAGTTTTTTAAATGGGCCTGAGGTTTCAACATTTCTTGTTTCCTGTAAATTAATAACAAAACAATTAATTGTCATTAGTGACTATGTTTGTCAATGCCAGCATAATAAAACAAAAAAACTTTCATATTCTTGAGAATTCGATTGAAAGAGGGAATTATATGATTCTGGCTATATGTATGAGAATGTGTTTATGAGCCAGTATTAAATAGCAATAATACAATGTGTTTGTGCAAAACTGAGCTTATCCTGCCCCACCGCTGAGACCCAACACAGGCAAGTCAGTTGTTCAAACATGAGTAAGCTATGAGTGGCTTTCCTGCTGTAATGGCCAGTTTGAACATGCATCAAATCTGCATGTAAAGATGATCGGTATAATGCAGATTTTCATTTTAATGCCATTTTTCATGTTACAAATTATATTTGATTAGCTTGAAGTGTAAGTTTATATGTTACAGCTGTGAAAACGTGTGGCAGTGACCAGTTCACCTGCACCAATGGGGAGTGTATCAGTTTGGCCGACAGATGCAACCGCAGATACGACTGCAGAGATGGAACTGATGAATTTGATTGCCGTAAGTCAGCATTTAATCATCACACACACATAATGCTGCTTGTATACAGCTAACATAGATGGTCTGGTTGGACCTTATTTCCTGACCTTAGTGCCTTGACCTGACATATATATATATCTTTTAAGAGGAATCAAAAGCAGTTTTTGGTAAATACATTATTTTTTAAGCTACCAGCATAGTACTTTATTTGAGGGTGGAGCCCCAAAAGAGGTTATTTTTTTCTATCATTTTCAGGAAGAAATGTTTTTTTCCTTGTTTTGTTTAAACATCCCTACATCCCTACAGCTGACTAAGATGGAAACGTTTTAATTGAATGATACCCAATTGCTGAGAGAGGCAGGTTAATCTCAATTTCACAAGGTCAGTTAAAGAGGAGTTTATATCTGTTTTGAGCATCTTTGACAAATTATTTTACCCGACACTATCTATTGCAGCACCCCCTGGTTGCCGTGCTGACCAGTACCGTTGCAGTAACGGCCAGTGTATCAGTAGTGCAGCTCGCTGTAACAGGCAGTTTGATTGTGCTGATCGCAGTGACGAACAGGACTGTCGTAAGTGCTTCATATTCCATTCATTATTGGGATTCCAGGAGTAATACTGGCATGATAGTGGATTCTTGTGGGAGATATTGCCATGAGTGTTTGTTATTCCCTCCCAATCAGGATTCTTGTGGGAGATATTGCCATGAGTGTTTGGTATTCCCTCCCAATCAGGATTCTTGTAGGAGATATTGCCATGACTGTTTGGTATTCCCTCCCAATCAGGATTCTTGTAGGAGATATTGCCATGATTGTTTGGTATTCCCTCCCAATCAGGATTCTTGTGGGAGATATTGCCATGACTGTTTGGTATTCCCTCCCAATCAGGATTCTTGTAGGAGATATTGCCATGACTGTTTGGTATTCCCTCCCAATCAGGATTCTTGTGGGAGATATTGCCATGAGTGTTTGGTATTCCCTCCCAATCAGGATTCCATTGCCATGACTGTTTGGTATTCCCTCCCAATCGGGATTCTTGTGGAGATATTGCCATGAGTGTTTGGTATTCCCTCCCAATCAGGATTCTTGTGGGAGATATTGCCATGAGTGTTTGGTATTCCCTCCCAATCAGGATTCTTGTGGGAGATATTGCCATGAGTGTTTGGTATTCCCTCCCAATCAGGATTCTTGTAGGAGATATTGCCATGAGTGTTTGGTATTCCCTCCCAATCAGGATTCTTGTGGGAGATATTGCCATGACTGTTTGGTATTCCCTCCCAATCAGGATTCTTGTGGGAGATATTGCCATGAGTGTTTGGTATTCCCTCCCAATCAGGATTCTTGTAGGAGATATTGCCATGAGTGTTTGGTATTCCCTCCCAATCAGGATTCTTGTGGGAGATATTGCCATGAGTGTTTGGTATTCCCTCCCAATCAGGATTCTTGTAGGAGATATTGCCATGAGTGTTTGGTATTCCCTCCCAATCAGGATTCTTGTGGGAGATATTGCCATGAGTGTTTGGTATTCCCTCCCAATCAGGATTCTTGTAGGAGATATTGCCATGAGTGTTTGGTATTCCCTCCCAATCAGGATTCTTGTAGGAGATATTGCCATGAGTGTTTGGTATTCCCTCCCAATCAGGATTCTTGTGGGAGATATTGCCATGAGTGTTTGGTATTCCCTCCCAATCAGGATTCTTGTAGGAGATATTGCCATGAGTGTTTGGTATTCCCTCCCAATCAGGATTCTTGTGGGAGATATTGCCATGACTGTTTGGTATTCCCTCCCAATCAGGATTCTAGTGGGAGATATTGCCATGAGTGTTTGGTATTCCCTCCCAATCAGGATTCTTTACCATATGCCTAAAAAGGGGACAATATGGTGACAGTTAATGTGGAATACGGATGGACTTGTGGTTACTGATTGGCCTGCTCCTGGTTAATATCCAGTTTGCAGGTGACATGTAAATTGAGTTACTGGTTCCTGAACAATGGGAAAATCCCCTTTGTAATCAAACCACTTAGTTTGCCTATGTTCAATACCTGTGTAGTTTGTTTTTTTTTCCTGTGGGTTTCAAGCCCATAATCATGGGTTTAACACCTGTAGTTGTTGGTTTTATAACCTAGCTCTTTAGGATTTCATACCTGTATTCAATACCTGTATTTATAGTATTTTTTCACCTGTGTTTGTGGGTTTCAAGCCCATAATCATGGGTTTAACACCTGTAGTTGTTGGTTTTATAACTTAGCTCTTTAGGATTTCACACCTGTGCCCTTGGGTTTCACACCTGGGTTTGTGAGTGTTCTGTGGGGATTCTTGTGGGAGATATTGTCATGAAATCTAATTGCTGTGTCACTTTTTACTTTTCTCCACATTTATTAATGTACAATGTTGAAACTGAAAAACTGTTTTTTAAAGAGGCCTTAAACCCAACTCACTCACTCACACATCAGCTGAAGACCTTGTGGTATTGACATACAACTACTCATGTGTTGCAGCTCCTGCCGGATGCACAGAGAACCAGTTCACCTGCAACAACGGCCAGTGCATCAGCTCTGACGAACGTTGTGATAGAAAATATGACTGTACAGATGGAAGCGACGAACAAGAGTGCAGTGAGTAGCAACAGAAGGGAACTGATACATGTATATTTGAACCTGGCATGTTTTGTCTCACTAAGTAGTAGGTGATGTGGTAGCCTAGTGGGTAATGAACTCTCTCATTTTATTAAAGGTCCGAGTTTTAGTTCCTGCATGGGTTCAGTGTTCAATCTCGAGGGATCCAAGTGCTTGAATATTGAGGAGGAGCATAGCCTTATTGTCAAATGTGTCGCAATCTGCTATAAAGTGTTTCTTCACTGAGACATGTCAGAGAAACCCATGTTTGTGGGTCTGATTCCCTCTTCACTGTCATTGTATTTCGGGTTTGGTCAGCACAATTTGCTCAGGTCATAGTTTTCACAGAATTGGAAAACATACAAAATCTTGACGTTTTAACCCTTTCCTCACACATCAAGTTGACATACCATGATGTAACTGTGGCATTAGACCATACTCTCACTCACTCACTCACTCACTCACTCACTCACTCACTCACTCACTCACTCACTCACTCACTCACTCACTCACTCACTCACTCACCACCCACCCACCCACCCACCCACCTCACTCACTCACTCACTCACTCACTCACTCACTCACTCACTCACTCACTCACTCACTCACTCACTCACTCACTCACTCACTCACTCACTACTCACTCACTCACCCACCCACCCACTTTTTATAATGGCAGTGATGACTTGGACTGTCATAGGTGTTTCATAATCTGTGCCTTAGTGGGATTCCAGGGGAAATTCATTCCTATTGTGGATTGTTCAAGGATATATTGTTGTAAGTGTTCTATATGTATTCATTTTCATGTTGCCATTAGTATTTCATATTCCCTTTCTTGGTGGGAGATATTGTCCTGAGTCTTTCATATTCCCTTTCTTGGTGGGAGATATTGTCCTGAGTCTTTCATATTCCCTTTCTTGGTGGGAGATATTGTCCTGAGTCTTTCATATTCCCTTTCTTGGTGGGAGATATTGTCCTGAGTCTTTCATATTCCCTTTCTTGGTGGGAGATATTGTCCTGAGTATTTTCATATTCTGTCCTTTCTTGGTGGGAGATATTGTCCTGAGTATTTCATATTCCCTTTCTTGGTGGGAGATACTGTCCTGAGTATTTCATATTCCCTTTCTTGGTGGGAGATATTGTCCTGAGTCTTTCATATTCCCTTTCTTGGTGGGAGATATTGTCCTGAGTCTTTCATATTCCCTTTCTTGGTGGGAGATACTGTCCTGAGTATTTCATATAAGTTCTCCTGTTGGGATTCTTGTGGGAAATATTGTCATGAAATCTAATAGTTGTGCCACTTCTTGCTGTTTTCCACATCTAGTTAGAATGTACAAAGTTGTATTTGAAAAACTGTCTAAAGAGGCCATAAAACCAACTCATCCACCAGGGTGTTGACTTACAACTACTCATTTGTTGCAGCTCCTGCCGCATGCACAGAGAACCAGTTCACCTGCAACAACGGCCAGTGCATCAGCTCTGAGGAACGTTGTGATAGAAAATATGACTGTACAGATGGAAGCGACGAACAAGAGTGCAGTGAGTAGCAACAGACAGGAACTGATACATGTATATTTGAACCTGGCATGTTTTGTCTTACTATTATATATGACTGCAGATAAGCCAAATTTTGAGAAACCCCCAAAAAGCATTCTGAAGAAGGGGTTCAGCTTCTCTTTCTGGTGGTAAGAAAACGTCATCGTATTGCTTTGTGTGAAAGTCGAGCACCGTTGTCTCGATATTCATGGGACCAAGATAAAATATCGAGTTATCCGAACTTCGAGACATCCGACCAGGGCATATCATCACATATCACTATGAAAGGAAACAAAACAAAAAGTAGATTTCATGCATGTATATATATTTGTATATACACTTTTACTCCCAGGGGTTGCAGTCACAAATGATACACCTCATGTTACAGTGTGCATCTTGAATGATATCTCATCTCGCCCTCCATCTCTCGATTCCACAAATCTTGTAAACGCATCTGCCGTTCTCAATTGCGATTACACAAAACCCTCTTTGGATTCTCAGTATGTTTTGATTCAAAACTATAATCCCTTATAATCAGTAGTGTTTAGTCGTAACAGTGAGTACTTCCTAATTAATTCCTTCTTAATTAATCCTAATTAAATAACAAACAAGTGACACCTTCAACTCAATTAGCCCTAATTAGTTTACACTACCGCATCCCTTTGATTCATGCCACACCGTGTGTAAACGTGTGGAAACATCCTCAGTTCAGACGGATACTTGCCCATGAAAGGTAGGTGAATATCGAGTTTCTTTGCAAATATTGAGTTAAAAGGGTAATTTTGCTTGTTGGGACCATGAAATTATATCGAGATATCCAAAATATCGAAACATCCGTATCGAGTTAAAAGAGCTTGAATAATGCTAAATTATGAAGGAGATGTTATATCGAGACAACCGAGATATCGAGTTATGAGAGTTCGACACAACGGTGCTTGACTGTATATGATAACGACTTTGTCAGTGAAGACCAAATGTGCAACTAAACGTAGTAGGAGGGATTATTAACATTTTCAGTTCTTTTGTTTTTGCTGGGAATTGTATTATGTGCCAGGATTAAGATTTCCATGTACATTTGTCTTGTAAACAGCCTGTAGAGATGACCAATTTACCTGTGCTAGCGGCCAGTGTATTCCTAAGTCGGGATTCTGTGATGGACGTCCAGATTGTCGTGACCGAAGTGACGAGGGAGACTGTCGTAAGTGTTTTAAATATTTCAATTTTTGAAGTAGTTTCTGTTTGCATGTTCATAGATTTGACCTATAAAGAGTCGGGTTAGAATTGGTCTTCAGTAACCCATGCTTGTCGTTAGAGGCGACTGACGGGATAGGATGGTCAGGTTCACTGACAATTGCGTAGATCGATGCTCGTGCTGTTGATCACTGGATTATCTGGTCCAGACTCGATTTTTTATAGACTGCCACCATATAGCTGAAATATTGCTGAGTGCAGCATAAAACTAAACTCACTCACTCACTGATTGTGATACCATGTTTATCGGATATATATCACATCAATAACACTGTGATTCAAGGGGAAATTTGTGTAAGGTGCATAAAATGGAGGATTGAAATAGTGTTATTGAAATGCTGACAAAAACACACTAAGCTGGTTTCTTAGTTAGGAAGTAGCTTCTGTCACCTGTCAATTGTTGTCAGTAATTGTAAATTTGTATCATTGACCTTGAACTTTTCAGCACCTGCAACTTGTCGTGATGACCAATACCAGTGCAGGAATGGCCAGTGTATCAGCAAAGCTGATCGCTGCAACCGTAGATATGATTGAGCAGATGGCAGCGATGAACAGGAATGCCGTAAGTTGCATGTTTTCTGTTGCTAAGAATGCAGGGATTAGTGTCTTGGCTTGGATGTGAATGTATCTGCAGAAGGAAATATCTAATTCATTTAAGGAGTGTTCGAAATCCATCTGGAAAGGGATTCTGTCCTGAGTCACTGAGTAGAAGACTTAATGGACGGCTGAAACACTTTGGTTGTTTTGTGGTCAGGAACTGACAGATGGGCTTTTTCGAACGCTCAGTTTAGACGCTTATGTGTGACATACCCTCAACCCTATTTAGAAACAGAACTAGTGTCACCAAGCAGAGACCCTTATAGTTCCAGGATGTGGGCATCATCAGGTGCCATGAACTGCACTGTGTAGTACTTTGTTTCCTATATTTTGAAAGACTTACACCTGAACACAGATTTCATTTCATGGTGTTGGATTGAATTATCCAGATCAGTCAATGATTCATTAACCTTTTGCCCAGAGTGTCTCACTTGAAAAAGTGGAATAAGATATATTTAAGATTTGGCAAATTTGGGTGTGCACTTAAGAATGAATAAAAGGAATTTAACTGAATGTACAGAGAAAAGAGCAACCATTTCTTTGACAATGCCTTAACAACTTTAAGTCAAATATGTGACAGAGAATTTCCAAGAGATACTCAAGGCTTTCATTTCATGTGTTTAGTAATACCTGGGTACACACGGATCTAGTCAAATATTTGGTGTGGTTTATGAATTTATGCGTATATTCTATGCAGATTACCTGTTTTGTATACTGCATGCTTATAGGAACCTCCCCTGCTTTAATCTTATGCTATAACTGTAATATCACACCCAAGATCTAGTCCTCAACACCCATTGGTCAAAGAAGTGAGTCACATGACATACTGGTGGTACTTTACTGATGATATTAGGACAAGATGTTTCCATTTAAGATGACTGTTTATGTAACATTTTTAATTTCTAAACAAAACAAATTTCATTTATTTTTGTACTCTGTGTTTTGCTTGTCGTGTGACTTATTTCTTATTATGAACTAAAAACAGGTAATTTGCATTGATGAAAATTGACAGGCCATAAACTTCAAATTGGAATATTAACTGTCGATAAGCACGGCTAAATAGAGATAGCAAAACATGGAGTTGGGAGTAAAGAAATAATGAACATTTTTGGAGTGAAGTGATATATTCCCAATTGCAATGCCGTTTTCTTACCTGGGTTTGAATACTGGCATCTGGGAATGCCTTGATAAATACCTGTCAGACCTGTTTTCGTGATTCTTCTAGGATGGTTTGATTATATGAAAATGAGGATATGTTTGGCACGTGATTGCTTTCCCTTCTTTATCTCTCAATCTCCAAAAATACCCCCAAACCTATTTTGCACTCAACTGACCAGTCGGAACCATGTCTTGTTGCTATGGGATCGTTTGACCTTCTACTGTTGCATGAGGTAGATAACTCTCTGATTGACAGCGCCACCTGGCTGCCGAACAGACCAATTCCGTTGCCGGAATGGGCAATGCATCAGCCAAGCGAGTCGTTGTAATCGCAGATACGACTGCTCTGATGGCACTGACGAATTTGATTGTCGTAAGTTCCTGCGCACTAGCTGGTGACAGTAAATTAGAAAGTGCGTGAGATGTCTCATTTTCATAAACCACTTCACCCTTTGTTTCGTGGTAATTAATGGATTTTAGAATTATTTATTTTCAGAGGGGGTCAAGGATTAAAATCTTGATTTAAGAAACATTGTGAAAACGTGTGACACCTCAGCACTTTCTAAGACAACAGAAGTTTCATGTCAAACAGGATTCTAGTTTCATTTTCAAATGTAGATGTGCTTACTATGAATATGAATCATTTTGGGAATTAATAAATGTTGATACAACAAATGTTTCATGTAAGAAAAACAGTTTGAGATGACAAGATAATGACGTCGATGAAACTGTTTGACATGCACAACTGACCATCTTCAGGAGTAACTTCAACTCGCCAGGACCAAAGGTTCTTGTGGGCTCATGTTGTTGTCATCTTATTATCATCATCAAACTCCTACAATGTAGCCATAGCGATGAAGCTGCATTAATACTATCGCACCAAACTCTTCCTGGTTTTATGTTCTAAAACTCTGAGGATGGGACTAAATAGGAAATAGGAAAATCTTACCAGAACCATGATGAAACTCACAAAGGAAATGTGCCAATTACTATGTAAGTTAGAGCATCTCATGGTTTCATCATGTTAGAATCATATATAATGATTTATAAGACATTATGCACACTGTGGAAACTTAATGTTACAAAAGAAGCATCAAAATCAGAAAGATATTCCGTTTTAAGGTAAGTTAGTAGCAAGTGTGGAAAGCATTTGTATGAATACTTGTAATTACAAGATGTTAACCATGGATTCCTTGAAGCACTGGATTGATGTCATGCTATCCTTGTTCATGCAGACAATATAACACAACATCTTGATATGACAATCTAACAGTAACACCATGTTAGCCCAGTGGGTTTGGTCCAGACACTGAAGACTGGTTCCATTCTAAAAATGGAGAATATTTGAATCCCATCTCGATGCAAACAAAACTGCCATAAAATTCACTTGATTACTGACAATTACGACAGTCTCAGTTATCTGCCCAAATTATTTCTATTGGGTATAAAAGGCAAAATATTGATATAAGTTACATGATTAGATGTCTGAAATTCAATGATACGCTAAGAGTTTGCAGAAAACATGGATGTGCAGGTGAGCAACAGTACCTTGGTGCAGTATTTATCATCATGTGCTTGTTTAATGTCCTGCAGTTCAGCTTTTTAGACTGCCAGTTGCTAGTACTTCAACCATACTGACACTTCATGCTAAATAACTGATGTTTCAACTGACTGCCACAAGACTAATGTGTTCATGTAGTCACAAACACATTCCTAAACCCTTCAACCCTGCATATTTTGTCATAAAACAGTGCATGTTGCTTTAAAAATACCATGCCTTAAAACCCATCCCCAGAAACACCGTAGACAATGCAGAGATGACTTCCTGTAAGGAGGCGGGTTGCTTATAGTTGCATAGCTTTGTTCAACACACGAATGCTGTCGCAAAGCAGTGATCATTGCCACACTGATTATAAGAACGCAGCAGCTCAACGACAAAGTCGCCATATTGCGTCAACAGCAGCGGCGCCTTCGCAAACGTATTTTGGTCCGCATGACCAAAACAAGCCTTTTTGCATTTCTAGGTCATCAAACGGCATGTGTCTGTGGTTGAGTGCCATGTTGAGGGAGTTTATCGTTTGCACAGGCTTATCTTGTACTGACAATCTGTGTAAAGATGATTTTAAGATATTTAGGAACTTACTGGGATGAATGTCTTCATGATGTTTGCTGGAAAGCAAATATCAATACTCCAATACATGATTGTGTCATAGATTTTCTTAGGAAGAAATACTGTTACAAGTTTGAACAATGTCATGACAAAGAAATATGAAATTTTTCTGAAATTATCCAGCTGAAAATGATCATATGACTTTCTGAGAGATGAGAGCGTGCCTGTAATAAGTTGTGCTGATGTCCAACAGAGGCAGAGAGAATTGACATCTCTGTCGTTCCTGCCACAATGAGAGTCCGAGCGGGCAGAGAAGCCGTGTTTGAATGTCAGGTGACAGGATCTACGTCCGGAGTTGTGCGCTGGAGTCGCTCTGGCAACAGGGTGAGTTGCCTTGGTTTGTTTTCTGTTTTTTGTTGTTGTTTTTTTTATCTTAATTCTTAGCTGGACATTGGGTGGCCCATTTGTTGAAGCAGTCACTCATCATGCTGAAGGCCTAGGTTCATTGATGCCTATTTGGTGTCCCACGTGATATTGCTGGAATATTGCTAAAAGTGATAGAATTGCTTCCCTTTCAAACACCAGGAACCTGTGACAGTGGGTTTGAATCCAGATTTGCCCCAGTTATGTTTCTAGGCTTGACATCATTATACCCATGCAATTTTCCAATGACACAGAGGAAAAAGGTTAATGCTGCATATGGGTTTGAGTACCTGGTATCACCCATCCAGGATCTGTGGTCTGTCAGTGCCATTCCTGTTTTCACAGACATCATCACAGCTAGCCAAGATGACACAGGAGTTTTTCTCCCATTTAGTCGACCATCAACGATATATCTACAATATTTTGAAAAGTCATCTGTCACATCAACTTCCTTTCAGCCTCTGCCTGCCAGTGCGACCCAGTTGAACGGCCGCTTGTCGTTCCGCGGAGTTACCCAGGAAGATGCTGGAGACTACGTGTGTACTGCTGCAGCCACTTCCGGCAGCTACACATCAACAGCCAGACTCCAAGTAGACTTCAGTGAGTATGCTGTCATCCCGGTATCTCAATGGAGAACATTAGCTGTCCTGACATCTGAATAGATAACTTTCTGATCTATCTGTTTTACTCTGCTATTTCTAATTATCCCCATTCATAAAGTATTCTCTTGTCTCAATAGTATTTTGATCCTCATCAACTCAAGAGACGAACGAACAAACGTTTTGACTATGTTATTTATTGTAAATTTTCACACACAGAGAGATTTTGATTTGCGATTTGCATAGATTTTCAATCAGTGAGTAATTGTTTTTTAGTTGGTCCTCCTACTCAGCGTCCGATTATCTCTGGTCCCTGCGGTGCTGGCGAGGCCACCTGTTCCAGCGGAGAGTGTATTCCACGCGACTACCTTTGTGATGGAGAAAATGACTGCACTGACAATTCAGATGAGAACAACTGCAGTAAGTTGATCCCTTTATATGGTGTAATCATTCAAATTTATTGTAAAAAAATTCCTTTACATGTTTGGTTTGTTTTGGCTTATGATTCTATTCACATAAAGGATGAAATAGATATGAATATACAGTAATTGTTTGTTAACTTGACAAATAGTGTTGATGAAAACGACCAATCGATGGATTCCATTAAATCAGTCACAATGTAATGCTCTGTAGTGGTAGTCACGGTTTGGCTTAAATATTGCTAAAGTGACTTTGAATTTTAACTCACTCACTCTGTGGTGGTAAGCGTTGTAATAAGATGTATGAAGGAGATGAAAAAGAATTGGTAATAAAAATGTATCTGTTTGTTAAGATTTTGCTCTGCCTTGTGAGCCCAATGAGTTCCGCTGCGCCAATGGCCGCTGTGCTATGAAGATCTGGAGGTGCGATGGTGACAATGACTGCGGTGATGACTCTGATGAGACCAACTGTCGTAAGTATTTGATCAGGTTTATGGAGATACCTCTAGTACCTCTACCGATTCATGTCCTTGGAAGGTATAGAACTCTCTGGGAGGTATTGAAATCCTTGGAAGGTATTGAAATCCTTGGAAGGTATTGAAAACCTTAGAAGGTATTGAAATCCTTAGAAGGTATTGAAATCCTTTGCAGAACAACACTCACTGGTTTGCCTGGTCCAAATTTCTGCTATTAATGCTGATACAGCTGGAATATTGCTGGCTCAGCATATTTGCATATTAAACCTGTAGTCTATAAGTAGATATTCCCCAGTTTGAAGGAGATATACCAGATACTTCATGTGTGAGTGACCTGTCCACATTGTTATAGTATGTTGACCTCTACAAGCACTGACTTCCTGTGTGTGGCCATGGAGTTATATGGATGTTTCTATCACTACACTCTCCTCCTTGGAATCCTGTTGTGTACGTATCATCAAGATGTCATGAGCTGCTGTATTTCAGCAGTCGTAGTGCAATGTTGTATACTTTTTAAGGCAGTCATACAATGTTACCTGACCTTGAGGTTAACATATGAGGTATGGAAGCTACATAAAGCACTGATGTGTCACCACTCCCAGGTCTGTGGACAACCGACAAGGTTATGGGCAAACTGGCATTTCACAGACCCATAGTGCTCCAAATCTTTATGAGGCTGTCACTAATGTTTACTTTGAGCAACAAGGTATGCCACTGAGGCACATTCAAAATCCTCGAACCGACCACCCAAACCACTTGATGGGTATCTCATTGACTATAACTAAAGGCAGAAATCACAACACCTGTCAGTTTGAGGACTTTCAAAGCACAGTTGGATGTTCAGATGGAGTACTTTTAAAGCAGGATTTTTTCAAGTCGGCACAATTTTTTTAGTCTCTGTTAAGGCCTGGAGCAGAGAACCAAAGGATGTCAGCTGATACATCTGTTTAATGCCATAGACAGCAATATCCAAGCTATATGATGGCAGACAATGGACAACAGGGTATGATCAAACCAGTCAGCAACCTAGTCTTGTCTTAAGGGGTAACTGATGGGATGAGTTGCTCAGACTGCTCCAGTCACTGGATTTTCTGGTCCAGATGCAATCATTTACAGGCTTTTTTTTTAATAAAAGCTGGTGTAGCCTAGAATACGCAAATACAAATACCCATATGCTCAATCCCTCACGATGAATTGTGTTTTCAGCGACCCGGGAGCCAGGAGCGGCATGTCGTGCGGATGAGTACAAGTGTTTGACTGGGGACCAGTGCATCCCCTCCAGCTACCAGTGTGATGGCGAGATTGACTGTCAGGATCGTTCCGATGAGATTGGATGTGGTGAGTAAACTTCAAATGTACCTTTTGTCTTAAAGTTGTGGAACACTGAACATATTTCGGGATGAAACATAAACTATACTCATGTCTGACCCTATTTACAGTAGCTTGCTCAGATCCAAAGTTCATCCGTGGAACACTGTTCAAATGTATTACCTTATTCCACAGCTGCACCTACCATTGTGAAGCCACCTGTTCCCAAGGTCGAGGTCGAGGTGGGTGGATCTTTCTCCATCGTGTGCGAGGCTGTCGGTGTCCCCACTCCACTCATCGTTTGGCGTCTCAACTGGGGCAACATCCCTACAGGCACGAGCGTGTGGTTGTGACATCTGTTGATGGTCGCGGTAGCCTCACTGTGAACCAAGCTATCCCAGAAGACTCTGGTGCCTACACCTTGCGAGGCTCTCAACAACAAGGGCTCCATCTTTGCTGTCCCGGATGCTATCATCATTGTCAGACGTAAGTTGACAGTATCTATGAAATCTATTGTTCTTTAAAAATTATGCAATTCTTCAGATTGATTATTATATATGAAATATATAAATCTGGATTTTGAAACCCAAACAGTTGGGAACTGTTGTCATGGTTACTTGACTCAAGTAAAATTGTGGTGGTTTGAGGCAGACAAGAATTTACTGTGATGCTGACTTCAAGAAGTAAGCAAGTGTCATCCCCTTCTCATTAACTTACATGTCTCTCATCTGATTGTTTGTTCCCTAGGGCAAGCTGGCGTGTGTCAGCCACCAGACTATAACGTTGGTGCTAGACAGCTTGGTGAATGTGTCAAGTGCTTTTGCTTCGGACAGACCAGGACGTGTTACAGTTCAAATCTGCAGAAATCTCAGGTAAAAAGTCTGTCTTGATATTGATGCAAGATTGCTAACTGTGCTCTCAAGGAACCCTTTCGAGTTCTTTCCGTTTTAACGAACTACATGTTCTCAAAGATTTTTTTAAACATTGATTGAAGTTATGTAAAATGGAGGCAATATTTTCTCCAAACAGAATTATCTCCCCTATATCAGATAGTTTGGCATTAAGTTCTAGAATCTCAGCCATCTCAAGAATAGGAGTCAATATTCATCTCTTCTTCCATTTTGTGCATACTGTCACTGTTGGGTCTTCAGATCACCCTTGGCAACCAGATCAAGATGGTCCGTCGTGCAGATCTCCTGCCTGTGGAGGAAGGATTCATCCAGTTCCTGCCCACGTCCCGCCAGTTCTCCGTGTCGGACTTCGACCGTGTGTTACAGCAGGGCAGCTACTACTGGAGTCTTCCATCCCAGTACCTGGGAAACAGGGTAGGTTTCTGTTTACTGATCACAACGTCATTTTACCTAGTAGGCACAGCATTAAGTAAGACGAGTATGTTTGTAAACCAACATGGCTTTTGGCCAATAATGGGGCAGGTCACTCAGGCTTTGTATTGCTTCATGTTTTCTGAAGTTACTGTAGTGAATAGCAATGGCTTAATCTTAGGTTGGGGGGCGGTGGGGTAGCCTAGTGGTTAAAGCGTTCGCTCGTCACGCCGAAGACCCGGGTTCGAATCCCCACATGGGTACATTGTGTGAAGCTCATTTCTGGTGTCCCCCGCCGTGATATTGCTGTAATATTGCTAAAAGCGGCGTAAAACCAAACTCACTCACTCACTAATATTAGGTTGTTTTAAGAATGTCATTTTATTGTAAAGGATTATTACCCATGTGTTTAATATCATATATGAAATATATATGTGCCAATTTTATCCAAAGCTCATGTATATATCGGGACGGTGGGGTAGCCTAGTTGTTAAGGCGTTCACTCGTCATGCCGAAGACCCTTCATGGGCACAATGTGTGAAGCCCATTTCTGGTGTCCCCAGACGTGATCTTGCTGGAATATTGCTAAACATGGCGTAAATCTAAACTCACTCACTTACTTACTCGTATGTATATGATATGCTATTCAAAGGATGTGACATTTATGATACTCAGCTGTATAATCTCCATATTTAAACTGTGTCAGCTACACCTGGTCTGTTACAGCTGACAAGTTATGGAGGCAAACTGAGTTACACCATCTCCTACGACATCCGCAGCAACTTCCCCCCGTCCAACCCAGGACCAGGACGTCATCATCACGGTCAGTGGACACTGAACCTGGAATATTTGAAATCTTCACTGGAGGTCTAAAATTGCTAATGCTTATTGAGGATCACAAAAGATATTTGCACATCTTCAGTATTTGAGCCCTTCAGGAGATGTTTAACTTAAATATTTCTGTTTCTGTTGCCAGGGTAATGGAATTACTTTGTACCACCGGACAGCTGCTACTGCTAATGCTGGTGACCCCTTCAGAGTCGACATTCCATTGGTTGAGGTAAGTGTCACCAGGTGTCCTGCGTTGTTTGGGAAATTGCTAATTTCGGGAAATTGTAGGTGTGAGATCAAAACGATGGACATAACAAAAGGTGGTATAACAATTTTTTTATAAAATTTCAAAATATGGTTGAATAAGGATGAAATGAAAGTGAACATTATGTAAAATGTGTGAATTGATTTGAACCCAGATAAGGAGTTCTTACAGTAGAGAAGGTCTGGTATGGTTCTGCCTAGATTTTCAAAGCTCTCTTACCGCTAAGATAGTCGTAAGTGTCATGGGCCCTGATAACTAACTTGTTGGGTAAGCTAGCGGTTAAAGCATTGGATCATCCTGCCAAGTTCTGGGTTTGAATCTCAGTGAAGCTTATATTGGTGTGCACCAAACCCTGGTATGGGTGGAATAATGGTAAACGCTGGATATAATGTCACCAACACTGCGGTAAACCCTATATGTTCAGCTGTGTCTGTACTGTTGACAGTCTGCCTGGGACAAGAGTGATGGGCCTCGCCGTGGAGACACCCCAATCTCGGAGTACGCCAACCGCGAAGATCTCATGATGGTTCTGGAGAATGTTACTCGCATCCTCATCCGAGCCACATACGATGACCGTCAGTCTGCCATCAGGTTAGAGACATGTGAGAGTGAGGTAGTATTAACTGTCAGGAAGTAGAGACTTGCAAAGATTGATTCTTTCTTACTGTGCCATCAGGTGAGGGACTTCAAAAGGACTAAATATTACTTACTCTGTCATAAAGTAGAGATCTGTAATGACTGAAAATAATTAACTTCCTGCAGCCAAAAGGATCCATGACAATTTTTTCTCTCTCACTGTGCCATTAGGATTGTCTGGATTAAATATCGCTCATACCATACTGGTCCTGCCGAGCTGGCCCAGTTCTCAAAACTGCCAGTGCCACTGCCTAGAGCGTCATCACACAACCAACCAGATTCCTGAAGTGGTAATATCTGCTACCTGCATAAATGAACTATTTCACAATATGCCTGAACTACTGTCTGTTAAATTTGAACATGTGTTTCATTCATTTTGTCCTATAGAATCAGCAACGTACTGCTGAGCACTGCTGTCTCTCAGGAAACTGGACTTGGCCGAGCTGAGCTTGTGGAAGATTGTACCTGCCCCACAGGGTACACTGGTCTGTCTTGTCAGGTGAGATCTGGGTAGTCTGGGTGTGACCGGATAGGGTTCGGACAAAGAAGAGACTGGAGGGTGCAGTCCTCTATGTGATAGGGTAGGATGGGAGTGGTGAGACAAAGAAGAGACTGGAGGGAGCATAGTCCTTGGTATGATAGGGGGTGGGATGTTGGGTGGGGTGTGGGGTGGGGTGTGAGACAAAGAAGAAACTGGAGGGAGGGTAGTCCTTGGTATGATAGGGGTGGTGATGTGTGGTGGGGTGAGACAAAGAAGAAACTGGAGGGAGGGTAGTCCTTGGTATGATAGGGGTGGTGATGTGGGGTGGGGTGAGACAAAGAAGAAACTGGAGGGAGGGTAGTCCTTGGTATGATAGGGTGGGGTGTGGGGTGGGGGAGAGGGTGAGACCAATAAGAGACTGTGAGACCAATGAAGAGACTGGAGGGTAGTCCTTGGTATGATAGAGGTAGGGTTGGACTGTTTGTGGTTTAAGAAGGAAATGAAAAAGACTGTGGTCTGTGAGATGAAATCGTTCTTTACAAAATGAAGTAAATAAATTTGATCGAATACTTTTTCCAGGTGTGTGCTGCCGGGTTCTACCGTGTGAGTCGGGGTCGTTACCTGGGTGAGTGTCTGCCCTGCCAGTGCAATGGCCACTCCAACGACTGTGACCCTATTACTGGAGAATGCAGGGTGAGTAAAAACATGTGATTGTTTAACCTTCTGATGTGTCAGCAAATTTGAGGCTGTTTCTCCTCACAAGTGATATTTACTTCCTCCGTGGCCTTGTTGATACAGAGCATCCTCCTGGAAAGTGGAAGGCCGGTGGTTCAAGGCAACATGATACATTGGGGATGAGTCCAGGACTTTTTTTTTGGTGGGGGGGGGGGGGAGAGGTAGAGTCAGTACACTGTGTCTGAGTAGGGCCTCATTCATGTCAAACTATGTGATACCTCAGTCATTTAGCTCTATTTGGGGTGGTGGGGTAGACTAGTGGTTAAAGCGTTCGCTCATCAGGCTGAAGACCCGGGTTCGATTCCCCACATGTGTACACTGTGTGAAGCCCATTTCTGGTGTCCCCCGCCGTGATATTGCTGGAATATTGCTAAAAGCAGCATAAAACTAAACTCACTCACTCACTTAGCTCTATTAAACAGACACAGTCCACACTAGTGAAAGGAGGCACGCACATATACGTCTGTCGCTATTCAATATTTATTGATGAATGTTTACTCCAGGATACATATTTGCTATTGTTTAAAAGTTGAGATTACAGCAGTATCTTGGGGATATATTTGGCTTATACAGGACGTAGCTATAAGTTTTGTAGACAGTTGTAGCATCATTATATTTGTTGACTTCAATAACTTGTTTTATTTCCAATTTTTTTAATTATGTATGTATATCACAAACATGTTCTGTGATGAGCCGTATACGGAGTATACGGTTTCCTACGGTTTGACAACCTGAAACAAGAGTACAGTTGTATGGCACTTTCTTCTCAAGTTCCAGAGGGGAAGTGGGGTAGCCTAGTGGTTAAAGCGTTCCCTCGTCACGCTGAAGGCCCAGGTTCGATTCCCCTCATCGGCACAATGTGTTCCCCCCGCTGGAATATTGCTAAAAGCTGTGTAAAACTAAACTCACTCACTCACTCCATTTCCAGAGCTGCCAACACAACACGGAGGGACCCCTGTGTAATCTGTGTATTGAAGGATCAGTTGGGGACGCCAGACGAGGAACTCCAAATGACTGTGAACCCTGCCCATGTCCTCTTACCATCCCGTCCAATCAGTAAGTCATCTTCATGTCATGTGACTTGAGAACAATTCTGAATTATCAAAATATCAAACTGACTCTTGTCTGTTTTGGGTTGGTTTGGTTTGTTGGTTTACGCCGCACTCAGCAATATTCTTACTAAATGGCGGTGGTCTGTAAATGATAGAGTCTGGACCAGACAATCCAGTGATCAACAGCATGAGCATCGATCAGCAAGAGCATTCACTTTCTTATGTCATGCCATGAAAATGGCACCGTACTGTGTTAGGATACAGTTTGTATTCTTCCCTTGTACAGGTTCAGCCGCACTTGCGTGAGAGACAACGCAGGTATTCGCTGTACTGCCTGCCCTGAGGGCTACACCGGTCGACAGTGTGAGACCTGTGCCCAAGGTTACCGTGGCAACCCCAGCACCCCTGGAAGCTCCTGCAAACCAGACAACAGTAGGTTTCCACTCAAAATAGCTGTGTTTATAAACTATGTACAGTATATATGATAACGTAAACTGACCATGAGATTTCAAAGTGATAATGCACATGATTTTGACTCAGTCAGAAAATAGTATTCTGAGCATGTTTTGGGTGAGGATTTGGCTTATTGTAATTATGTGTATTATTATGTTGCAGTTGAGACTGGCTGTGACCCCAGGGGTAGTCTCTCCACCTCCCCCAACATTGACACCGACCGCTGTAGTTGTAGGGTAAGTACCAATACTTTCTATGAAAAACAGTTGCTAGGTTTTTTGGTTTACAAGCTGCACCAGAAAAACAAAGGGATTATTAACATTTACAAATTAATAGAAATATCTCCAAAAATATTTATAAGCCACAAATTTGTTTGTATCTATTCTTTCATCCTAAAGGAATGGAATCAATAAGAATGCTGTTCACCCAGCAGAAAATGGGTACCCGGTGGGAGAAGTCATGTGACTATTAACATTCTAGCGCCTCACAGGCAGCTTGGCTTATCCGGGGTAGTAATAATCAGACTGTGCGCTTTCAGCATCCTTATCTGCGCTTTGAGTAGGATATGAAGCCTGGAAAGGTGGATTATAAATATTTATTAAAAAAGAAATTAAACGAAAAAGAGTTTGATAATGCACATTGTACCACACAGTAGATGTGGTTACATTTATGCAAGACACATGATTATTTAACACATGTCAATGTACAGGTATTTGAAGATCAAGAATAATGACTGCCTATAGTTTTTGTTTTCCCCTCACTAGGTTTGTGTTCTAGGAATAATGTACACAATGAAATATATTAAAAGTCTGACTGTATCATAGATCTGTGGAGGGTCACAAACTTTGAGAAAATAGCATTTATTTTACCTTCTTTTCTCTGTGTACGTGTAGGAATAACTGAAAATGGTTTGTGTTTTTGCAGCCCAATGTGATTGGAAACACCTGCAATCAGTGTAAGCCGGAGACATTCTACCTGTCCCAGAACTACCCCTTCGGCTGTATCGCCTGCTTCTGTATGGGCGTCACTCAGATGTGTACCAGCACCTCCTGGAACAGAGCTCAGGTGGGTACACCCTGATATCATCCCTGGTCTCAATATAGCATAAGACAGAGCTCAGGTGGGTACACCCTGATATGATCCCTGGTCTCAATATAGCATAAGACAGAGCTCAGGTGGTACCCTGATATGATCCCTGTCTATAGCATAAGACAGAGGTCAGGTGGGTACCCTGATATGATGGTCTCAATATAGCATAAGACAGAGCTCAGGTGGGTACACCCTGATATGATCCCTGGTCTCAATATAGCATAGGACAGAGGTCAGGTGGGTTTACCCTGATATGATCTGTGGTCTCAATATAGCATAAGACAGAGCTCAGGTGGGTACACCCTGATATCATCCCTGGTCTCAATATAGCATAAGACAGAGCTCAGGTGGGTTTACCCTAATATGATCCGTGGTCTCAATATAGCATAGGACAGAGCTCAGGTGGGTACACCCTGATATGATCCCTGGTCTCAATATAGCATAAGACAGAGGTCAGGTGGGTTTACCCTAATATGATCCGTGGTCTCAATATAGCATAAGACAGAGCTCAGGTTGATACACCCTGATATGATCCGTGGTCTCAATATATGGTCTCAATATAGCATAAGACAGAGCTCAGGTTGATACACCCTGATATGATCCGTGGTCTCAGTATAGCACAAGACAGAGGCTCAGGTGGGTACACCCTAATATGATCCGTGGTCTCAATATAGCATAGAACAGAGCTCAGGTGGGTACACCCTGATATGATCCCTGGTCTCAATATAGCATAAGACAGAGCTCAGGTGGGTACACCCTGATATGATCCCTGGTCTCAATATAGCATAAGACAGAGGTCAGGTGGGTACACCCTGATATGATCCCTGGTCTCAATATAGCATAAGACAGAGCTCAGGTGGGTACACCCTGATATGATCCCTGGTCTCAATATAGCATAGAACAGAGCTCAGGTGGGTACACCCTAATATGATCTGTGGTCTCAATATAGCATAGAACAGAGCTCAGGTGGATACACCCTGATATGATCCCTGGTCTCAATATAGCATAAGACAGAGGTCAGGTGGGTTTACACCTAATATGATCCGTGGTCTCAATATAGCATAAGACAGAGGTCAGGTGGGTTTACCCTGATATGATCCCTGGTCTCAATATAGCATAAGACAGAGGTCAGGTGGTTTACCCTAATATGATCCAAGTGGTCTCAATATAGCATAAGACAGAGGTCAGGTGGGTTTACCCTAATATGATCCCGTGGTCTCAATATAGCATAAGACAGAGCTCAGGTGGGTTTACCCTGATATGATCCCTGGTCTCAATATAGCATAAGACAGAGGTCAGGTGGGTACACCCTGATATGATCCCTGGTCTCAATATAGCATAAGACAGAGGTCAGGTGGGTACACCCTGATATGATCCGTGGTCTCAATATAGCATAAGACAGAGGTCAGGTGGGTACACCCTGATATGATCCCTGGTCTCAATATAGCATAAGACAGAGGTCAGGTGGGTACACCCTGATATGATCTGTGGTCTCAATATAGCATAAGACAGAGGTCAGGTGGATAGCTATGCTATAACTGTTGTATACACTCAGTCTAGTGTAAGACAGGTCAGGTGGATAGCTATGCTATAACTGTTGTATACACTCAGTCTAGTATAAGACAGGTCAGGTGGATAGCTATGCTATAACTGTTGTATACACTCAGTCAAGTATAAGACAGGTCAGGTGGATAGCTATGCTATAACTGTTGTATACACTCAGTCAAGTATAAGACAGGTCAGGTGGATAGCTATGCTATAGCTGTTGTATACACTCAGTCTAGTATAAGACAGGTCAGGTGGATAGCTATGCTATAGCTGTTGTATACACTCAGTCTAGTATAAGACAGGTCAGGTGGATAGCTATGCTATAACTGTTGTATACACTCAGTCTAGTATAAGACAGGTCAGGTGGATAGCTATGCTATAACTGTTGTATACACTCAGTCTAGTATAAGACAGGTCAGGTGGATAGCTATGCTATAACTGTTGTATACACTCAGTCTAGTATAAGACAGGTCAGGTGGATAGCTATGCTATAACTGTTGTATACACTCAGTAAGACAGGTCAGGTGGATAGCTATGCTATAACTGTTGTATACACTCAGTCAAGTATAAGACAGGTCAGGTGGATAGCTATGCTATAACTGTTGTATACACTCAGTCTAGTATAAGACAGGTCAGGTGGATAGCTATGCTATAACTGTTGTATACACTCTCAGTCAAGTGTAAGACAGGTCAGGTGGATAGCTATGCTATAACTGTTGTATACACTCAGTCTAGTGTAAGACAGGTCAGGTGGATAGCTATGCTATAACTGTTGTATACACTCAGTCAAGTATAAGACAGGTCAGGTGGATAGCTATGCTATAACTGTTGTATACGCTCAGTCAAGTATATGACATTCTAGTCATGTTGTGTCAGAGTTAATCCTGGTGAGTCACAGTACTTTAACTTATATATATTCTCAGTGGAGTATAAGGGAATAATATGATTTGGTGGTATTCCAGTGCCCATTTATGAAGTTCCGTCAATGCCATGTTGTTTATCTGTTGCCAGATCGGGGTGTCCTTCACTCAGGATCGTATGGGTGTCAGCTTGACGGACATGATGAGGAAGGAGAAGATTGAACAGGGTTTCACCGTCAACCGCAACTCTCGTGAGCTGACATACCGTGGATTCAACAACCTCAGGGAGAACCTCTACTACTGGAGCCTTCCTCAGCGTTTCCTTGGTGACAAGGTAGGGGAGAGAACTGCTGTGTTTAGCTGATCTCGTCAGTGTGAGATATCTTGCAATGTTAGTCCCAAGTAAAATCTGTTATCTCAAAACGTTCTGCTAACAATTGTTACAACAAAATGCAAGTACAAATGGTCAGTTCCTTTTTGAGAATGAGAGAATTGCCCAATATTCTCAAAGTTTATTTGCAATTTGTAAAACCTGTGCCATTATGTTTCATAAGTGTGTTTCTCTTATTCAGGTTACAGCCTATGGAGGATACCTGCGCTTCACACTGAGATATCGCCCTGGTCAGGATAGCACCCCAATTTCCATGGAGGAGCCCATCGTTGAGCTCTCGGTATGTTATTTGCTGTTTGGACACCTAGGTTACAATAGGTCCCCCGTACTCTTCTTGTTCACCGAGATGAGGCCAGACAGCTTAATTGTCTTCTCAAGGTCACAAGCAAGTTTAGGCCTCAATTGGATAGGCCATATGACATACTTGACTGTATGTGATTTTACGCTGTCCATATTATCAACTACTGACTTGTCCATCTCCAGTAGATGTGATATGATAAAAGTTTGACCTCTTTCAGCATGAAATGTTTTGAAACATATGAATGGTCAAGGGAACCCAGCAATCTAAGGTGCCACAGTTCCTTTCTGCAAATCCAAACTGATTCTCTCATTGGCTGACATTCTCTCTTTCTTTTTATCCAGGGTAATGACATCACTCTGGTATATCGGGCTACCCGGGAACAGTTCCAGGCCAACTCCAGACAGTCCTTCCAGGTTCCCATGTTTGAGGTATGTACTTTGACACTGTCTGTTGGCAGTGTTGCAGCCCTTAACGCTCCCATGTTAGCAGTGTTGCAGCCCTTAACGCTCCCATGTTAGCAGTGTTGCAGCCCTTGGCAGTGTTGCAGCCCTAACGCCCCCATGTAACGCCCCATGTTGGCAGTGTTGCACGCCCCATGTTGGCAGTGTTGCAGCCCTTAACACTCCCATGTTGGCAGTGTTGCAGCCCTTAATTCTCCCATGTTGGCAGTGTTGCAGCCCTTAACACTCCCATGTTGGCAGTGTTGCAGCCCTTAACTCTCCCATGTTGGCAGTGTTGCAGCCCTTAACACTCCCATGTTGGCAGTGTTGCAGCCCTTAACACTCCCATGTTGGCAGTGTTGCACTCCCATGTTGGCAGTGTTGCAGCCCTTAACACTCCCATGTTGGCAGTGTTGCAGCCCTTAAGACTCCCATGTTGGCAGTGTTGCAGCCCTTAAGACTCCCATGTTGGCAGTGTTGCAGCCCTTAAGACTCCCATGTTGGCAGTGTTGCAGCCCTTAACGCTCCCATGTTGGCAGTGTTGCAGCCCTTAACGCTCCCATGTTGGCAGTGTTGCAGCCCTTAACACTCCCATGTTGGCAGTGTTGCAGCCCTTAACACTCCCATGTTGGCAGTGTTGCAGCCCTTAACACTCCCATGTTGGCAGTGTTGCAGCCCTTAACACTGCAGCTCCCATGTTGGCAGTGTTGCAGCCCTTAACTCTCCCATGTTGGCAGTGTTGCAGCCCTTAACGCTACGCTCCCATGTTGGCAGTGTTGCAGCCCTTAACACTCCCATGTTGGCAGTGTTGCAGCCCTTAACGCTCCCATGTTGGCAGTGTTGCAGCCCTTAACACTCCCATGTTGGCAGTGTTGCAGCCCTTAACACTCCCATGTTGACAGTGTTGCAGCCCTTATCTCTCCCATGTTGCCAGTGTTGCAGCCCTTAACACACCCATGTTGCCAGTGTTGCAGCCCTTAACACTCCCATGTTGACAGTGTTGCAGCCCTTAACACTCCCATGTTGGCAGTGTTGCAGCCCTTAACACCCCCATGTTGGCAGTGTTGCAGCCCTTAACACCCCCATGTTGGCAGTGTTGCAGCCCTTAACACCCCCATGTTGGCAGTGTTGCAGCCCTTAACACCCCCATGTTGGCAGTGTTGCAGCCCTTAACACCCCCATGTTGGCAGTGTTGCAGCCCTTAACACTCCCATGTTGGCAGTACATACCCTAATACTCTATTGTTACATACAATCCTCAAAAGTAATGCCCGGATCCTCTACTGCCATCCATTTATCTTGTCCACTGTTGTGAAGAAAGGATTATGTCTGTGACATTCTGGTGACTGATTGGTTCTCTGTTTCAGCAACAATGGTATCGTCTGGATGGTGACCCCGCCATGAGAGAGTTCTTGCTGATGGCCCTTGCCGACCTTGACTACATCCTCATCCGAGGAACATACTCAGAGTCCACCGATGAAGCTGCGTAAGTACCAGTGGATTAGTTCTTTGTTTTATTTTACACCAGAGAGGTTCCGAATTGTGTTTTCTGGAATAGTTTTATGCAATCCTTCTGTCCAAAAGGGCTCTGATGAAAGTGTTTTTCAAATCAAGTACAGCATTCTCTAGAATTTTTATGTCTGTTTTATTATGAAGTGAGAAGAAGTTGAGGTGACTGAGATTAGTATGTGGGAGAATATTGACTTCTGTCTTGAGCAGAATATTACTGACTACAGCTCTGTGTTCCTTGCAGAATAAGCGACATCTCTCTGGACATTGCGGAGAACCGTCAGACCAGACAGGACCGCGCCTACGCTGTTGAGCAGTGCAGCTGTCCCCGAGGATACAAGGGCTTGTCCTGTGAGGTAAGGCCATATATGTGGTACACTCTTGAGTTATTGTATGCCACAGAGCTAAATGGCAAATTCTTTGTTTTAAGATGAAACATTGAGTGTGATAGGTCTGTAGCCTCTGCTGCTGTGCTTCATGTCCAGGTATACTCAACAAGAAAAGTTAAGGAACATTCACTGAATAGATTTGCTGTATGTATTTGAAATTGTGTGGTCAGTCTTCACTGCAAAATACCCACAAAATATGCATGTTCCCTAACTTTCTTTGATCAGTATATTTATATTGGCACTGACTTTGATGGTTCATACGCTCAAATTATATGCTGAATCCTTATCCAAGATGCCAATATATTTTAAACATTTTAGGCATTAGGTTTAGGTCCTGAATCTTTCATGTATGGGTGTAAAAAAATTTATTTAGGGGTGTTGAATTTTGCATTAAACAACATTCACAATCTCATCCATCCTGTTCATATTGTACAGAAGTTGTTGACATGTCAGTGTGTGTGTTTCAGGACTGTGACACAGGCTACACCAGGTCTGGTGGTGGCCTTTACCTGGGTCTCTGTGTGCCCTGTCAGTGTAACGGACACTCAGGACAGTGCGACCCAGAGTCCGGAGTCTGCAGGGTGAGTGTCTGTGATCATGTTAATCTGCCATGTGAGGGTGCTAGTGTCTGTTCTTAGTTCAAGGAATGGTTCTGTATTAAGGAGATTGCTGGGTGGTCCAACAGGGACCTGGCTCTACCATTAGAGTCAGTTTCAAGGATAGATAGAGAATCTCACCAGTTGAGTTTTTTTTATATCAATATATCACCTACACAGCCAAGAGCGAGTTGATAAGTTAAAAATACCGAAGAGGCTTGCTGAGGATATTTTACTTTGTCGATGAGTGTTGATATAATTGATATCAGAAGACATGAGGGTGAGATTCTAGCCTTCCTGTTTTATCATCAGAAATCACTCTTCATTAGTTGTCAATGAAAATGTGGGTATGTACATCTCTGAACGCGATAGACACGCTTGTTTTACGGTTCTGCCATTAGACTTGTAAGGAGCTCAATGGCGCCCGGTCGTCGTCGGCGGAGCTGACACAGTGCAGCGATGTCATAGCATTGTGGACAGCGTGCCAGCCAGATGATGGGTGCAGTCATGGAGCTTCTGCGCCGCCTGTGGCTGTCTGTGGCACGGTATTCGCCGGCCACACAGCAAACTCTACTTTCATTGCCCTATACCATGGGATCTTCCCTGTTCCTGGGGCATTGCAGGTGGTTAGGGAGGCGCAGGCGGAGGCTGTCTCTGCTTTAAGGACTCAAAGCCTTTGTTGGAGCAGCCCTCCGGCTCCATCGCCTCGGCCCTCCCGCTTGCATCCGCTTTCGCCCGGCTCGGCATCAAGTTCTGGAGGGCGCTAGGGATTGTTTCCTTGCGACGGACGCATCGTCAAAGTCCGAGGGACTGTGTTACAGTTCCTCCAGTCCCCGTTGCGTCGGCCCGAACATGGCCCGGTTGCTTTCGGCAACATGGCGGCTTACAGTGGGCCGTGGTTTGGCGTCTTGGCGTCCGAGATCCGACCAATTCAGCTCAGCTGTGGTCCCACTCGCAGAGACTCACGAGATTATGCTCATAGCGCCAGAGTGGTTAATCCCTCCTTGCGATGGTGGGCGGAAGTCGGGAATTTGTCCAGGGGGATCCCCTCGACACCCGACACCTTCCTCTCAGTTCAGATCGACGCCTCCCTCACAGGTTGGGGGTCGCATGCGGCTTTACTGATGTCATAGCATTGTCAGGGCTCTGTACAAAATCTACTGTCAAACCGATATCTCCTAGGAGATATCATATGATCTCACACAAGCAATATGGCTGTAGAGGTAACAGGGTCCTGTGGAACACAGTTTTGGATGATAAATCAGAATGGAATTAAAACTGTTTGTAGGAGCAAGACATTGTAGCCAATGGAGATTGACGGACAGGGTACCGTGGGCGTGCCTTCGATACCACTGGATTTCCAGGGTCCTGTCGCAGACCGCGACAACCAGCTTCTGGCATAGCTGGTTATCTTCGTGGTTTCTGGCCCCCAAGCTTTTCGAGGAGCGCCCCATATATCTGCAATGAGCAATTCCTGCACCAGTTGCAGACACAATTCTGGCTTCGCTGAGGGATTCGGACAAACGTGAATTGAGGATAGACAATTCACCTGAGTGTCTTTTGATATCATATATATCACACCACGAGTTGATAAAGTTACAAATATCCGAGGCTTGCTGAGGATATTTTTACTTTTATCGAGTGCTGATATAATTGATATCAGAAGACATGAGGGTGAGATTCTATTTATCATAAAAAATCACTCTTCATTAGTTTTCAATGAAAAATGTACATCTCTGAACACGGTTCTGCCATTAGACTTGTAGTGAAGCGATGTCATAGCATTGTGACATCATCAAGTTCATGATGTCATAGCATTGTCAGGGCTCTGTACAAAATCTACTGTCAAAACGATATCTCCTAGGAGATATCATAGGATCTCACACACGCAATATCTCCTGTGGAACACAGTTTTGGATGATAAATCAGAATGGAATTAATACTGTAATTACATTGTCTCTTATTACATTATTAAGTATCATTATCTTCCTTATGATTGGGCAGTGGGGTAGCCTAGTGGTTAAAGCGTTTGCTTGTTGCACCAACTTCCCCACATAGGTACAAGTCATTTGGATCAGGCACCAAACAAGGCTGTAATGACAGTTAGGTCCAGGGTATTATGTCGTCTTAAAATCAACATATCATGCTGTGACATACTGGGGTGATCATTATTTAACAGACAGAAATTGGGTATTAATGAATGACCCCAATAAAGCTTTCTGGGACTGACGATTGTCTCGTGGTTAGTCCCATCCAACACTATAGTGTAGCACTAGCCCGGCCAAGTCTTGTATCAACCAGTCACAAACAGTAGTCCTTTAATGGCCTAGTATGTTTTGATTCATGCAAACATCAGAGCCAAAAATATTGCATGGCTAATCAAGTGCCATGGGATAACAGTGTAGCTGTCAGTCTGTCTTCAGAGTGAATATCAGAATATGAACCCAGTGGTATTACTCTGTTTGTTGGATAGATATTGAAAGCATGGTAAATTGTTATGGTTCTTGGCCTGAAGTACCTCAGTGTAGTCAGGTAAGAGCTGCTGTTCAGCAGTTTAACTCCCAACATTTACCTTCAGGTGTTCCCTGATCTTTTAGGCACTATATATCATCTATCCAACAAAGTGGTGTGTCACTTCTTTGAACTTCGTCACAATAAGAAACATCTTACTCACTCACTCACTCACTCACTCACTCACTCACTCACTCACTCACTCACTCACTCACTCACTCACTCACACTCACTCACTCACTCACTCACTCACTCACTCACTCACTCACTCACTCACTCACTCACTCACTCACTCACTCACGTTTTTTCTCCAGAACTGCCAACACAACACTGAAGGAGAGAACTGCCAGAGATGTGTTGCTGGTTACTATGGTGATGCTTCACGTGGATCTGTCAACGACTGTCAGAAATGCCCCTGCCCCCTAACAGAGAGGCCCAACCAGTAAGTACTTTGATCTTTGATCTTTAGGCCCCTCAAACAATACCTGTGTTTCCTGTTTCACATAGACACCCAACCATGGAGTATTGATGTCTTGTATTTCAACTTGGTATGTTTTTATGGGGGAGGAGGTAGATCTCTCTCTCTTTAAAGGATAAGCATATATCTAACGTGATGCCCTACAAATTGGTTGGTTTGTGGTTTAACACCGAACTCAGCAATATTTCAGCTATATGGCGGCGGTCTGTAAATAATTGAGTCTGGGTCAAATAATCCAGTGATCTTGAGCATCAATCTATGCAGTCAGGAAACGATGACACGAGTCAACCAAGTCAGCGAGCCTGACCACACGATCCCATTAGTCGCCCCTTACACAACAAACTGCAGCAACTGACTAAATAATGACAACACAAGGAGGTTATTAAGCTGTAACTAAAGAACAGGCTACAGATTGAGGTTGGTCAGGAAAGCAGAAACACAAGTATTTGTTTTGGGGGCCTTATATCAATTATGTGTGTGAATTATCTAAATTGTCATCCCAAGTGGTGGACATGTACAACCTGCATCGCATTGAGGGGACCATCAGCTTATTGTAGCAATGAATAAAGTGTACATGTCTACAAGCTGTATCGCACTGGGGTCTCATTCTCCATGAAGTGTACACATTCTGTTTATAGCAGCTTAATTCCCAACCCTTTAAGCACATTGCAAAGATGATGAATAAAGTGGTTCCTTAATTTCAGACAGTAGCATTTTTTTAAACCTTTAAAATAATTAAACAGTTCTTTTAAACATAGTTGAAGTAAAGCTGACTCATCAAATTGAATTGATTCTTGTGATGTGGTCATAATCGGAAGGGAGCAGTTTGAATGTTTCATATTGTCAACACACAAACATGCACGCATGCATGCACACACACATTACAAGCAAGAATTTGTAATGAAGCCTTTCAGATGTTGCTAAACGTCAGTGTCAGCACAATGACTTCCTTGTTCTTGGAAGGCTGCTATAATCTGTTCCCTTGCCCTGATGCTGTTCAAGGCAGAATGGGTGCCCAGCAGGTGCTTGTTGTAAGGAGAGGATAGTCTCAGCGTGTGACAAGGCTGATAACGTGTCGACATGCACTGATAATGTTACCCTTTTTAAAGCCACAGTGGCTGCTTGGCTTAGTTTGCTTGTTTTGTGTGCTGAGAACTAGGTGCCAGACTTTGAGAGTTTGGGTTCGAATTCGGATGGAACTCAAACTTACAAGAGTCCTGGAATCTGTATTTTAATGAGAAAGTGTAATCTCAAATGTACCATGTTATATTTTACCACTTTCTAAATGGCATTGTGTATTCATAATCCAATTTGATATCAAAGAGTCATTCACAAGGCAACGATAGCACTACAACAAATCTCTGTGCTTAAATATGGGAGTTGTGATAGATAGGCCACTTGTTTCCATATAATGAGCATTTGTAGAAAATATGACTCATGCTTGTTGGATAGGGCCGTTAGAAGGTCACGGCAATGTGTAATTATTGACAATATCACATGACAGGTTACAGTATAGCCTAGTATGTATGTTATGACAGTTATCGGCCAAAAAGCATTATACAACATGATTGAATGAATATATCTTCGACCCATGAAGACCCGGTTTTGAATCGGTCTTCAGTAACCTGTGCTTGTCGTAAGAGGCGACTACCAGGATCAGGCGGTCAGGCTTGCTGACTTGGTTGACACATGTTATCATATCCCAATTGCATAGTTCAATGCTCATGCTGTTGATCACAGGATTGTCTGGTCCAGACTCGATTATTTACAGTCACCATATAGCTGGAATATTGCTGTGTGTGGTGTTAATCAATCAACCAACCAATCAATCAATCAATCAATCAATCAATCAATCTATCAATCAATCAATCAATCAATCAATCCCTAATCACCTTATTAAGTGCCCTTATTAATTGACTTTTGACCAACTTGAAGAGTCTGTAAGGAATCATTAGGGACACCTCTATGCAGACTGAAATTTGTGACATTTGAGCTAAGTTTGTTCACTACCACATGTTTTCTGACAACAAATTTTACTTATAGTTATTATTTAACTTTAAGTTATAATAAGCAACTGGTGTTGGGTATTGGTTGAAATCTCACAATTGATGATTGATCCATTACCAACAAGCAATCATCGAAACAAATTGGTTAGTGTCATTTTTCATATATTTCTATTCAGGTTTTCATGGCTGATATAACGTGGTTCTCTGTTGTTTGTAGTTTTATGTAGAATCTTCACATCATATGTAAAATGATGCAACTTGCTACTTTAAAGTGAATGCTAATATATCATGAACAAAAACTTCCTGGAGTCTTCAAGAAATATGCAGTGATGACTTTTCAATAAGTGAAGTCAGTTTTCTAAGAATTAAACATGTCTTCAGGCCCTGACAACTTCTAAAATATGTTTCATGACAACTTCTAAAATATGTTTCAAGTGTTTCAGACACTAAGACAGTAGTGACAACATCGTTTGTGTTCGATTATGAGAAAATTTGATCGATTGCTTGATTGTTTGGTCACTGCGATAATTTCGATAATTTCAATTAGTCGGAACACCACTGTAAGCAACCCAATTTTTCTAAATGGTGAGGGTGCTTATTGCTGGTAGATACAGTATCCCAAGTGTCAGGAGATTTACGATGCCCTTAGCATTATTCAAGTAACCTCGTAGCAGAATACTCCTGGGCTCCGGGTTACTGGCTTGGTGTATTGTGTGTCATCAGAACAGCTCAGGGTGTTGCAATGATATCAATCATTGGTTCCTGCTGCACTTACTTGATTATATGTGGGCCATTGTCATGTATCTGGAATATTGCTCAGTGTGATATTAGCTAACAAATTAGACCCTGTGTACACGAGGGCGGTGGGGTAGCCTAGTGGTTAAAGCATTCGCTCGTCACGCCCAGGTTTGATTCCCACATGGGTACAATGTGTGAAGCCCATTTCTGGTGTCCCCTGCCATGATATTGCTGGAATATTGCTAAAAGTGGTGTAAAACCCAACTCACTCACTTACTCACTGTGTGCATGATCACAGAATGTGAAAAAATGACTGTTATCTCCATGCAAGACTTTGAAGGTCACCATGATCTGGAGACACTGCTGACCATGGCACCACTCTTCTTGACCCATCTCACTTTCTGAGATTCCATTCATATTTCTGTTATTTCTGCTGTCTGTTGAAGCCTGGCTCACCGACATGAGCTTTCTATCTGATATTGATTCCTACGTCCCCCAACTCAGTTCACAAGACAAACTTGTCTCTGACGTCTACACCCCAAGATGCAATCACATTTAAACTGACAGAGTTGTTTTGGATTCTAAATGGATGGCAAGTCGCCAGATCAATAGAGGTCAAAGGTTGGGACAAGCTGGAAGCGTCATTTGGATGATAAACAGACCGGGGAAAGTTGTAAACTCCAGATCAGTGCGAGATACTGTCAATGGGGATTGGCCTTTCCTCACAAATATTCCTCCTAAAACCAACATCACTTTCACAAATATTTCCCCTAAAACCAGCTTTACTTTCAAAGAGAGATATAAGAATGTATATTCACAGAGGGATATAAGAATGTATATTCACAGAGGGATATAAGAATGTATCACCATGTTAATGGATGCCAAGATGAACGATGTTTCTTCAGTGCCAAGGTCGCAGTGACCAATGCTACTCTTAAGATCACTTAGACTGTAGTTTCTGCTCGAACACTACTTATTGGTTGCAATTAATAATTAATTTTTATTGTGATCTTTTTAGCATATTTAGGTTTTGTTATTACAGAGTTAAAGGTTGCTTGAAAATAATTTTGTAGCCAAACATTAATTGCTTTACTTGAGAAATGATCGTCTTGTAATGGTCAGGGCCTAGATTTTCGAAGCTCTCTCTTAGTGCTAAGATAGTCGTAAGTACCATACATTAACATTAACTTACGACTATCTTAGCGTTAAGAGAGCTTCGAAAATCTAGGCCCAGAATTCTCTCTGTGGTGCGTGGCCAGTATTGAAAGTAGGATTGGTGACAATTAATGATTTTGTAGAACAACAGACATTTATACATAGTGGGATTGAAAGGAATGGTCCCTTGTAAGATCATGTATCATGACATGTTGCAAATTATCTTTTAAACCCATTCCTATTGCTTGGATTAATTGGATAAATGTAAAAACAAATAGAAAACGTTATGTCCAAAATTGTTCACATTTTAATAATAAAGTCTGCAATTGAAAAAGGTCTTATGACATATTTTTATTTACCCGATCTCAGCAGATTCTGGAGATTGTTGGGAAGACAACTGTGAAATGAACAGGAGAATGTACTGCAAACTAATTGGTTAAATAAGGTTATGAAATGGATCGAATCCTTGAAACCTGTGAGAAATGTAACGGCATTGTTCTTCAAGAGCCAAGCAGATTCTGGGCGTCAATGTTAATATTAGTGTAGTGTGTTTTGCACTTAATGACCTTGCCTATCTCGTGTGCATTGTCTTGTATAGGATGAATGATACTCCCACTGAGGTCGACCTCCTGCTGACCTTCTTCCATGTAGGTTACATTTCTTAATGAGTAATCGCTTGTTCCAGCTAGTGGAGGAATGCAAGTTGTGGGGGTGTCCTGTGACTGTGGGTGAATACAATATAGTGACTTACTTGTTGACAATCTCTCAGAAGATGGTCAGAGGTTAATGGTTACAACTGTCATGTTCTTCACTTGGAAATATGAAATGATTAACTGGGACAAAATTCATGTTATTTTATCTGAAATTAACATTCACTATTTGTTCATAAAAAAATTGATGTATTTTTATGTTGTTTTTTAATATCTTAGAATATTCCGATGTTCAAAATGGTGACAGTGAACTATGATTTAAACAAATTAGTATGTGTATACAGTATAGGAATCCTGCCTTTTGAGTCATGATGGTGTATGGAGCTCTTTTTGTAATTAGTTTTGGAGTACATGTATTCCATGATATTTTTTTCAGTGAGTTGTACAGCTAAAAGGAATTTGTAGAATTCTTTTGATGTGTCTATGTGTATGCTCTGCTGAGGAACTGTTATGAGTCATGGAGAGATTGTATTTGCATAGCTTGACTGTAGTACATACTTGTGGGTTTGGTCAGGGAAACAGTTCGAGAAGCATTTGTGGTTTGTCTAAAGATTCTCCACTTGTCAATACTTCATTTACATGGTCTGAACTCATAGCCTGAGAGGCCTCCCACAAGCTTGTACAGGATCATTCTAAATGTCAGTTGACATTGTTCAGCTCCAGACCGACCTTGCGTGAACACCTACAGCCAAGATGTAGTAGAGCTGCCTCCGTATAAACTTCTTCAATTAATCAAGTTAGCATTACAGGCTTATTTCCCCTGACCGAGAGATCACATCTCGCTGGGTTGTGTACACTTGTTATGTTTACATGGATGGGTACTGGATCGGAACACAGGGACTAAGCTGAGAGTTGGAATGTATGTGTTAATTATATTCAACGATGATTGAAGGAATTCGATTTCGTCATGTGTCAAAAATATTCCTTTTTCTATCTTCTCTGACACAACAACGCTCTGTGGATAATTCCAAGACACCAGACGAGATAATTGAGTAAGTCTCAGTATATGTTCATACATCAGCCTCTTGAAGGTGTCAGGATATTTGTTAGATGTTCCAGCAGTGTTCAAAAGATAAAAGATTGCAATTATCAGGACAAGTTGAGTCTTTATGTTCATACTTGATGTATGTGGTTTATGTACAAGATTCTTTATTGTTTCTCATAATGTCTTAGAATGAGTTGATTTGGTGTGATGTTGGTACCACCAGAAAGAAATAAAGCAGCAGTTTTACCACTAGGATGAGTCCCGGGTGTTCTGAAATATATTTTGGTCACAATGATAGATCATATTTCACAAGCAGAACCTATGCAAATATAAAAAACAGAGGTGTTTACGGAGACATGTCTGGCACTGGCTGTTAATTCACCTTCCGTTTGAAGCATTGTGTTCAAGTTTGTTTATGATATAAGCTAGCAGTTAAAGGATGTGTGAAAATAAATTGTTTTCATATGAATGACTTAAAAATTCACTGTCTTCTCATTTATTGCATCTAAATTTCTTTCTGTGTCTGAAAGTGTCATGTGATGTACTACGACAGGACATATGCTAGGACATGAATTGGGTTTGTTTTGTTGCATCTAAATGTCTTTCTGTCTCTGAAAGTGGCATGTGATGTACTATGACAGGACATACGCTACGACATGAGTTGGGTTTGTTTTGAGAAACATATGATTATCTTTCTTTGATGGTCAATGACTGTGCTATCCTTTATCAGACATGATGTAGAGTGAGAAGAGGAATTCTGTGATAATAGATGGTATGTGACAACCGTGGGTGTATTCAAACCTGTGATGGCTCGGTGCTGCTTAGTCATGCAAGACTGATATGGATCTTAATCTGGAAATAATGAATGTTATTCTGTGTACACTATGTCAAACCACAAGCCTTGTTTTGTCCGCAACTCCAAGTCTAAGCATCTTGAAGACTTTCCTCAGCTTCAGAAATGTTGTTTTACTAGTTCTTTGTGATGAAGAACCTGTTTTTGTTGAAAATGCTTGTAATATTACTGGAGAGTTTAAGAAAAATTTGGTTCAGGATATATCCTTTCTCTTGTTATTACGAGAATTGTTTTTAAAAGAAGAAGAAGTCCTGTAATATTTTAATCCTTTGCTGCTTATAGTTTATAAGTATTAAAGGCAATCTGGGAATGTTAATTACATTATTTTTTAATTGTTAATTTAATTTATCAGTTACATGTACACTGATTTTTAATCATTTGTTTATAATGTCAAACTAATTAATTCAAAATGTAACACTTTGAAAAATCAGATGAACAAATCTCATCATAAAATCACTTTAATCAAAATTAATGATTATCACAAGTTAATGAAGCATCAAATCTGTCCACAGTGTCAATGTCCAAAGCGTATCCATTACGCATTTACTAATCATAGAATCATAAAATGTCCTGCATTTTTATGTAATCAATAAGTGTTATTCCTGTGCTATCTGTGAATTTCATATCCAAGATATTTTAATCTTGTCTGATTTCATTGATCTGATTTGTAAATTTCCAGCTTTTCTGAATGAAATCATCCCATGTTGGTATGGAAACATTTCATAAAAATCAGAGCTCAGATTCCCAACATGGATTTCAGCCATAATGTTGTAGGCCTATGGTTACTGAAGCATGGAGTCAGCATGCCAGGGATTAATTGGTCATGTAACTATGTTTACCATCATGGCTGTGTGTAGCCCATGTCAGTCTCAATCAATATCGTTCTTTGGGAGAAGATATCTCACACTTCAAAGCTAGACTTGATTGAGATCTGAAAATGTTTGGGATTAATTCAAGTGTTTCAATTGTGATACTTTAATTAACATGGATGTCAATGACTTTATGTATGGTATTTTTATGAATACACAATGCTATTTAGAAAGTGATCAGATGTAACATATGTTATATTTGGGATTACGCTTTCTCAGTAAAGTACAGATGCAAGTACTTTTTGGGGGGTTGAGTCCCATCCTGGATTCGAACCCGCACCCTCAGAGTCAGACACTAACTCATTCCTCCTCCTCATGTAGGTTAATGGCATACTGGGGCGGTGGGGTAGTCTAGTGGTTAAAGTGTAGGCTCGTCACGCCGAAGACCCGGGTTCAAATCCCCACATGGGTACAACGTGTGAAGCTCATTTCTGTTGTCCCCGCCATGATGTTGCTGGAATATTGCTAAAAGCGGCGTAAAGCCAAACTCAGTCAGTAATGGCATACTCTTGCAGAAGGCCATAACCACCTCCACTTGGGGAAGTTATTGCATCTTATTCTGTGACATTATCTAATGCCATAATGGGTGCTCTTGTGCTGGATTTAATTCAGGAAAAAACTGTGAGACTCTTCAAGGGGGATATAAGTTGTATCTCACAGACTGATAAAAATAATTGTAAAGCTAATTGGGCAATAAAATGCATTTCATGATGCTATGAAATCTCGGATCAGTGGTTTCAATGGCGTTTCCCTGTAAATGTGTGTATCATGGTGGATATGCTTTGTTAATAAACAGGTGCATTGTATGCACAGCACAGATGTTGAGCATAAAATACTTTTGTCATGATGTTAACGTGGTAGGCACGTGGCGGAAAGTCTAAGCTTTACACAGCAGTTGTCCTTCTTAGTTCTGGGGTTACTGATGTCAGTTAAGGTGTCACAGGTTGCTGTAGAGAGCTGCACTTCCTAGAAAACCTAGGATTGTGGGTTTGAATCCAAATTGTGGGTTTGAATCCTAGATTCATCTGTATTATGTTTAACTGACTGACTGACTGAGTTTGTTTACGCCACTTTTAGCAATATTCCAGCAACATTCATCTGTCGAACCGAGGTCTTTGGCGTGGCGAGCCAACGCTTATGTTTATGTTTAAAGGTTTGTCAGAACGGTACTCATGATATGGGGTTTATGGGAATGGTGCTGCCCAACCTGGAGACCTGATACTGAGTAAATGTCTCTAACCAGCATCACTGATAATGAACAAGAACACATGACTTCACCCCTGGCAGCTTGTTATTAATATTTAATAAATGTATCCCTACAAAAACTTATACGTTTTGAAACATATCCATAAAATTGAACAAGGATTTATTTATGTATGCATGTTTGAAATTATTTTGTCAAGTATCTGTTGAACTCGGTTAAACCTGGGCCAAAGTTGGTTCTGTGGCCTGTCACCAGTGAAGATCCGGGTTAGAATTGGTCTTCAGCAACCCATACTTGTCGGAAAAGGCTACTAACAGGATCGAGTGGTCAGGTTCGCTGACGTGGTAGACACATGTCATTGTACCCTTATTGCAAAGATCGATGCTCATGCTGTTAATCACTGGATTGTCTGGTCCATACTCAGTTACTTATACAGACCACCACCACATAGCTGGGATATTGCTGAGAGCGGCGTTTAACAACAAACCAACTCTGAATCCCGAATCTCTGAATCTGTTCCTTAGTTTTTCAGCTCCACTGATTCGCTGGCAGGTTTTACAGAATGTAGCATGCGTCTATAAATGTGTCACTTCTTGCTCAGACACTCCATGTGACTAAATATATATACTGAAATTTGATATAACGGTGGCATCATAACTGATTGGTGTGTACCCTTTTTTGCAGATTCAGTCCAACTTGTATTCTGGATACCGATGGTCAGGTGACCTGCAACGCTTGTCCCGCTGGACACACCGGCCGCCGATGTGAAATGTGAGTCAAGACTGACATGGTTTAATTGCTGCAATACTGAAACAATTAATGATCACAATGATCCCTAAACAAGACTCCTTTGGAAATGTTTGTGTCAGGTGGAAACATAAACTTGTGTTTTTGTCAGGATTGATATGGCCAGGGCCCTTAATCTCAAAATGTTTGTAGCCCTAAGAATTCTTAACTTTTATCATAGCCAGTGTGTTAAGAATGGGCTTAAGAAGTTCGAAGGGCCTACGAACGTTTCGATAATAGCTAGCCTGGTCAGAATAATCAAAGGCTTAACGACATGCGATCGTTTTTTGTGTGTGTGTTAGTTTGACATTGAGCAGTGACAACATTGATCTCATTGAGTTTCTTTTAACATGTATCACACTACTATAGGAAACTTTGCAATACGCTTCCATTAACACATGAAGTCTGTTGCTAGCTAAACTACACCTGAAATATCAGTACATTTAATTCCGTTTTCATAAACTAGACTAAAAGGCTACACTATATTTATCTGTGGGGTAACTATGTGTGTACAATGTTTATGTTGTGTGAACTTGAACTTAATGACCTCACAATATTGTTCTGGCATCAGTATTTAATGATGGAAGTTCACTGTGATTGTTGACCGTGACCCTAATGACCTTGACCTTGTTCTAGATGTCTGCCAGGATACACAGGCAACCCACTACAGCCTGGAGACTACTGTCAACTCAGAGGTAGGGCAGTCCTCTTTTCCTGAAACTATCTATTACTTCATTAACACTCTAATGTGGTTACCGGTATCTGATTGATATAAGTGGTTACATTCCTGTTTATGCCTGTATTTGACATGAGAGGTTACTTTTCTGTGATATGAGGCTCTGATGATGAAATGGTTACTTACCTGTTAACACCTGTATGTGGCAAGAGAGGTTACTTTTCTATGATATGAGGCTCTGATTGATAAAAATGGTTACTTACCTGTTTACACCTGTATGTGGCAAGAGAGGTTACTTTTCTATGATACGAGGCTCTGATTGATAAAAATGGTTACTTACCTGTTAATACTTGTCTTTGAGAAAAGAGATTACTTTTCTGTGATACCTGTCTTGGATAAATAAAAGTGGTTCCTTACCTGTTAATACCTGTCTGTGATTGCAGGTGTGGACTGCGAGTGTGACCAGAGAGGAACTATCCCCAATACCCAGTGTGACCCCAACACTGACCAGTGTCAGTGCAAGGTGAGAGGATTTCAGGGGGGACGTTCGTTGACTGTACTTTCTCCATAAAATGCAGATAAAAATATATCCAAACCCAGATTGCTGAAGAGAAACATTACATAGTAGCTGTGGTTTCTTTAATGCACAGTCTACAGAGTTATTACAGTTTTCAGGGATTGACCTGTTGATATTAAGGGGTAATTAATATTAACGGTAATAAAAATTATTTTTTTGCAGAAAATGCTGTTAGACACAACTTGGCTTTGTGTTTCACTAAAACAAGAAAATTAATGTTACCTTGGCATCACTTATACCCTCTAAATTGAGTTTTGGATACAACTAATATTGTGAAGTTTGAAGCAGTGAGCAAGAAAGTAAATGTCACAAGACTGAAGGATATCTTTATGAACCTGCCAAGGGGCTGGGATTCAGGGTGTCCGTGTCAGCTCATCGTTACATCTGTTCATGTCGTGTTCAGAGCAGCTCATCGTTACATCTACTGTTACTGTTCCAGGCTTACGCTCAGGGTGCTGCAGTCGTCAGAGCAGCTCATCGTTACATCTACTGTTACTGTTCAGGCTTACGTTCAGGGTGCCTACTGTTACTGTTCCAGGCAGAGCAGCTCATCGTTACATCTACTGTTACTGTTCCAGGCTTACGCTCAGAGCAGCTCATCGTTACATCTACGTTACTGTTCAGGGTCAGAGCAGCTCATCGTTACAGAGCAGCTCATCGTTATCTACTGTTACTGTTCCAGGCTTACGTTCAGGGTGCTCGTGTCAGAGCAGCTCATCGTTACATCTACTGTTACTGTTCCAGGCTTACGTTCAGGGTGCCCGTGTCAGAGCAGCTCATCGTTACATCTACTGTTACTGTTCCAGGCTTACGTTCACGTGTCAGAGCAGCTCATCGTTACATCTACTGTTACTGTTCCAGGCTTACGTTCAGGGTGCTCGTGTCAGAGCAGCTCATCGTTACATCTACTGTTACTGTTCCAGGCTTACGTTCAGGGTGCTCGTGTCAGAGCAGCTCATCGTTACATCTACTGTTACTGTTCCAGGCTTACGTTCAGGGTGCCCGTGTCAGAGCAGCTCATCGTTACATCTACTGTTACTGTTCCAGGCTTACGTTCAGGCTTACGCTCAGGGTGCCCGTGTCAGCAGCTCATCGTTACATCTACTGTTACTGTTCCAGGCTTACGCTCAGGGTGCTCGTGTCAGCGTTAGCTCATCGTTACATCTACTGTTACTGTTCCAGGCTTACGCTCAGGGTGCCCGTGTCAGAGCAGCTCATCGTGTTCCAGGCTTACGTTCAGGGTCAGAGCAGCTCATCGTTACATCTACTGTTACTGTTCCAGGCTTACGTTCAGGGTGCCCGTGTCAGAGCAGCTCATCGAATTACATTACTGTTCCAGGCTTACTGTTACCGTTCCAGCTCATCGCTACATCTACGTTCAGGGTGCTCGTGTCAGAGCAGCTCATCGTTACATCTACTGTTACTGTTCCAGGCTTACGTTCAGGGTGCCGTGTCAGAGCAGCTCATCGTTACATCTACTGTTACTGTTCCAGGCTTACGTTCAGGGTGCCCGTGTCAGAGCAGCTCATCGTTACATCTACTGTTACTGTTCCAGGCTTACGTTCAGGGTGCCGATGTCGTTCAGGGCCAGAAGTGTAACACCTGTGTTGCTGGATACTTCTACCTGGATGAGTCAAGTCCCCAAGGATGTCTGTCCTGTGTTGCTGGTATGGGAGTCACCATGTCTGTCCTGCTTCTGTATGGAGGTGTACCAGTTCCGCTACCGGCTACGTGATGTGGTGAGTGTCATTAGCTTCAGCATTCACCTGATGAAGGAGCCAGAATTAGCTTTGAAACATCGTAAAAAGAATAAAAAAGAAGTTGTTATTCATAAAACGTGTCATGCTCGCCTTTCAAAAACTTCATTCAACATCTTCCGGGATGTGTTGAGTCTGTATCTTCAGTACCAGCTCCAGCTACTACTGTGATGGGGGCGGTGGGGTAGCCTAGTGGTTAAAGCGATCGCTTGTCACACCAAAGACCCGAGGTTCGATTCTCCACATGGGTGCAATGTGTGAATCCCATTTCTGGTGTCCCCTGCAGTGATGTTGCTGGTATATTGCTAAAAGCGGCGTAAAACCAAACTCACTCACTCACTTACTACCGGGACGTGGTGTCAGTCTGTCAGTACCCCCCGTCATGTTTGTGACTACAAACAAAACTACACCCCGTCCTCCCAGTTTGCTGAATCAACCATGTTCTTCTGAGGTTTTGGGTAACAGCAGTCAAGCTTACAGCTATAACCTGATTATATGATTTCCAGATCCGACCACAGTTTAACTCAGATGGTACCCACAACTTCGGTCTGACGAACCGGCGCCTGAGTCGTATGATCAAGGATGGCTTTGAGGTTGATGCCAGCCAGGATCAGATCACCTTCAAGGGTTTCGATGGAATCCAGAGAGAACGGGAGAGCTTGTTCTTCCAGCTGCCTCCCCGTTTCCGTGGCAACAAGGTCCGTATCAAATTTGTTTTTGAAATGTAAATTTAGATAATTCTCAGATTTTTGTTTGTTTATTAACCATTAGTCTCATTCTATTCTTGACTTCCTAATAATGATGATGTTACAAAAGATTATTCCAGTGATTGTCTTTCATTTCTAAAGAACAGTTCTATTTGATGCTCAAAACATATGAGAACTGTCTACTATATGCATTTAGATTTGTAGATTATTTTGATAATCTTTAACTCAATGTTAAACCTTCATCTTGCCACTTGTGGATGTGTATAATGTTGTACAATGTTGTACTTGCAGGTCTCGTCCTACGGTGGTATGCTCCGATTCACCCTGGAGTATACTGTTGCCTATGACTCTGGACAAACATACATGGATGTTGACATCGAAATCATCGTAAGTTTCTCTACCTATCCAGTATTAAAAACCTAACAACATTAAATGTTCCAGAACCTACATCTAGAATCTAGAACTTTCATTGAAGTGCTGAGCTGTTACAAATCATCTGTACGGCAATTCAAGATGGATGTGTTTGTTGTTTAACGCTGCACTCCAGAAATATTCCAGCTATATGACTGCATTGTGTAAATAATCAGGTCTGGACCAGACAATCCAGTGATTGACATCATGAGCATTGATCAACTCAACTGGAATACAATGAAATGCATCTATCAAGTCAGTGAGTCTGACAGCTTGATCCTGTTAGTGCTGTGGTTACAAGAAGACCATTTCTAGCACATACCTTCATTTGGGTGTCATTAATGTTTACACAAATGATCCTTGTGAACTCTAACATTCTGACGGCATCTTTCACTTCTTCTGAAATCGATAGGCATTTTTAAAAAAAATACATGTCATTCAGAATGGTGACTGTGTGATTTTAACCCATTATTTGTGTTATTCAGAGTGGTGACAAGCGACTGTACATGATCTTCAATCCATCTGCCAAACCAGTTGAACCACAGACCTATGAGATTCTCCTGCGTGAGGTGAGACCGTGGTGCAGCACTAGGTTTAGACTGGAGTAAAACTGTCCTGGAATAATGTTTGGGAACATTGATGGAAACTATTTTGAAATCTTTCATGTGAGGTCAACCCAGATCTTCCTCTTATGTTCTCTGGATTCTTTCTGTTGAATTATTATTCAGGTTTTTCTTATTGTTGCAAAATCATTTTTACCACCGAAAACAATGAGTAGTTATGATGAAAACATCATTCAATCTCATCTGCATTTCACCGTGTGTCTTCTTCTTAGTCATCATTCCGCTCCTTCGATGGGTCTTCCCCAACACGAGACTCCTTCCTCACCATTCTGTCCATGATTGACGGAATCCTCATCCGTGCCACTCACCACACCATCATGGGCTCCGCTACACTGCGTGACATCAGCATGGACATCGCTGTGCCCCGTTCGACTGGACAGCGTCTTGCAAACGAGGTGGAGAGTTGTCAGTGTCCCGAGGGATACACTGGTCTGTCCTGTGAGGTGAGGTTTCCTGGTGCCTTTGAAAACTGTTCACAGCCTGGGTGTTGTTGTACAAAATAACCTACTACGTGAAGTCTATGTTAAGGTATGGGGTTATCACCTTAGTGCTAAGACTACAGTCTACCTTAGTGCTAAGACTTAGGGCTAGAGACTACCTGAAGTCTATGTTAAGGTATGGGAGTTACGGTCACCTTAGTGCTAAGACTACCTGAAGTCTATGTTAAGGTATGGGAGTTACGGTCACCTTAGTGCTAAGACTACCTTAAGTCTATGTTAAGGTATGGGAGTTACGGTCACCTTAGTGCTAAGACTACCTTAAGTCTATGTTAAGGTATGGGAGTTACGGTCACCTTAGTGCTAAGACTACCTTAAGTCTATGTTAAGGTATGGGAGTTACGGTCACCTTAGGGCTAAGACTACCTGAAGTCTGTGTTAAGGTATGGGAGTTACGGTCACCTTAGTGCTAAGACTACCTGAAGTCTATGTTAAGGTATGGGAGTACAACAGCACCCAGATCTTGAAGTAAAATTGCTATAACTGTGTCTAAATTACACTGAGGTCCACAAAAGTTTACTGTTTTTAAGCTTGTATTTGTCAATTATATGATCCTTTATGAATTCTCCTTAACACTTATGTGGTAAAGTCATGTATGTGACGTCATGTAATACGCTATGTTTATACCTGATGAGTAGTGTTAGTTATACCCCGTGTCTTCTTCCAGGAATGTGCTGCTGGCTACCTGCTTGTAGAGGAACCTGGAACTCCTCGTGGACGCTGTGTACGCTGCAACTGTAACGGACACGCATCGTCATGTGACCCCAATACAGGACGTTGTCTGGTAGGTGCCGCACAAGTTGAAAGTAGATCATCGAGACTTATTAGATTCAGCGTTCTTATGAGCATACTCTTGTAATAGATATCAGCAATTGATGTGATATCAGCATCTTCAATACTTAAAAGAATCTCATACAGATTCCATGTGCTGAGCAGTTGTCAGTATAGGCCTTGCTATAGGTAAACTGAGGAAGCAGGTCCAAGTATGTCCTCTGTTAAAAAGAGTGAATAAAAAATTAATCATCATCGGCAAGTATCAGTGAATCCCTTCTAGCTGTATTTTTGTGTAACTTCTGTTATCCAAACAGAAACAAAATGGTTGTTTTAAGAAAATCAGTTATTCCATTGACATGTCTGATGGTGAGTCATCTACGATGTGTTTCACATTGAACCATGATGTTACTATGATGTTACCATGATGTTACCATGATGTTACCTTACAGAACTGCAATGACAACACGGAGGGAGACAGATGTGAGAGGTGTGCCTCTGGTTACTATGGTGATCCAACAGTTGGCACTCGCAGCGACTGCAGGCCATGCCCATGTCCTCTGACCATCCCATCCAATCAGTGAGTAGATACATATCAGGTGACCACCAAATATATCACTGATGTTCAATGAAAAATACCCCTGCTACATATTAGTGCATGTTAATATAAGCTAATATGGAGTGGTGGTATATATTTAGTAATAGTCGAATGACGTATCTCCCAGCTATTTAGTAAGTATATGTATGCCATAATACTTATGACATGAGATGAATTGTTATTTATCTTTCTTTGTTTGGTGAAAATGGCAAGTGTTATCTCTTTCCATATCCTCTGACTCGCTCATACAATACTCTTGCATGGAAGCAACTCAGATATTTCAGTCAGCCATGTTTGTTCTCTGATCCTGTCGTTTGATTCCCAGATTCTCTCGCACATGCTTCTTGGACCCCTCGGACAACCGTGTAACATGTGACCGCTGTCCACAAGGATATACCGGACGTGACTGTGGCACGTGAGTAAAAGATAACCACACAAAATTTAAGAATATTTTATCTTTGTTCTGCTGGGTGGATAATGATTTAATATACGCATATTGTATGTTTTTTGTTGTAATGCTGCCTTTATCAGTATTCAAGCTATATTTTGGTGGCTACAAATAATGAACAACAAAATGGCTATACAAAGCTCAAAAGGCTATACATTCATATGTGACTTCATATACCCTTCTATGTCACCTCCCTCTTCAGCTGTGGTGAAGGCTATGTTGTAGTGTAAGTGTGAGGAGGTTGATATGACTATTTATTCCCCTGTATGTCACCTCCCTCTGCTGAAGGCTATGTTGTACTGTGGTGAAGGCTCATGCTGTGGTGAAGGCTATGTTGTAGTGTGTGTGAGAAGGTTGATATGACTATTTATTCCCCTGTAAGTGTCACTATTTATTCCCTTGTATGTCACCTCCCTCTGCAGCTGTGGTGAAGGCTATGTTGTAGTGTGAGTGTGAGAAGGTTGATATGACTATTTATTCCCCTGTATGTCACCTCCCTCTGCAGCTGTGACTGAAGGCTATGTTGTAGTGTGAGTGTGAGAAGGTTGATATGACTATTTATTCCTGAAGGCTGTATGTCACCTGTATGTCCCTCTGCAGCTGTGGTGAAGGCTATGTTGTAGTGTGTGTGTGAGAAGGTTGATATGACTATTTATTCCCCTGTATGTCACCTCCCTCTGCAGCTGTGGTGAAGGCTATGTTGTAGTGTGTGTGAGAAGTTGTGACTATTTATTCCCCTGTATGTCACCTCCCTCTGCAGCTGTGGTGAAGGGTGAGTGTGAGAAGGTTGATATGACTATTTATTCCCCTGTATGTCTCCCTCTGCAGCTGTGGTGAAGGCTATGTTGTAGTGTGACTATTTATTCCCTGTGTGAGAAGGTTGATATGACTATTTATTCCCCTGTATGTCACCTCCCTCTGCAGCTGTGGTGAAGGCTATGTTGTAGTGTGTGTGTGAGAAGGTTGATATGACTATTTATTCCCTGTATGTCACCTCCCTCTGCAGCTGTGGTGAAGGCTATGTTGTAGTGTGTAGTGTGAGAAGGTTGATATGACTATTTATTCCCCTGTATGTCACTTCCCTCTGCAGCTGTGGTGAAGGCTATGTTGTAGTGTGAGTGTGAGAAGGTTGATATGACTATTTATTCCCCTGTATGTCACTTCTCTCTGCAGCTGTGGTGAAGGCTATGTTGTAGTGTAAGTGTGAGAAGGTTGATATGACTATTTATTCCCCTGTATGTCACTTCTCCCTCTGCAGCTGTGGTGAAGGCTATGTTGTAGTGTAAGTGTGAGAAGGTTGATATGACTATTTATTCCCTGTATGTCACCTCTGCAGCTCTGCAGTTGTAGTAAGTGTGAAAGGCTATGTTGTAGTGTAAGTGTGAGAAGGTTGATATGACTATTTATTCCCCTGTATGTCACTTCTCTCTCTGCAGCTGTGGTGAAGGCGTAATGTGACTATGTATTCCCTGTATGTGTAAGTGTGAAGGCTATGTTGATATGACTATTTATTCCCCTGTATGTCACTTCTCTCTGAAGGCAGCTGTGGTGAGAAAGATATGCTATTCCCTGTTGTCACTTCCCTCTGCAGCTGTGGTGAAGTGTGTGATGTGTGAGAAGGTTGATATGACTATTTATTCCCCTGTATGTCACTTCTCTCTGCAGCTGTGGTGAAGGCTATGTTGTAGTGTAAGTGTGAGAAGGTTGATATGACTATTTATTCCCCTGTATGTCACTTCTCTCTGCAGCTGTGGTGAAGGCTATGTTGTAGTGTGAGTGTGAGAAGGTTGATATGACTATTTATTCCCCTGTATGTCACTTCTCTCTGCAGCTGTGGTGAAGGCTATGTTGTATGTTGTAGTGTGACTATTTAGTATGTGAGAAGGTTGATATGACTATTTATTCCCCTGTATGTCACTTCTCTCTGCAGCTGTGGTGAAGGCTATGTTGTAGTGTAAGTGTGAGAAGGTTGATATGACTATTTATTCCCCTGTATGTCACTTCTCTCTGCAGCTGTGGTGAAGGCTTTGTTGGCAACCCAAGGGAACCTGGTGGCTCTTGTGACAGAGATGGTGAGTAATACTTTAAACCTGTCTTCATATCTGGCTACTGTTAAATGAAACAGTATAGCTATCAATACTTCAGCAAAGAGAGAGAATGGTTGTATTTTTGTGGAGAAACATATTGAGTTGTCTTCCTTGTCTTATAAAAATATTTGAATAAATTTTAGAATCAGAATGTTTTCTGTCAGACTGTTATTGTGAAATCAAATGATGGATATGCTGTAATGTGTTTCATTAACAGATTATATAATTAAATTGTATGTCTGACTTTTTACTGAATATGAATGCTTTCAGTAGGAAGTATTTCCTAAATCCAGATTTATTACATCATTGCCACTAATCTTGTATTTGTGGCTGAAATCCTTCTACAACTAAAATTTCAGATTTTCAACTGAAATCCTCTTTGCTGTTACAATTTGTTCTTCCTACAGTAGTATAAGCAGCCCACAGCACATACATATGTGTAAAGGCGGGAAACTCCGCTTGTTTCCTTTGTGTGCTGGAGATTACCTGCATCGCTATAATGTTTGTTTCAGTGAACAATCGCCCTCAGGTTGTGGTGACCCCTATCCGTCTGAGTGAGCCTCTTGGATCAACAGCAAGCTTCCAGTGCCAGGTGTCCGGACGTGGGACCCTTCAACGTTGTCTGGAGCCGACTGGACGGACGCCCAATGCCTGGGAAAGTACGCACTAGTGCCAGGTATCAGATGACCATCCCTGACCTCGAATCGTCTGACGGTGGTCGATATGTCTGTACTGCTACCAACAACTACGGAAGTGTCAGAGAGTTTGTGGAGTTGACGATCAGTGGTAAGGAAAGACAAGGATACTCCGACAGCCATGTTGAACCATCCTCTATAATCCGGGGATTTGAAGCTCCACTCCATTACAATACCTTACACCTTGTCACCATCATACCTTTGTGTTGATTCCAGTTTAAAAACATGACAGAAATATCAGACTTCCATTCCAAGTCATCGTTCTGCCATGATGTTTCAAATTCTCACCTTGACAATTGCATGTCCTTTCCAATATGACCCGCGAAGGTCCGGGTTAGAATGAATCTTCAGTAACCCATGCTTGTCGTAAGAGGCGACTAACGGGATCGGGTGGTCAGACTCCGCTGCTGGTTTGGTTGACACGTCATCAGTTCAATTAGCAGTGCAGATCGATGCTCATGTTGATCACTGGATTTTCAGGTCCAGACTTGATTAAGATCCAGATTTATTGAAACTAAACTCACTCACTCACTCACCTTTCCAGTATAATTAGAGTGATTGTACCATAATGACTTCACTACTGCCTTATTTCCGGTACTTAGAAACATTTGTTCATTTATGTCTTCTGAATTGATTAAATATGTCAAGGGTTTGCTAGATTTAATGTCAAAAGCAACAATAGGTCTTGTTGTTAAAGTGTTGGCTTGTCACACTAGAGATTGGGTTCTGTGACAGAACAGATTGGAAGGTGTAATGCCCATTCTTTGGTTCCACTTAAATGCTGAGAAGGAATGACAGGGATGAGGGTACTGAGATATGGCCATCAGTGTGTGTCTGCGCGTACAATTAACAGAGTGTGTGAATCTGTTTCTGCAGATGATTTAGAATGATTATTCTCCAGCACTAACATTATATGGTTAGGTTCTTTCATGTTTATTGCATGGCAAATGAACTCAAAACACAGACCAAGTGTGATATATCTGGGATGTAGACTAAGGGGAGGTAACTCTCTTTAACATGTGAAGCTTAAACCTCAAGTAAAACCGAGTGTATGGGTGAGAAAACGGTCAGTCATCTTAATGCAGATTGGCATACTGTAACGAAAACCTGATAAATATATGAACCCATATACGACTTGTGATATGACAGATACAAAACCTAGCAGTAGAAGTGAATGTTTGTTGCCTATTGCCACTTCAGCACCCACCAATCCTATCCGAGTCCGCATTGAGGAGCCGCGTGAAGTGGAGACCAGGATCGGAGCCAGCGTCAGGTTCATCTGTGTCGCCATCTCCTACAATACTGAGGTACATTTTACAGCTTTGGTCATTCTGGGGTTCAGGGATTGGATCATCAAAGATGTCTGCTAGTCCTTCAACATGTGCAATGGTTTTAGCTTTTTTGTGGGACCAATTTTGAGTTTTCCAAATCAAGTATGTAGTTCCTGTGAATACAAAACCACCAGTGCTACATATCCTGTTACAAAAGTTCTCATCACTTTCCACTGGCCGTGATCAGTTGTACAGGTAACAGGAGCAGTTGTGCCTATAATGAATCAAGCATATTTTTACTTGAACTTTGGTTTACAAAACTTTCTCAGATTTAGTTTTGCCACTGTTCTTGATAGATTGTCTACATTGATGAGAATTTTTGTGAGTGAGTGAGTTAAAATTTATAGTCACATCGGGCAATATTTCAGTCATATCGTGACTAAATCAAGTTATAGATTTACAATAATTAAAAGTAAATTATAAATATCTGTCAACGGAGGACAGTAAAACAACTAGATTAACACAGATATTAATTTAAAATTAGTAATATAATCTCAAATAATTATCTATACATGATGATGATACAATACAATCATGATGTCTAACTAGTTGTTTTACCATGGCAGGCCAACTTTGTTCTGTCATGGACCAAGAATGGCGCTGGTCTGCCAGAGAAGGCCGTCGACCAGAATGGCGTCCTGGTCATCCCCAACATCCAGCCTGAAGATGAGGGCACCTACACCTGTACTGGCTCCGATGCCTATGGAGTTGACCGTGTCACTGCCGTTGTCAGCATACCTGGTAAGAAGGTTACATTTGGAAAGATAATGTTTGCATAATTGTTATGTCAGGGAGAGCTGGTCAGATAGTTCAGTGACTGGTGCATTTGCTTACAAGAGTGTAACAAAAGTTTCACTGTATTTGTATGGATAGTTTCACTAAATCTGTAACAAAGGTTTCACTGTCTGTAACAAGGATTTCACTATATCTTTAAAAGGATTTCACTGTATCTGTAACAAGTGTTTCACTGTATCAAGGGTTTCACTATCTGTAAGACGGGTTTCACTATAAGAAGAGTTTAGCTGTATTTGTAACCAGGGTTTCACTGTATCTGTAGCAAGGGTTTCACTGTGACAATGGTTTCACTGTATTTGTACCAAAGGTTTCACTGTATTTGTAACTAGGGTTTCACTGTAACAAGGGTTTCACTGTATTTGTAAGAAAGGTTTCATTGTATTTGTAACAAGGGTTACACTGTATTTGTAAGAAGGGTTTCACTGTATTTGTAAGAAGGGTTTCATTGTATTTGTAACAATGGTTTCACCATCTGTAACAAGGGTTTCACTGTATCTGTAGCAAGGGTTTCACTGTAACAGTGGTTTCACTGTATTTGTACCAAGGGTTTCACTGTATTTGTAACTAGGGTTTCACTGTATCTTCAACAAGGGTTTAACTGTGTATGTGCTCTGTTCTTATTCCAGGTCGTGAGGAGGCTCCAGTTGCCAGAATTGAGCCACGCTACCTGCAAGTTAATGTTGGAGATTCCATCGAGTTCCGCTGTATTGCCGAGTCCAGTCCACCTTCGACAATCGTGTGGACACGTGGAGAGAGTGGACCTCTGCCTGACTATGCCACAGTGGACAACGGCGTGTTCCGCATCTCCTCTGTACAGAAGAGTGATGAAGCCGAGTACTACTGCAAGGCCAGCAACCCTGCCGGCATGTCGACTGTCAGAACCATCTTGTACGTCACAGGAACTGCTCCAGGTGAGAGTCCACACAGCATGTCAATATACTTTAGCATGGCAGTCTAGGTTTTGAAGTTTGAATGATGTTCCAGATCCACTTGTCATGAAGTAAACTAGGTTTCGTAAAAGTAACTTTTGAGATCGGTTATTTATTGGCAACATAGACGATCTCTTTCCATAAACTTGTTTCTTTTACATTTATTTAAATAATTTTTCAGAGCCAGAAGTGACGATTGTGATCAGGAGAACGCAAGTGACTGCCATCTTGGGAACAACTGTCACCTTGGAATGCTACTCTCAAAATGGTGGCGATGTGATCCTTGTGTGGTCTCGGGAACGCCAGGGTCTCCCATCAGGTAGGTATTGTCTCTAAAAATAAAATATAGCTCAGAGCAGTTTTAAACCCAACTCATTCACTGAATGATTTTGTGAATCCTGTACTTACTGTATTTACATTCCAGGTTCCAGCCAGGACAACGGTATCTTGACTCTGCCCAATGTCCAGCCATCGTATGCTGGGTCATACTTGTGCACTGGTACTACGTCCACTGGCAAGACCGGCGTCGGACGCACGACCCTCACCATTGAAGCTGGTGTAGAGAGTGAGTATATCTATTGCTTGGTTGTGGTATGGAGCCATCTTGTTGGTGGTTCAGACCAAATTTATGGATTTGGAGGACAGATTGTTACTGTTAGAATGAGTTAAAATGCATTGTTGGTTTTGTTGGTTTCAAAACCTCATTTTGTTGGTTGCTCAAACCAAGTTAATGGATTGCTAGCCAAGTATTTATTGTTTGAATGAGTTCAATCTAACGTCCTGTTCTCTAGGAGAGGCTCCGACCGTGACTATTGGTGAGAAGATGCAGGTGATTCCGTCTGGAACAACAGGAACCCTCCGCTGTGTTGTCACCGGAGTTCCCAAACCAACCATCACCTGGAAGAGGGCCCGAGGAGAGCTCTCCAGCAACCATGTGGTACGTACCTCTAGCATTGGTTGGTTTGTTGTTTAACGCCGCACTCAGCAATATTCAAGCTACATGTCCGCGAACTGTAAATAATCGAGACAATCCAGTGATCAACTTCATGAGCATCGTTCTACACAATTGGGATACGATGACATGTGTCAACCACGTCAGCGAGCCTGACCACCCGATCCCGTTAGTCGCCTCTTACGACAAGCATGGGTTGCTGAAGATCAATATTCTAACCCGGATCTTCAGGGATAAGGTACTTTAAGGAACAAAGGGAGACTTGTAAACTGCGAGGAAAAGTGGTAATATGTCTCAAGTACGAGTAACACGCAATATTTCTTGTCCTTCTTGAATAGCAATATTCAGTCAACAGTTTATGATTTCTGTACCAGCAGACCTATCATATTGTTGTCTTCAGGTCAGCCAAAATGGAGAAATCCTTAGAATCACCCAGGCATCAATGGCCGATCGTGGAGTTTACATCTGTCTGGCCGAGAGTGTTGCTGGTAGAGCAATGGCCTCCGCTATGATTGATGTTGAACGTAAGTATATTGTGCTTGTTAAGGAAATAGGTACTGTTGTTGATATGAACCCTGGTCTGTCAGGGCTCACCTGCACAAATTATTGTCCATGATGATGTACTAAAACAATTTGATATGTATGTTTAAAGTATGAGATGGTCCTAGCGCTAGGTGATGATCATAGCAGTCCCACTTGTGTAACTCTATGTTTAAGTGTGGTAAGTAATGCTGGTCTTAGCGCGCTCAGATTATAAGTCAGTGTCATGATGGTCTTGCTGCTATGTTCAGGAGATGGTTCTTTGTGTGTACAAATATGATAAATTCTGAAGTAAAACTGCATTGTGCGAGTTTTTGTAACTACTACCAGTATAATGTGTAAAAGAAAACTTTAAATTGATAAAATTGTAATCAGAATTTAAAATGGAAGATGTATTGTGATCATATGCTATTGTATTCTTTAGGGTTGAGGTAATTTGCTTAATTGAATGTTTAAACAGTGTGAATTCTATCTTGTATATTACAGCTTAGAATGATGAGGAATAGTAATGCATTTCATTATTAATATATGTACTGAGCAAGCACCTGTTTGTGTTAGGTCGTGAGATGCCAGTGGTGGAGCTGTACCCTGCAAACGCTGTGACTATCAGGAGTGGCGCCAGTGCCCTGTTCCAGTGCCGTGTCACCGGGGGAACACCATCTCCGACGATCACATGGACCAGGTACACAGAGGCACACTTGTCTAATCTAACACACCTGGCTCAATAGTAAAATGGTGTACTAAATATACTGAGGGAAACAGGTAAAGAAACACCACTTCATGGTAGTGTTGCTTTATTTATTCTCAGATTTCCTCACACAGCGCTATTCAAAGCTGGTGATGAAAACTGGAAAGTTTTACAGGAACGCTCGAATTTTCCTGTGTTCCCTTATTTGTTTCTCTCAGTATATATTTTGTATGCAGATTAAAAGTGATACAGTGAAACCTCGATATACCGCTATCACTGGGGTCCATAATCCGGACACTGTTCTAAGAAAGAGCATTATACAGATAACAATAAATGAGTAAGATGTTCAGGATTTGTTGGTGTCAACATTATTCAGGATTTTTTCACTTTTCCAACATATTTACTTGTTTGTGTTTGAGTGGCCATTTAATTCAGTGTTTTATGTCTTATTCACAGCAACGTGATGAATCTGTTATTTACATATTTACAATTCTATACACCTGTCTTTAAATCAATAAGATATAGAGTGTTTGCAGGGGGTTATTATTATTATTAATATTATTATTATAGGATATTTATATAGCGCACATATCCACACAACTAGTGCATGCTCAAGGCGCTGGCATTTTTCCCCTCGATCATTGGATGTCAATCTCAACGGCACATCGTATTATCAATCTCAACTCCCTGGGGAGTATACAACTTTTTTTGGCTGTCTCATCCTAACGAGGTACCCATTCACAGCTGGGTAGACTGGGACGCATAGTCACAGTACTTTGTCCAACTTCACTGCACGTTGCTGTTACTGAAATTGTTTTGTGGTTGTAGACATACTGTCCTTGCCCACATGTAACGAAATAGGGATAATGACTTAAAATACGATATCATATGTATGTGCAGAGTTGGAGACGAGCCTTTCACTTCGACAACAGACGTGATGGAGGAGAATGGAGTCATTATGTTCAAGGGAGTGACTGGTGACGAGCAGGGATCCTATGTGTGCACTGCTACCAATGCCATGGGAACAGTCACTGCCACGGCCACCCTCAGGATTGAAGGTCAGTAATGAAGACTCTGGGGTAATATTTGGGTGAAGGGTTGAAGAGTTGCTTCCCTGCAAGCATATTGTCAAACCTGTGGGTGTTCCAGATAGAGCTGGTCCCTAACAGTGTGATGGCTGTATGAGATAAGCAAATCATTTGGTGGTGCGTTAGAACTGGTTCCTAGCCGTTTATGCTGGTGTGTATGAATGTATGAGGTGGTCTGTCTGATGATTTGGATGTTTGCATGTCATCGCCACCCAATGGTGTGGATCACTTCTGACAATATCATTAAGGAAGTGACGTAACCATAGCAATTTCAGATAAATATAACTTGTACAATATTTATCTTGCTAAAATAACAGGTGTGGGTTTTTTTTGAAAATATATCAGAATTTAAAATAAAGCAGCAAATGGTTAATTGCATTTTCTTTGTGGTAGATATAAAATGCTACTTGAGTGAATGAGTCTGGTAAAGATTTGTCCATTTACAGGCTTCTGTTGTAGAGCTTGAGTATTGCTTAGTGCCATCTTAAACTACAAACATGTTGAAGCTGTGGTAACATACAAATGTTACCATGTCTTACATTGTTACAGGCCCACCCAAGGTTTCCGTCTTGCCCAGCCGCAAAGTGGTATCTCTGGAGGGTGATCGGGTCACCCTGGAATGTACTGGTGAAGGCGAGCCAACACCCAATGTGTTCTGGCGTAGTGATACACGCAGGAGGAGTGATGTGCTCCCAGAAGCTTCATATGAAGATGAAGGATCTGCTAGACTCATCTTTGATTCTGTGGCCAAGTCTGATGAGGGCAGATATGTCTGTATCGCCACCAATGATCGAGGCAGGGATGAGGCAACAGTAGATCTTGAAGGTACGCACTGGTTGAAGTCTGTGTCAGATTTATTGGTTTCCATGAGTAGAGCTGGAGGTTCTTGCATAAAGTGATGTGATTGTCATAAGCAAATGTGAAAGTATGGTAGTTAGGAGTGCCTTGACAGCTTCGTGCAGCGGGGCCAAGAAATCCTTCAGAAACCTTTTAAATTCATTAATCATCTCTAGCATGTCGATGAGTTACAAACCGCCTCCGTGGTGTAGTGGTTAGAGCGTCCGCCTGGAGAGCGGAAGGTCGTGGGTTCGATCCCCGACCGCATCATACCAAAAGACGTTAAAATATGGTACTTGTTGGTCCCTGCCTGGCGCTCGGCATTAATGGGTACAACAGGACTGGTCGGCTCGGAGTCAGTATACTGTGTCTGAGTAGGGTATTCATGCTTCACTGCGGCATGGTATCTCAGTGGGCTAGCACTATTAAACCAGCTTAAGTCTGGGCTAGTACAAGCAGCCGCATACACATACACACGCATGCACGTCGTCATATGAGCGAAATATTCTCAAGCACGACGTTAAACCCAATTTCACCTCACCTCACCTTGATGAGTTACTGATCCTTCACTTATTGCAGTACTGGAGTAGAAAACTGAGATTTGCCCACACAAGGAATAATAACTATTGAATTGATCTCTGAATGATCTCTTTTGAATATCTTTAGTGTTTGGATAGTTATAAATAGTATGTATTCAGTGTTCAAAGTTTTCATGGATGTTGTGCAAGTTTAAACAATTTTGATCCAGTAATCCCATATTACCTTTCAGTTATCACTGGTGGCGGACCCCGACCTGATGTGATAGTGGACATTCAAGGACCTGACCAGATGTCTCTTGTTGCCGGACAGTCAGTGGAACTCACCTGCTCTGCACAAGGTAGGATCAAACATGGCTACCACCTCTAGTGCTCTGGTGGGATTGTCCTTCACTGAGACATTGTTTGCAAACATGTTGCAATGCATTTTGCTTACACTTTTCTTACTTTATTTTTAAAATGACTTCAAAGTGAAAGCAGTGCTATTTATACTGTTTGAGAAACTGAGGTTTCTAAGATCCTCCAACTTGCTGAAATGCCTCAAGTGTTTAATGCCAGCTCATTCCTCGGGAAAAGTTTGTTAATCTGTTGTTGTTTAATTATTCTAGGCCTCCAGTCTCCTGTCATTAGATGGCGTCCCCCTGGCAACCAGCCTCTCCCACCCAACCACTCCATCCGTCAGGGTGTGCTGTACATCCCTCAGATCACCCCCGAGTACCATTGTTGGAGAGGTATGTGCCGGATCGGTCTGGCTGTTGTTGATGGCAGACAGGTATATACCTCGGTCATCTGTTATTGTTTGAAGGCAGACACCAGGTTATATACCAGGGTCGGTCTCCCCCATTGTTGATGAAGGCCAGGTATATGCCAGGGTCTCCCTCTGTTGTTCCAGACACCAGGTATATACCAGGGTTGGTCTCCCTTGTTATGAAGGCAGACACCAGGTATATACCAGGGTCGGTCTCCCTCTCCCTCTGTTATATACCAGATCGGAATTGTTGATGAAGGCCAGGTATATATGCCAGGGTTGGTCTCCCTCTGTTGTTGTGAAGGCAGACACCAGGTATATACCAGGGTTGGTCTCCCTCTGTTGTTGAAGGCTTGAGGTTTAGGCAGCCACCTCTGTTGTTGACGAAGGCAGACACCAGGTATATACCAGGGTCGGTCATCTTGTTGGTCTCATGCATTAGATGCATTGAGTGAAGTACACTGGAAGTAGTCCAAGCTTGTTTTACTACTAACTGCCTACAGTATTTTCATACCAGGAAGCATTTTTAGAGATAAATCACCTTACTGCTTCCAGTGACCCCACAACTGACCATCACACCTGCCCAGGTGGCCACGAGACCCGGACAGACTGTGCGACTCAACTGCCAGCCTGGTGGTAGCGGACCTTTCCAGATTGAGTGGACCAAAGTCAATGGGGTTCTGTCTCCAACTGCCATCGAGCGTGATGGAGTCCTGGAAATCCGCAGCATAACGGCCGCAGATGCTGGTCAGTATAGATGTATCGCCACCAACAATGCCGGCAGCTCGGAGGGGTACGCTGTCATCGAGATATCAGGTAGGTCAATTAGTCAGACTTGGGATACTCTTTTTATACGGTTTTAGAGTTATGCTCCGGAAAAGACAAATGTGCACGGACGCATTACGGACGGATGGAGTCCATTTAATCCCCTGCAAAGCGGCGTTGCGGGGGTATTAAAATGGACTCCGGCCCATCCGTGTGTGCGTGCGTGCACATTTGTCTTTTCCGGAGCATAACTCTAAAACCGTTCAATATTTCTTCACCAAACGTGGCTCATAGATAGATCTGGTGGTCTACTGGTGTCTTTTGGTAGTTTTGGTTTTCTGAATATAATATTTTTTGCGTTTCCCGGCAACAAGTTTGACTTAGGCTGAAATTGGTGGTAGTACTCTTTTCCGGAGCAGAACTTTAAAACTGTTCACTGTTTCATCACCAAATTTCATACATAGGTAGATCTACTGGTGAACTGGTGCCTTTTGGTAGATTTGGATTTGTGAATAAAATATTAAAAAAATTGTGTTTCCATGGCAACAGTTTTGACTTCAACTGAATTTGATGGTAATGCTCCTTTCTGGAGCAGAACTTTGAAACCTTTCAGTACTCTCCTTCCACTTAGCTATATACACGCCAACACATTTGACATAGTCATACCTCGTAGACATATTCATTAAGAGTATTTTGCCATTGTGGGGGATATTGATGACTTTGTCTTCTTGTATGGTCTTGTTATTGTTCTCAGAACTCTACTGGTTTTCATTCATTGGTAACTCCTACTATTTTCAAGATGTAAAGATTCAAAAGCACCAAAGAGTGAGTGAGTGAGTGAGTTTAGTTTTACGCCGCTTTTAGCAATATTCCAGCAATATCACGGCGGGGAACACCAGAAATGGGCTTCACACATTGTACCCATGTGGGGAATCGAACCCGGGTCTTCGGCGTGACTAGCGAATGCTTTAACCACTAGGCTACCCCACTGCCCCAAAAAGCACCAAAGATGTGATCCAGATGGTTTATTGTACTTTAATATGCAGTAACTTTATACATGTACTTGTATAATTTTATACAAAATATTTTCAATTTGAGGTCAATAGTTTATGTCAATGGTAATCGACAATGAGTTTTGTTAACATAATGCAGGGTTGGCATTTTAGTTCCAGGATTTACAGTATTCCCTTCGATAACCTACATTATTAAAGTATAGATTACCTTGTAATGGCTTATAATAACCTTGATTTCCACATTGTAGTAACCTTGATCCTGCCATTATGTAAAGTTATGCTAGTTCCATGAACAGCCTATGTTATTGCCCTGTTTTTCCATTCCAGTTCCACCAACAGTTGTGGTGTCTCCCAAGAATGAACAGATAACTGCTGGTCGCACCGTGGAGCTTCGATGTGACGTTACAGGCTCCCCCCCTCCCCAGATCCGCTGGGAGAAGGACATGGGAGGACAGCTTCCTGCCCAGCACCAGATCAGGAATGGTGTGCTCACGTACGTACAGTCATCCTGTCAAGTCAAGTTTTGGTCATTTAGTTTCCCTCTCGTCTTCTTTTACTGTCTGTGTAAACATTTCTTATGCAAATATATTTTGTTATTTAGTGTTCTCGATATATGATAGTACTATAATGCCCATGCTTTCTACTGCAGCATCTACAATGTCGCTGAGGAGGATTCTGGTCGGTACATCTGTACTGCCTCCAACGAGGCTGGCAGCAACAGGGACTACACCTACGTCCGCGTCCAGGGTCAGTCCATCTGCCTTTAAACATTCAGTTTTCTGCTTGGTATGGCTGCAAGTTTAAGGGTGCAGCTCAGGCTTTTATCATGATGATTTCTCTCTCTGAATTTACAGAAATCTGTGGTCATTGGTTAAACTCCAAGATTGTAGGTTTATCAGCACCATTCCTGTGTTTGTAGATTTCACTAAAGTGGTCAACGATTAAGACCTGCTCCACTGCAAGGTTTCCTCCTACAGCAAGAAGGCATGCCATGATAGGACTTAAATACTCATTCACTAGACCCATCTCTGAAGTTCTGGGAGAATACAAGGAATGTGTTTTGTATTGATAGGGATGGTGGCAGATTTCTATGTTGACAGAAAATATAACTGATATTCACATTATAATGTTTATGCTTCATAGGTTTTGTTTTTTCAAGAATCAAATAGTAAATAGTGTTCTGTTTTGGGCATTTGTTACAAGAATATTTATCTTGTTCATTTTTATGGGTAGCCAAGTGGATAGTGTGGAACCTTTCCTATTATATAATTCAGGGATCAATATTGTGTGGACAATTGTTGTGGCATATTTTTTTACATTTTACAACTAGACTGTATTAGTCATCTTTGAAATGGAATCTGTTTTCAATAGTCTGTTAATGTTTCACAAGTTGTTTTATGTGGATCTGTGATTGGTGATTATACTTTTCTTTGATGACATGTTTGTATAAATAGTGCTAATGTAAACTTCTTCAAGTAACAGTGTAGCGGAAACACTGCAAAATGATATATATTATAACTGGCACCAACACTCACTCCTGACTCTACCAACAGGTGGTCCTGGCATCATCCCCGGTGGTGGCGGAGGAGGACAGAGCAGCGTGCAGACTGTCAATGTTGGCGACAGAGTCGACTTCGAGTGTCTTGTGTCAGGTAGGTTTCTGTGTCCCATTATGCTCTGATCCAGATCGAGGGACATGAGGAAATTTGTCTCCAAACTAAAGCTGATAACACTATGGCTAAATTATTTTTGTAATGCATTTTCAAGACAAGTTTATACCTTCTGAGAGTGAATAGCTAGATCACCAAATGCGCCCTTCTTTTTCCAAAAAGCAGTTCTTGTCTTCATGTTCAACCATGTTGAATGTTCCTGAGAACCATGTGGAATGTTCCTGATCCTATCATACGCTGTTACTTTGCTCAGGCACACCCAAGCCCCTGGTGAAATGGTCCAAGGTGGAGGGCGCCCTCCCAGCCAGTGCTGTTATTGGTGAGGGCATCCTTATTGTCCCTGAAGTCCGCCCTGAGGATGCCGGCACATATGTGTGTACTGCAACCAATGAAGCTGGCACCGTACAGAGTAAAGTACAGTTGTTTGTCAGAGGTGAGTAACATGGTCGATACGGCTTTATATCACCTGAATAGCCAGTGAATATCACAGGTTATCTCCCTTAGTGCATTTTGTGTTGTGTTATTGTTTACCGAGTGATATCACACATATTTCATAGTACATCCAGCTATACTTAAATACATACCTTTATGCCTTACATGTTCTGTATGTTATCTTGAGGTTTTAACGATAACATGTTGACCACCTGTGTGTTTATGTGATGATATATGCATTTATTCCATACATATTGTATATGATATGATGTTATCCTCCAGCTCGCCCAGTGATATCTGTCCCACAAGATATCAACACAGCAGCCCTGGGAGGTCCTGCCACTCTATCATGTGATGCCCAGGGATATCCCAACCCTGCCATTACCTGGATGAAGCAGGAAGGAGATCTGCCAAGGTGGGTCAAAGGTCCACCACATGGGCTATCTATGTTTCCAACCTAAATGCCATTTGCAGACAAGCTGTGAAATTTGTATTTTGCTTATTTGGATTATATTTTAAGTTGTTATTTTTTTTATATTCAAAATGATCTTTAGATAGCTTTCAGTGGAATAATGTTAACTTTAACAGTAAACTAGTTCCACTTTGTTGGTCCTGGTATCAGTTGAAATATTTTGTCCATACAGCCATTACATTAGACTTCAATAACAGGAGTTTGACAAATATTTCATCAGAGCTCCAGATAAGATTTAGCTCATGTGGGTACTGTACCCACTGTATTTTTTTGGAGTGGATATTATGAATGTTGAGTGGTATTATATTTTCCGTTACCCACTGCTTTCAAATATGTGCGTATTTCAGTCATTTTACTCACCTAAGTATTATGTCGTTGAGTAAGTTTACTAAGCAGGTATGTCCTGCCTTATGTCATACCTAATCAAAACCAACTTAAATATAATGGAAATGATTTCATAAAAAAATCACTCATCCTATACTGACAGTACAACACTAGTCCTATACTAACAGTACAACTTGATAGCAATCGATGTCTTTTTCATTACACAAGCAATTTTTATGAATATATTTCGTACGCATTTAGTTTTAAACTTTTTGCGTATCTAACATTTTAAATGCGTAATTGGTACGCAACAATTATTTTTCAATGCGTGATTGGAAATTTTCTATGCGTATTTTACCCGGATACGCAGCTTATCTGGGCCTCTGTTTCATTTGAAATGGGAACTCCCAGTGACATTTGCTACAGATTTGGGGTAAGAAATCAGACTCCGGCTATGATCCTGGATAAGCTGTTTCTCAGGCAGAATGAAACACTGCAGTGCTGGGTATTTCTGAATTTGTAAATGTGGTTTGTCTACAGAGAACACTCAATCACAGACGGTGAACTGACAATCCCCCGAGTTCGAGAAGAAGACGGAGGAACCTACATGTGCCAGGCCGCAAACCGATACGGAACTGCTCAAATACCAGTGGTCCTCATTGTTGGTGGTAGGTGTCGTCTAACTGACATGAAATCTAGGCATCATCACTGGTTCAACATCATGCCGACGACCAGGGTTTGATTCTCCATGGGTACAATGTGTGAACCCATTTCTGGTGTCCTCTGACATGATATTGCTGTAATATTGCTCAAAGCCGCATAAAACCAAACTTTTTACTCACTCACTGGTTCAACACAGCTGACCAGTCATTAGAAATACTTATATATTATGAGCTATGTTAGTAACCTGTGTATGTGTCAAGTTTTGAGTCATAACAACCTTGTTTCGTAAATTATCTGAGCAATAAGGAAGATGGGTACTATGTTTTGTTTGCCATTCACACCATTGATCACAACTATATATCACAAATGTAATTGGATAACCTTCAAATGTCACTGGCATCTTGCTACAAGGAGCATGAAAAAAATAGAGAGAAACCGATGTTTGTTGTACATTCCACTTTGAACTGAGAGTAGGAATTACATTTACGTAGGTCAGTGAAAGGCATCTGGCTATGTATGTGCTATTGTCAGGAATAATTCACATTTACATGTCATGTATGTGTTAACTCCCTTGTCATATGTAAAATGTAAAAATTTGTGATTAACTGGTCTTTTTAATATGATAATCTATTTTGATGATGTTGATATGTTGTCCCATAACTAGTATATGATCATGTTCTATGGTTGTTTCAGCACTGGTGCCATACTTCCCCCAGAATCCCGTCTCCTACATGAGCTACCAGCCACTCCAGGATGTGTACCTCAACTTCGACATCATCATGTCCTTCCGTCCGGAGGCCACAGATGGCATGCTGTTGTATAACGGCCAATATAACACGGGCATTGGGGACTTCATGTGCTTCGACTGAACGGAGCCTACCCAGAGTTCCGCTCCGACGTGGGCTCGGGTCCTGCTATTATCCGTGGCAACAACCCTGTTCAGATGAACACTTGGAACACTGTGCAGTTCAAGAGAGATAGGAAGAATGGTACTCATAGGATTCAGTATTCAGATATGCTGTTCCCCAACAACTGATTATATTGTATATTTATCTTACTCATGGGATTCAGTATTCAGATATGCTGTTCCCCAACAACTGATTATATTGTATATTTATCTTACTCATGGGATTCAGTATTCAGATATGTTGTTCCCCAACAACTGATTATATTGTATATTTATGGTACTCATAGCATTCAGTATTCAGATATGCTGTTCCCCAACAACTGATTATATTGTATATTTATGGTACTCATAGCATTCAGTATTCAGATATGCTGTTCCCCAACAACTGATTATATTGTATATTTATGGGATTCAGTATTCAGATATGCTGTTCCCCAACAACTGATTATATTGTATATTTATGGTACTCGTGGGATTCAGTATTCAGATATGCTGTTCCCCAACAACTGATTATATTGTATATTTATGGTACTCGTGGGATTCAGTATTCAGATATGTTGTTCCCCAACAACTGATTATATTGTATATTTATGGTACTCGTGGGATTCAGTATTCAGATATGCTGTTCCCCAACAACTGATTATATTGTATATTTATGGTACTCATAGGATTCAGTATTCAGATATGCTGTTCCCCAACAACTGATTATATTGTATATTTATGGGATTCAATATTCAGATATGCTGTTCCCCAACAACTGATTATATTGTATATTTATGGTACTCATAGGATTCAGTATTCAGATATGCTGTTCCCCAACAACTGATTATATTGTATATTTATGGGATTCAATATTCAGATATGCTGTTCCCCAACAACTGATTATATTGTATATTTATGGTACTCATAGGATTCAGTATTCAGATATGCTGTTCCCCAACAACTGATTATATTGTATATTTATGGGATTCAATATTCAGATATGCTGTTTACCAACAACTGATTATATTGTATATTTATGGTACTCATAGGATTCAGTATTCAGATATGCTGTTCACAAGAACTGATTAATTTGTATACTTATACAGAAGTTCACCAAAGAATGGGGGGAAATATTTTCTTCTTTACATTTAATGTCCAATGATCGATATATATGTATAATACAGATGTACCAATACTGATGATTGCAAACTCTCCTCCAGGTACTTTGATTGTAAACGACGAGCCGGCCTACTATGGCGAAGCTCCAGGGCGGTTTGAGGGCCTGGATCTCCTGGAGAACATGTACATTGGTGGCGTACCAAACTTCCAGAGCATCCCAAGGGCAGCTGGATTCTCCAAGGGATTTGTGGGTAAGGAAGTGGTCCATCATTATAATTCAGTTGATTGTGTAAGGTAGATGTTGGCCGTTTGAATTCAGTTGGCCGTTTGAATTCAGTTGGCCATGTAAGGTAGATGTTGGCCATTTGAATTCAGTTGGCCATGTAAGGTAGATGTTGGCCATTTTAATTCAGTTGGCCATGTTAGGTAGATGTTGGCCATGTAAGGTAGATGTTGGCCATTTTAATTCAGTTGGCCATGTAAGATAGATGTTGGTCATGTAAGGTAGATGTTGGCCATTTTAATTCAGTTAGCCATGTAAGGTAGATGTTGGTCATATAAGGTAGATGTTGGCCATTTTAATTCAGTTAGCCATGTAAGGTAGATGTTGGTCATATAAGGTAGATGTTGGCCATTTTAATTCAGTTGACCATGTAAGAGAGGGTATGACCATTATGTTGCAATTTTCCTTTAGATAAATGACCATAGGAATTTCAAGCTGATATGTAAGTGGTGATATGTAAGAACCCTTATGTGTGACATGCTTTGTGGCGTCTACAAAATCATCCATAGTACTGCCAATATTATGACAACTGTAATTGCTCCAGGTACTGTGAGCGAGGTTAAACTGGAGGGTGTTCCCCTGAACCTTGGTGGTGATGTGATCGACATGTATGGAATTCAGCAATACGAGGCTTGCCAAACTATGTCATGCTTCAACGGAGGCTCCTGCCAACCGGCCAACAACCCATATGGCTACAGGTGCTTGTGTCCAAAAGGATGGGCTGGTGAAAGGTGCCAGTTACTTGGAGAACGCTGCTACCCAGGTAATGATCATCAGATTTTGAAATCCCCATGGAGAATTCAGTGAAGAAGATCCCAGTACCAATGCCTCTCTGAAGAGATTTTCATAACTGAATGTGTTCCCCATATTCCCGATTCCCCATACAGCTCCCCAGTATTCATACTCAGAACCCACATTTATCACCGAGTACTCATACTTATCTCCCAGTACCCATACTTATCTCCCAGTACCCATATTTATCTCCCAGTACCCATATTTATCCCCCAGTACCCATACTTATCTCCCAGTACCCATATTTATCTCCCAGTACCCATGCTTATCTCCCAGTACCTATACTTATCTCCCAGTACCCATATTTATCTCCCAGTACCCATGCTTATCTCCCAGTACTCCCATATATTTATCTCCCAGTACCCATATTTATCTCCATGCTTAGTACCCATATTTATCTCCCAGTACCCATGCTTATCTCCCAGTACCCATATTTATCTCCCAGTACCATATTTATCTCCTAGTTTATCTCCCAGTACCCATATCTTTATCTCTCTCCCAGTACCCATATTTATCTCCCAGTACCCATACTTATCTCCCAGTACCCATACCCATATTATCTCCCAGTACCCATATTTATCTCCCAGTACCCATATTTATCTCCCAGTACCCATACTTATCTCCCAGTACCCATACCCATCTCCCCAGTACCCATATCTCCCCAGTACCCATATTTATCTCCCAGTACCTATATCTTATCAGTCCCATACTTATCTCCATATTTATCTCCCAGTAGCCATACTTATCTCCCAGTACCCATATTTATCTCCCAGTACCCATATTTATCTCCCAGTACCCATATTTATCTCCCAGTACCCATATTTATCTCCCAGTACCCATATTTATCTCCCAGTACCCATATTTATCTCCCAGTACCCATACTTATCTCCCAGTACCCATAGTCTCCCAGTACCATACTTATCTCCCAGTACCCATATTTATCTCCCAGTACCCATATTTATCTCCCAGTACCCATATTTATCTCCCAGTAGCCATATTTATCTCCCAGTACCCATACTTATCTCCCAGTACCCATATTTATCTCCCAGTACCCATATTTATCTCCCAGTACCCATATTTATCTCCCAGTAGTACCCATATTTATACCCATATTTATCTCCCAGTACCCATATCTTACCCTATCTCCCCAGTACCCATATTTATCTCCAGTACCCATATTTATCTACCCCAGTACCCATATTTATCTCCCAGTACCCATGCTTATCTCCCAGTACCCATATTTATCTCCCAGTACCCATATTTATCTCCCAGTACCCATGCAGTACCCATGCTTATCTCCCAGTACCCATGCTTATCTCCCAGTACCCATATTTATCTCCCAGTACCCATATTTATCTCCCAGTACCCATGCTTATCTCCCAGTACCCATATTTATCTCCCAGTACCCATATTTCCCAGTACCCATGCTTATCTCCCAGTACCCATATTTATCTCCCCAGTACCCATATTTATCTCCCATATTTATCTCCCAGCACCCATAGTACCCATCTATCTCCCAGTACCCATGCTTATCTCCCAGTACCCATATTTATCTCCCAGTACCCATATTTATCTCCCAGTACCCATGCTTATCTCCCAGTACCCATGCTTATCTCCCAGTACCCATGCTTATCTCCCAGTACCATACTTATCTCTCAGAACCCATACTTATCTCCCAGTACCCATACTTATCTCATTTTGGAGATTCTCGAACTGAATAGGACAGTCTATATCTCTGTACCCTGTGTTTGTCTTCCTGGAGAGATTTCTGGGCAGAAACAGTTCATATTACCCAGGACCCAGTGAGTCCGCCCAGTTGTTCACTCTGTATACAGACGCCTGCAATGAACAAACTGGAAAGTCCACAAGTCACACTTGTCTTCTAATGTCAAAGAGTTCCAGTGTTGCCTGGTAGACAAGCTGGAAAGTTAATTTAACAGCTGTCCATATCCTCAGACACTCACTCACTCACTCTCTCACTCCAATTGCAGGCCGCTGTGGATCTGAGGGTCGCTGCTATGACCTGCCTGGCCCATCTGGCTTCAACTGCATCTGCCCAATCGGACGTGTAGGAACATCTTGCGAGCGATGTAAGAAAATGTTGCATTTATATAGATTTTGTTTACATATTGTTTAGTTGTTTTATTAAAAATTGCTTCTTTGATCATGATTTTCTAGAATGTAATAATACTTCGCAGCACCTGAATAGAAAAGTTGTTCATCCATAAAAGATTGTCCTTATCTGACTCTCCAACTTCTAAAAACAAATGACACTCAAAGAAGTTATTATACAGTTGCACGCATGCACAGTGTTGGTGTATCTTCATTTTGTATTGTTTAAAGGTCAGTGGATGGGGACACTTAATGATATAGATAGGCATGTGTATGGTGCCATTATAACTCTTTCCAGGTTGATATGCTGTAATCATTGACAGCAGCCTAGTTTGTATTAAATACAGTCCTCACTCACTCACACATCCAAAATGTTTCCTTCAGATGTGGACATCATCGACCCATCCTTCAACAAGACGTCCTTCATCTCCTACCCAACCATCCAGGACGGTCTGCTGCAGGTGCAGCTCAGCCTCATGTTTAAGCCTCGCTCCCTGGATGACGGCCTCATCCTCTACAACGCACAACAGCAGGATGGACGTGGCGACTTCATGGCCATAATGATCAAGGATGGCTACCTCGAATTCCGCTTTGACACTGGATCAGGTAAGAATATATTTACTGGCACTCAATATTTTAGCTATTATGGAGAATGAATTGTTCACTGCTTAAGAGCATTTTGTAGTGGGTGTTGTCTCCTTGTAATTAAACCAAAATCATAGAAGGTTCTTGAGGGGCATATAGAAGTTGATATTCAAGTATAAGACAAAATACTTTGGATGTTAACTTCTTTATTGTACACACAACGTTTCTGGGCTATTCCTTGCCTCTACGTCGCCCTTTCACCTGATGAAAGGGCAAGGAATAGCCCAGAAACATGTATACAATAAATAATTTGACATCCATAATATTTTGTCTTCTACAAAATCATAGAAGATTCATTAGCCAGTATACCACATAGCAAAATATGGTCCTGATGTGTAAACAATGAATAGACAAACAAACAAAATACTGAAATCAGTTCTAATGTGTTCCCAACAACATTCACTCAAACCATGATTCTGGTTTTAGGTCCAGCTGTGTTGAGGAGTCGCAACCCTCTCCGCCTTGATGACTGGACGATGGTTGTTGCTGAGAGGAAGGGCAACGAGGGCATGCTGATCGTGAACAATGAAGACCCTGTGAACGGTAAGTGGGGACCTGTGCTGGTACAGATATATCAATGAGGTCAAATGGTGTATAAACTAATTCTTCATATTCTTCAGTCTTGGCGTGACACGGTTGTAAATCTGTAGTCATCGTCTTTGAAATTGATATTGTAATTTGATTAACATAAACATATGTCAGGTTAGATATTTCTGTGTAAAGAATTAACAGATTTTTGCTGTTTGACCTCAATACATTTGACATGAAACCTTATTTTCAGGATTGTGTTTTGTAGTTAGCTATGTTGGAGCTTCCCCTAGCTTAGGGCAGCCCCTATTATTCCCTTTTCCAAGTTGAACCCTTTCCCACTCCGACCTTCCCTGAGTTTATGTAGACAAGACTCCATATATAGCCTTAAGTCCTCTAGAAACTGAGGAATAGATGTCTTCATGACAAGTTTATAACTAATAGTCTATGCTTTGCATGACTGCTCAGTAACGAAGTTGGAATCTTTCAAGTTGGGTATTCTTCAGGATGTCTCTGTTGTGTTGAAATTCTCGAATCATGTGCCTTTGGCAGAAAGCTTGATATTTCAGTAGGTGATTCGTTAACAAACAGGACATCTTTCTGCTGGAAGTCGCAATAATACATTGCTGAGCTCCATGGAAAAGTCGCTGGCTGGAAATCTCTTTGTCAAATACTGTTAATTACTAATGTTTTGCGACAGCTAATTAATTACTTGTTCTTCAGGACAGAGCCGCGTTTCACAAGCGATCATAGCGCTACGACTATCGTATCTCCTATACTTTGCCATAGAGTTACGACAGTCATAGTGCTACGACTATCGTGTCTCCTATACTTTGCCATAGAGTTACGACAATCATAGTGCTACGACTATCGTGTCTCCTATACTTTAACATAGAGTTACGACAATCATAGCGCTACGACTATCGTATCTCCTCTACTTTAACATAGAGTTACGACAGTCGTAGTGCTATGATTATCGTATCTTCTATACTTTAATATAGAGTTACGACGGTCGTAGCGCTTTGACTATCGTATCTCCCATACTTTAATATAGAGTTACGACAGTCGTAGTGTTAAGATCGCTTTGTGAAACAGGACCCTGCTGTTCCCTTTATTCTGAAACAAATGCAGTGAATCTTTGTACAGCTGGATCTCCCTTTTTGGTTAAATAGTGTATGAGATGTGCACGGCAACATCTTCATCAAGACACTGGCCTCTAAACGCTTGCCTTGAAACTGTATAGAGTTTTGAAATTAAGTTATACATTGAGGGTGTCAAGGCTCCACATTAAGTTATACATGGAGGGTGTCAAGACTCCACATTAAGTTATACATTGAGGGTGTCAAGACTCCAAATTAAGTTATACATGGAGGGTGTCAAGACTCCACATTAAGTTATACATTGAGGGTGTCAAGACTCCAAATTAAGTTATACATTGAGGGTGTCAAGACTCCAAATTAAGTTATACATTGAGGGTGTCAAGACTCCAAATTAAGTTATACATTGAGAGGGGGTCAAGACTCCAAATTAAGTTATACATTGAGGGGGTCAAGACTCCAAATTAAGTTATACATTGAGGGGTCAAGACTCAAGACTCAAGACTCAAATTAAGTTATACATTGAGGGTGTCAAGACTCCAAATTAAGTTATACATTGAGGGTGTCAAGACTCCAAATTAAGTTATACATTGAGGGTGTCAAGACTCCAAATTAAGTTATACATTGAGGGTGTCAAGACTCCAAATTAAGTTATACATTGAGGGTGTCAAGTGTTATACAAGAGGGTGTCAAGACTCCACATTAAGTTATACATTGAGGGTGTCAAGACTCCAAATTAAGTTATACATTGAGGGTGTCAAGACTCCACATTAAGTTATACATTGAGGGTGTCAAGACTCCACATTAAGTTATACATTGAGGGTGTCAAGACTCCACATTAAGTTATACATTGAGGGTGTCAAGACTCCAAATTAAGTTATACATTGAGGGTGTCAAGACTCCAAATTAAGTTATACATTGAGGGTGTCAAGACTCCAAATTTTTGAGACCTTGAAACAGCAAAGAACAAAGAATTAATCTGTTGCGTCCTGATGTGAAATTCTTTTTAATATCAAGCATTTTTTGTGATTTCATTAATATGTATGTTAGAAATTTGCTTCTGTTATATTGAGATTTCTGTTTTCATCTTAAGATTTCTGTATTCATATTGAGATTTCCATCCTTCTGTGGTGCATGGTTGTTGCATAAATACATATAGGGTCTCCAGATAAGAATATGTTTATCTGCTTTGTAGAGTGTAAATACAGATGTCGGTTTTAAAGATTTTGAACATAGACTCCATGTTGTGTTGTACAGTTCACTCCTTTCAGCAGATCCTGTAGGGATTCTGATGTGAGGTCTCTGCTTGTCAGAATAGATGACAATTGGGTATCAGATGGTCAACATGGCTGCTGTGTATCACGGTCTCGGATGGTAGAACACCTGGGAACGATCTCAATATGCCCCTATAGCAATGTGTGATCCTAATGTTATAGATTTGATGCCAGGTACATTCTATGCTTGTCAGACTAGACGACTAATGGGTATCAGATGGTCAACATGGCTGTTGTGTGTGAGAACCCTGGAGGGTAGATCATCTTGTGAACCAACTCAGCATGTGCCCTACAGCATTGTATGATGCTTACACCATCAACCACATGACTGTGATACTGCTGACTAGGGTTTAAAACCCCATTCACTCACTCATTCACCCTTCCTGCTACATGTGTACGTCATCTTTTTCTTTGATGGCCTACACCTTCATGAAAACTATCCTTTCCATGATTTTATTTTCTACCGCTGCAGAACGCCTTAGGAATAGCTACGACTATTACGCCTACTATTCTAGACGGGATCGTGGTGATATTTATAACAGAGGTATCATTTTCAAATTTCACTGGCAAAAATCGAGGCAATATTTTTTGGTTTTGCTGCTTCATTTATTTTTCTTTTCTGTCCACGTCACTGTCACTTATGTTCCGTCATCTCAGATTTTTTTGTTCTGCTTCACTTCTAATATACCTATGTTCTGTGTTATGCAAGAGTGGGCAAATCGAGGTAGCATCTTACTCATTCCAGATTATGTCCCTTGTTGCGTGCTTGTGTCCTTGACATTCAGAACAAACAGGGAACATCAGTGTTGTATCTGAAATGAGTGAGATCAGAAACAGCTCAAGCACTTTGTGTCATACAGAATATAGACAGGCTGCTAGACAACCTCGACTTCTTTGTTTACTAAGGCTTTTGTGTCGCTTATTGATCATCAATCTGTCCATGAACCTTAGTTCTGGTGCATCACAAAGATGCTCAAATAAGGACATCGGCACCACTTCATTCTGCATTACGTTACACCTATCATCCTCTCATACTTTCATGAATGGTAAACAGTCTAAGTCTAATGGATTAACTTGTCCAGTGATGTCTACATGTCACATCTGTGACAGAATTATATGTAATGCATGAGGGATGGGAGCTATGACCATTTCAACCAGATTAATCAAAACGTTCTTAGTAAAATTGTGGTAACTTTTTTTATCAAAGGTTTCTATTGTTGTGACCATTCACCATAGACATGATAGTAATATTTTCCCTGAACTTTAAAAAGAATATTTTTTAAAACTTATTATAAAGTGTCCTGTTAAGCCACTTTAGAACTCTGAACATTTTGGAAAATTGTTCTTTTTTCTGTAAATTCTGCCTTACAAAATTAACACATATTCATGAAACCTTTCTTCTTGGCCTGAATCAGAATGTGTACTGGGAAACAGGGTTACTGATAATGCTTACAAAATCATATTTAATGAATGCATGAAATGATACAATAATACATAATTAAGTGAAACAAAACAAAATGACCAAAACAGCCAATGAAACAATCCCATCATTCATTATTCTAATACCTGGGATTCCAACTAACGCATGCAATATGTTTGATCCATAAGGAATGTTTGGGGGCATGCTGTATAGAGCTGGGTTTTATATGCAATACGGGTGTTATTAACCCGCATGGAAAATGCTTGGCATGTCTATGTTATATGTGCATTGCTTGCTTCATGTTAGTGGTTACTTTCTACACATTGCTGTATCTCTCTTAACATCATACAGGAGGCTAAATTACTTTATGATGAATTCAAGCCAATATTCGCATCCCGAATCAGAGTCAGAATCCACATGCCTGTGATTGAGCTGCAGGAATTGAAAGAATATTACTTGACCAGTTGCCCCACAGTTGTGACAGATGTGCCTGGACTACGGCAACATGACTGCTGTCCAGCAGTGGTATAACTGGTCCAGGCTGGATAATACATGCCATGCTATAACTGTGATATTGCTGACAGTCATTGAAGACATGGAATATAGGCCCAGTGTAAAAGGCAGAAGCTCCTGTAGACCAATCACATTTAGATGTTTTAAAGACCTGGAATCGTCATACAAAGCTGAAGCTCCTGTATGTTGTTGGAACCTGTTGCTAGGTGCTGATAGTCATTTAGATCAGGACTTTATCCATCAAGTAATACTAGTTACATTTGACTTCTCTTTGAAACACTTGACTTCTCTTTGAAAAATCTACTGCTTATTTTCGTAGTGTACACAGTCATCTCACTTTGATATCATATGTAGTCTAAACATTTTTATCAAAATATTTTAGTTTCAAACTAATTTAATCCAAATTATTATATTTTCAGAATTGTTTCATCAAATTTGTTTAAGTTTCAATTTATTTTATCCTAGCTAGCTATATTTCATTTATGATTAACCTTAGCTGTTAAAATTGCCAATATTTTTATCAAGGCAAGGAAAATTTCAAATTTATTTTGGCCATGTTGGTTATTTTTAATTCATTTTGTGCAGTTTGGTGTGAAAATGTTGCGTGGGATTTCTTTTATAAATTTGTTAAATGTTGTAAATATTGTACTTCATGTTGCTGTTATGGTATTTATTGTACCGGCGTGTTATCTGTGCATAAACCACTGCTACTGCTACTGCTGCTGCTGCTGCTGCTTGGCTTGCTATATTTAGTTTGTTCTGGTGGCCAGGGACTACACTGCTACACCAGGAATATCTTCTCCTTTGAAAAATTACTAGGTGCTGGATTATTATGAAGAATACAGTGAACTTTATCGTGATAAAACTAAAACAAGAAGATGTTTTAACCAATTTGAGAAAGTTTGAATCCTGAAGAAATTTTTCCTATTTGAAAATGATTACATTAAAGACACTGACATATGTCTTTTTAGTAGAACAATTTCTCAATTGATCAGAATAGCTGTTTCTGAAGTTAATTTATTAAATAATAAATCTTAGAAAACCAAAACATTTTCATAAGAATGCCAAGCTTAAAAAGAAATAAATGAAGATTGGTTTGAAGGAGAAAGTTCACTGTATTCCAATATATGAATGTTTTGAATTATCTTGCTATGAAAGGTAAAGGGATATTATATATACATATAACAGTTAATATAAAAAGATTTTGTAGAAATGTATGATAGAAATATCTAAAATCTGGCTTTGCTTGAGGTCATAAGACTGTATGAAATGAGGAAAACGAAAATTTGAAATTAAACTGAAACTTTATTTCAGATTTGAGAAAAATAAAATTACAAGTCTTATTTGGGGATTTGAATAGCTGTTAGGAAAGTGTTTTTATGTTAGAGGATTATGGATGATGTTTCTTCCAGGAACCGCAACTGGCCGTACAGTTGGCCTGAACCTGAAGCGCCCTCTGTATCTGGGTGGAGTTGATCCACAGGAAGTACTACCTGCCTCCGCTTTTGTTGGAGAAGTTCCCGGATTTGTTGGCTGTATTGGCGAGGTTTGTTTTGTTGTATACCAGAAAATATTAAGGGAGGTAACTGTAGGTGAAGGTGACCTGTGAACAGCTGGACCTTCTTAAACATAGGAATGGCGTTTTCAATGTGTACCCAGTAGGAACCTGCATTTGAATATGTCCTAAGTTCACTTTTGCTTATCGTAAAGATTATTGGAAAACAGGGGGCCGTGTTGTGGAGGAACCCCAATTATCCTATTTCTGTGTCTAGGTTTAATATTTGCTCAGGATTTTCTAGTTAATGTCAGGGTTTACTGTTTCAGTGTCAGTGGCCTGTATCATGTCAGGTTTTACTCGAACATCAATGGGCGGTTGAGTAGCCTAGTGGTTCAAGCGTTCGCTTGTCACGCCATGGCCCGGGTTCAATTCCACACATGGATACAATGTGTGAAGCCCATTTCTGGTGTCCCCTGCCATGATATTGCTGGAATATCGCTAAAAGTGGCATAAAACCAAACTCACTCACTCAAACATCAAGAATCAGTTCCGAGGTAGAATCAGGCCCCGATTTCTCGAAACAAACTTAAGTCTGAGTTTTGACTTAAGTCTGAGTTTTTACTCAAATTTGAGAAAACGCAGGAAAATGCAGGAAATCAATATTGAACTCAAACTTAGCAGACAATTTGAGTTTGGTGGATAGATTACTTAACTTGTTTGGGCTTTTTTTAGTTAAAAAATGCAGTTGAGTTAAAAATTCAGCTGTTTCAAATTGTCAAACTCAGTTTGAAATTTGAGTAAAAACTTAAGTTTGTTTCGAGAAATCGGGGCCAGATCACTCATGTTGGTGTACCTTCAGAAGAATTGACCTGCTTCTTCAGAATATGGTTGTGTCACAAAGTGTATCCATGTTGTTATAGGTCAGTTGTCCTTATGGATACCTCATTCAAAAAGTTAACTTAAAACCTATTTTTTTTTTTTATCAGCTGAGGATCAACACCAACAACATTGACCTGTTGAAGGATGCTATTGAGAGCGCCAACGTGTATGACTGTGGGGACCGGGGCATCTGTGACAGAAAGCCATGTCAGAATGGCGGCGACTGCAGTGAGATCTCACTCACCGACTATCGCTGTATTTGCCCACCCGATTACACAGGTAGGTTCTTTATTTCTTTGAGAAGCGTTTTAGAAGTTGTGAAGATTAAGGAAAACTAAGTTCTATGGATAGTCAACTTCTTTAATGCAATGAATGTGATGTTCCTTGTTGTCATCGCTTAGAGGAAGTTAGAACATAGTTGAACCCACACTTGGAGTGCCACAGACATATGGACCTCCAGAATACAGATCTTTAGGGCAGAAATATAGGCAGACATATAGGTAGGTTCTTCATTGTCATCGCTTAGAGGAAGTTAGAACATTGTTGAACACACACTAGGAGTGCCACAGACATATGGACCTCCAGAATACAGATCTTTAGGGCAGAAATATAGGCAGACATATAGGTAGGTTCTTCGTTTTCATCGCTTAGAGGAAGTTAGAACATTGTTGAACCCACACTAGGAGTGCCACAGACATATGGACCTCCAGAATACAGATCTTTAGGGCAGAAATAATGAACTCCAGGCAGAAATATTGGCCTCCAGTATATAATCCCAAAGTGGTGTGGTTCAGTACTTGTCAGATGTGGAATCAAAGACTAGATTCCAAGAGGGAAAACCAACATAGAATAGATCCCAGTACCCAATAGCTTATCCCACTTGTAATTGTTCCAGTGCAATACACATGAACATTATATTTCATATGATACCTGGACAGTGTGATTGTTCATGGATACATTGTATTAGAGACCTGGAACCCATTATACACAGTTATACCCTGTTATACACTGTCATGGTGGTAATATCCTAACTTAACATATGGCTATAGTTGTGGAGCAGGACCTGGGTCTGAATACCAACATGGCAACGCCTTTTTGATGCTAATATATTTTCTGTACATATAATATATGAAATGTCAATTGAATGACAGTCACATCATTCTCTGACTTTCTTGTCCAGGCAAGAGCTGTGAGACTGAAATCAACATCTGCATTACGTCTTCACCGTGTCAGAACGGTGGCCGCTGCAGCGTGTACAACGGTGGATACAGGTGTGACTGTCCCCTCGGATACTTTGGCACCAGCTGTAATACAGGTATGTTTTGTAAACAGTTGTTAACTGAAAGACAAGTAGGTTAGAATAGGTTCTCACAACTCATATGTTGCTTCAAGTTCTGGTTGTTTGGCCTGCAAAAGGGTTCTATGCCAGTGGGCATAAATCAAGATCATAGATTTATTGGTTGAAACTGTTCTTGAAACTACTTCATTACCATATGACAGTATATTTACTTATATCAGATGCAAGTAACAATTGTAACTAATGTGTTTCGATAGTCAAAGGGGGTCTTCAATTAGTCTAATTACGCCAAAGGGTCTTCACTTGCTCTAATTACGCCAAAGGGTCTTCACTTGCTCTGATTAGACCACAAGATTTCATTAAGGAAGAGTCTTTAATTTGACATTAGGAAATAAATACATGCTTAACATCCCAGTATTTGACCAAAGCAAGGAACATTGTGTTATTTATCAGTTTGGAAGGTTACATATCTATGGGAAGAAGAGAGTGTCCAACCATCAACATAACTGACTTCTTGTCAATATCTAAGGATTCTACATTAAGAAAAATAAGGCCAGGGGAATCTTTATTAAGTGTCAGCAAGATTGAATTTCATTTTCGTTTTTTAATTGTTCAATGAAAATTCTCTAATTGTACATTTAAAAAATATGTATATATTTTCTTCAAAATATGTGATCATATGATCAATACTTCAATTGCATAGATCGATGCTCATAATGTTGATCACTGGTTTGTCTGGACCAGACTTGATTATTTACAGACCATCGCCTTATAGCTGGAATATTGCTGAGTGCAGCGTAAAACTAAACACACTCACTCACATTTTAAGCTTGCTTAATTATTTGTGCATTTGGTATAATCTGTATTCCCCATCTCTTCCAGAAATCGAGGTGCGCTCCTCCTTCGAGGTGACTGGTGATGGGTATGTGGAGTTCCCTAAGAACCTGCTGCTCCACAAGGGCCGCCAGACCGGGGAGTCCTTCGAGATGACCGTCAAGACGGTGGAGTCCAATGGTCTACTGTTTTGGCAAGGCCAGGAGCCAACCACATCACTCCGCGGAGGAGACTATGTGGCCCTTGTGCTTCAAGACGGCTTTGTAGAATTTAGGTAATGGAATTGTTAACATCTTGTGGAGATGGTTGATAAGAATTGGACCCAGTCACCCACATGAGTTGTAAGAGAATCAAATAGTAAGCTGAATTGGTTGATTGTTGGTATGGTACAAATAGACCCAGCAACCTGTGTGTGTTGGTTGACAGTTGGTGAAACTGACAACTTGAGATGTTGCTCATTAGAGCATTCACAGTTGGGGCTTATTTGTCTTTACGATTATTTCTTGCTTTTGGATGATCCTGTCCAACATTGTCTGTGTGTCTGTTTCAGGTATGAGTTAGGTAGCGGAGAAGCTGTTATTAGATCTACTTCACAAATTGATGATGGATTTTCACACAAAATCATAGCTCAGAGGTAAGTGTTTAATTTGTCAGTAACAATGGCTTAGTGTGACAAATAATTAACTTCAGAGAGAATGTCCATATACATTTGAACCTTCAGTTGGAAGATTCCTAATGGTTATTGAATTTTGTGTTTATATAATGTACAAACACAAGATCTCAAAGACACTTGCTTTAACCATTAGATGCCAGTTGGTGATGGTATGTGAGGACCTCTTACATGTAACTATCATGTGCCTAGTAAAGTGGGGGTTATACTATTCCCAGCATGTGTTTGATATGAATATGTCATTGTGAAGGTGGGATGTCAAATAAGCAGCTATTAATCTTCCAAGGAGTTTTGGAAAGGGTTTCACTGATGTCTAAACTGTGCAATAATTTATCAACGAAGAGAGTTCTATGGAAAGGGCTTTCACTGATGTCTATATTAAAGAAGCAATAGAATTTATCATCACACCAACTTCTAAATGCCACTCAAACAAGGCAATAATTTATCCGTCATTTTCTTATGCTGATATTGACCATTGTTTGTTTCCAGACTTGGCCGAACAGGAAATCTGACAGTTGATGCTGGCCCATCAGTGATTGGTGCATCTGTCGGACCGCTCCAAGTCCTTAACGTCAAGGGCAATATTTACTTGGGTACGTCACAGGTGTTTGAACCAGTTCAGGGTTAGACTAGAGCCCAGGCAACCTAGACTAGAGCCCAGGCAACCTATGCTTGTCCCACTAGGTGGTTCTGGGTTAGAATGGCTCCCAGCTACTGATATTCCGTTGAATCAGTGACACGATGGCTTGGTGTATTGTTGACCATCTTACAGCCACAGAGCCGGCCTTTGTTCATATCAGTAACTGTTTTTTCTGGACCACATGGGACATGCTTGTGGCCCTTTATTGTGCCAGGATCGGCTGACATTGGGTTTTAATACAAGATTTGCTATGTTTCTTTGCTATCACCATAAAAGTGTATGAGTACGGTTTTACCTGCTTGTAGCAATACTGATAGCAACGTCATGGCAGGGAACACCAGAAATGGCACAAGTTCTGTGGAAACTCCAACCTTGCTGAAATTAACAGGCTATTCCATCACCTCCTAAACTAGAACACATCACATCAAGTGTCACCAGAGGCTCTCGTCTCAAAAGCATTATTAACTGAAACACTTTTGAAAATGTGACACAGAATTCATTGCTTATATATATTTAAAAGGTTGGCCTAATTAAATACAGAAGTCCAGAGGAACACATTTTATGGATAGACAAATTCTTTATTGCTCTAGATGCAACATGATGCCGATCCTAACACCGTTATCAAGCAAATAATAACAGTGTTTGGTTCTACACTGAAATGTCGCATCTATTGCAATAAAGTTGTCGATCCATAAAATGTGCTCCTCTTCATCTTAAAAGATTCTAAATGCCACTTAAAGAAGTCACATAATTCCATCTTCAATGTTTCAGGTGGTTTGCCCGAGCTGGAAGGCATGACAGACGGGGCAGTGGAACACAATTTTAACGGCTGCATTCTGGATCTTAGGATACAAAACAAAGGCCCCTTAGATGTGAAGTCTAATGCTGTGGGTGGTTACAATGTTAGGCCATGTCTAGATGGTAAGAAATGATGAGGGGGACTAAGTCTATAAGGGACATAATTTTAGGTATTTTCAAATTGTAGAACAGGAGAGAGAACATGCTCTGTTGCTCAGTCGAATGTTATTCTGTTGAAGAACGCGAGACGAAATGTTTTATCATAATATTGGTGGCATTTTATGACATTTGTGTTAATATGGACCTCAGTTTTATACTTTTTGTATTTTCGTTTATAAATCCAATCAGCATTTTATAGTTTTAACTTGGTTAGTGTTCTTTTGATTATGGAATTTAAATATTTTTAAATAAGGTAACTTTTATTGAATCTTAACGATTAAGAAGTAATGCTTGTTATTGACAAGACTATAAGATTTTAAGAAGAATTTGTAACAATTTAACAGATTATGCTATGGAAACATTCAAAACATATATTGTTAGATTCTGATATAGCTATTTATGACCCTTCAGTATATTGAAACAATGTTTATAGATATGCATAGAAACTGACTGTACATATTTCAGCGGTGTAGATTTAAGCACTGAAATGTATAAACTCATACAAACGTACCTGTCATCTGTTCAAATTATATTGTCACAAGTTGGCAAAATGTAATCAAATGTGGTTGGCTTTAAAAGCAAAATATTGTTAAGGCACACCTACTGGAATGTCATAAGCAAAATATCTACTCGTCAAGTAGACAATAAATGATTATTGTAGTGCATTGTTGAGTGAAGGAGCTATTGTTTGAACATATGTGGTTTTAACATTGTTATTTTGCTTCTAAAGTTACCCGATGACAAGGCTTGTATAGGAGTTAGTATAGCAACCACTTGTAATGAAATCCTCAGCAAGTCTAGATATTTTAATCATGTAATAATACTCTTTTCTCATGGTGCTAAATGACTGCTGGAATGCCCTGGTGGTCCTCAGATTTCAACTCTTTGTATATTTATAGCATAATTCCCGATTTGACTTCACCATGTTTTGGTAATAAACGCCGGATCATCACTAGTATCATTCAGTCTAAATTGGAAGTGCAGAACGTTGGAAATATCAACTAGATTCTTCTCCTGATATTGTTTGTGATAGTACACAATATCTCTGTGATGAGGAATATGTGATAACACACGATATATACCTGATAAGGAAATATGTGATAACACACTATATATCCCTGCTAGGGAATACGCAAAACTAAGGCGTTTATTATTAAAGCTATGGTTGTCTGGATTGTAGAGTCTTATCCTCTTGATGGCATCATCTGTAGTTGTCTTTGTTATGTTAGGGATATACAATGCCAAATCCTGGGGTAGGCCCCTGTCTGCTTTTTAAGTGTTTTTGTGAGAAAAGCACTTGTCCTTATGGTTATGTTGAAGCATAATGTTGGAAACACAGAGGAAAGTCAACACTGTGATCTGATTCGAATAAACTTTTATAACAAAATATGATTGTATGTTTTTTATCTCTCCCTCTTTGAACAAGATGTGTTCTGGGTGAATTAGCCCAGAGATGAGAGTTTTAGTGGTTGACTTATCTTAGAGAGTCAAACCAAAACATGTCAAGCAATGGTACCGGTTGTCACCCTGCCTTGGGCTTGGCATTAACGGAATAATACAAGGATTGGTCAGCTGGGTGTCTGAATGGTGAGATCCATGTTAAACTAGCATGCTAGCTCTGTACAACCAGCATAGTACGCACCAGAACAAATACAGTGCATACATGTCTATTCCTTTTGTATCATGCCTTGTGAAATTGACCGACTCCGTGGTGTAGTGGTTAGAGCATCCGCCCGGAGAGTGGAAGGTCGTGGGTTCGATCCACGACCGCGTCATACCAAAAGACGTTAAAATATGGTACTTGTTGGTCCCTGCCTGGCGCTCGGCATTAATGGGTACAACAAGGACTGGTCGGCTCGGAGTCAGTATAATGTGTCTGAGTGGGGTATTCATGCTTCACTGTGGCATGGTATCTCAGTGGGCTAGCACTATAAAACCAGCTTAAGTCTGGGCTAGTACAAGCAGCCGCACATACACATACACATGCATGCACGTCGTCATATGAGCGAAATATTCTCAAGCACGTTGAAAACCTAATTTCACCTCACCTCACCTTGTGAAATTATTGTGTGCCATTCGTGAGAGACAGTCAGGTGGCCAGACTCAGTTAATAACAATTATAACTAGGAGTCACATCGTCTCATATATCTGCACGTGGACCACGCTTTGCAGTGGTAGTCTCTTTATAGGACGCATATACTATGAGAGAGATTACTGGTAAATGTTGGAGACTTTGTTGTGGTGAAAAAGTCAAGTGTATTCTTCTCACAGTGAGGCTGGTAAACAAACTGCTGGAGAGATCACATCCTGGCAAATCCAGAACACTAATTCTTTTGAATGTAGACCCAAGAACAACGGAGTTACGGCCTGTTAAAGAAGGAACTATTTCTGTGGGCACTGGAAAACCAGGACGTGGGCAGTGTTGCTAGATTTTACGACACTTCCTCCAGCTATCTCACAACTGTCACAACTGACAAAATGCGAAATCCTAATGTCCCTCCCTGGTCGTGGCGTAATTGTGGCGTAATTATCGACTTTTACATAATGATAATGTGAAGCAAAGATGTTCCCCATTTCATGAGCTACAGTTTGGTACCTTCAAACATGAAATCCATTGTGTTTTTGCAGAGCTGTGAACCCTATAAAAATGCGTTTTGCCAAAAATTGACCAATTCCAAGGGCAATAACTCCGACACTATTCAAGATATCGACATGCATTGAACAACCTCAGTAGTCCGGAGTATGGGCTTTAAAACGATATATAGAACACTTGTGTACTATTTGCCGTTCAGATGTAGAAGATTGTTAAACACAGGCACCGTCAAAAAAGTGCGGAAATGTGCATAATCGCGAAGGCTGTGTTTGTGTCGTAATTATGACGTTATTATTGATTTTTACATAACCATGATGTGAAGCAAAAGTGTTTCCCATTCAATTACCTACAGGTTGGTCCTGAGAAAAATGGAATCCATTTTTCGCAGAGTTGTGACCTTTTTCTTAACCCTATGAAAATGCGTCTTAAACAATTCACCGACTTCCAAGGGCGATAACTCTTAAACTATTCAAGATATCCATATGCCTTGAAGGGTTTAAGTAGTCCGGAGTGTGGGTTTTAAAATGATATATCGAACGCGATTGTACTATGTGCCGTTCTGGAGAAGAAGATTTTTAAAGACAGGCACCGTCAAAACGAAGAAATCGGCAAAAATTTCAGTTTTTTCAAAATTGCGGAAAATTTATTCTGCCGCGAAACTTCCGCTATGGGTTGAATCAATGGGGAATGATGTTGTCTACACTGAGTGAAAATTTGGTCAATTTATCTCTTATAGTCTTTGAGATATTGAGGTTCAAAGATTTCGACATTTTGGGTTATCTGCCCTTAGCGGAAGCCGGAATTCGGGATTTTTTCGACTATGTATCAATTTCAGCATACAGGATATCACTCCTGAAAGTTTCACGAAAATCGGCCAAGCGGTTAGGTCAGGAGAGCTGTCACAAAATTTGTACAAATAATAAGAATAAGAAGAAGAATAATATTCGGATAATAACAGTAGGTCTTCCAGACTTTCGTCTGAAGACCTAATTAGTTATATAGTATCCAGTCCATGAAAGTCTGACCAAATTTGCTTTTTGGGAAAACCGTCTCTAACAAAGGATGTTCAGTTGTATGCCAATCTGAAGAAGTGCCTTTTTCAAGCTAGACTTAACGTCAGATAATTCCTGAATGTGTCTTGGGTTGTCTGGAGGGAATTCCAGAGTACTGGACCAGCTTTTGAGAAGGTTCTGTCACCATAGGTTGTGGAGCGGGAGTTTGGTACATGCAAAATATGTTGGCTGCAGGATCGTAAAGATCGAGCTTGAACATGATCTTCAATAAAATGACAGATGTATGTTGGTGCCAGTCAATGCTTGGTCTTAACAATCAGTGCGAGAATGTTCAACTGAATTCTAAAATTCATGGGCAGCCAGTGAAGTTCCTTGAGCCCGGGTGTGATTTGGGCAGCCAGTGAAGTTCCTTGAGCCCAGGAGTTATTTGGGCAGCCAGTGAAGTTCCTTGAGCCCAGGTGTGATGTGGTCAGCCAGTGAAGTTCCTTGAGCCCAGGTGTGATGTGGTCAGCCAGTGAAGTTCCTTGAGCCCAGGTGTGATGTGGTCAGCCAGTGAAGTTCCTTGAGCCCAGGTGTGATGTGGTCAGCCAGTGAAGTTCCTTGAGCCCAGGTGTGGTCAGCCAGTGAAGTTCCTTGAGCCCAGGTGTGATGTGGGCAGCCAGTGAAGTTTCTTGAGCCAGGTGTGATGTGGTCAGCCAGTGAAGTTCCTTGAGCCCAGGTGTGATGTGGTCAGCCAGTGAAGTTCCTTGGGCCCAGGTGTCATGTGGTCAGCCAGTGAAGTTCCTTGGGCCCAGATGTCATGTGGTCAGCCAGTGAAGTTCCTTGGGCCCAGGTGTGATGTGGTCAGCCAGTGAAGTTCCTTGAGCCCAGATGTCATGTGGTCAGCCAGTGAAGTTCCTTGAGCCCAGGTGTGATGTGGTCAGCCAGTGAAGTTCCTTGAGCCCAGGTGTGATGTGGTCAGCCAGTGAAGTTCCTTGGGCCCACCAGGTGTGATGTGGTCAGCCAGTGAAGTTCCTTGAGCCCAGGTGTGATGTGGTCAGCCAGTGAAGTTCCTTGAGCCCAGGTGTGATGTGGTCAGCCAGTGAAGTTCCTTGGGCCCAGGTGTGATGTGGTCAGCCAGTGAAGTTGAAGTTCCCTTGTGGCCCAGGTGTGATGGTCAGCCAGTGAAGTTCCTTGGGCCCAGGTGTGATGTGGTCAGCCAGTGAAGTTCCTTGGGCCCAGGTGTGATGTGGTCAGCCAGTGAAGTTCCTTGGGCCCAGGTGTGATGTGGTCAGCCAGTGAAGTTCCTTGGGTCAGCCACCAGGTGAGCCCAGGTGATGTGGTGTGAAGTCAGCACCAGGTGTGATGTGGTCAGCCAGTGAAGTTCCTTGAGCCCAGGTGTGATGTGGTCAGCCAGTGAAGTTCCTTGAGCCCACCAGGTGTGATGTGGTCAGCCAGTGAAGTTCCTTGAGCCCAGGTGTGATGTGGTCCAGTGAAGTTCCTTGAGCCCAGGTGTGATGTGGTCAGCCAGTGAAGTTCCTTGGGCCCAGGTGTGATGTGGGCAGCCAGTGAAGTTCCTAACATGAAAAGCAACTCCACTCCCCTTGTTATTTGTAACGTCATAGAGGGGAAAAGCGAATAATTGCGTATGCAATGTATTGACGGGCAGTATTAGAGAATCGAGAATAAGAAAACCACATTATTCAGTCTGTCAGAACAATAAAAGAATCTCCAGTGTTCAAGCATGTATACAAATTCACAGACCGTGGCAAGCCGTATTTTTGTAAATAAGAATTATGTATTTGTGACAGAATGTCTACAGATTTGTGTTTCGCGTCTTATTTATACATATACATAAAGACTCATTGTATGCAATAATTGCTACATTATACACAGTCTATTGTGCTTTGTTGTTTCTCCAAATACTGTAGAAAGAAAGAGTTTACCAGAACTGATGTGATGTCACGCATAGTAGAATATTCTTCGCCTGCCTAATTAGGTCACATACCTGTTAAATGAGGTCACACTTTGTCGAATATTCTTTACCAGTGTAATGAGGTTAATGATCTATTTCTAACTAACCTAAAGATGTCACACAATAGACCATACTGTTTGAACAATAGACCATGTGCATCACAAAAAAAACTAAATGGCCGTCTTGTTTTCCTTATTTACCCCTGTCTACACCAAATGGGGTGCTGTGGACCTATTCTGCCCCGGGTCTACACGGTAGAAGAGCTGTTACTGTTCCCTCGCACTCAGCACGAAGAGGTTGTCCTTCACAAGTGCAGTGTAAGTGAGATCTGTCTTGAGAATGGTCAACTGTTGAAGTTCTGCTTTAGTAAACTGCTATCTTTAAAATAGATTTCAGATTTATAAAGCTCATTAAAATTTTGCACACCTCTTACTTAGAAATACTCCTTATGTTCTGGAAATAAATCTGCCCGTACTAAGTTGAAGTGTTTGGTCATGAGTTATTCAACATAGTGATTATATACGGCTTATATTTCCTGTGCCAAGGAAGGACATCCATGACAAGGTGTTGGACAGTTTCTGTAAATTCATTACACATTAAAGCCTCATATATGACATTATAATGTTCTCTGATCCATTTCATCATACAGCATTTATCTCATTCAGTGTTTTGAGGCTGCATATGGTAACATGAAAAATGTTACTGTTTCAAATCATATTTGTTCTTAAACATACCTATTACTTTAGAGGTGTATATATATGAGGTGTACACACACACACAAACACACACACTCACCACACACAGAGAGACAGACACACAAACACATT